AACCAGGAGGTGAATGTTCCCCTGAACAGCGCCGATGGGGACAAGATAACCTTGCAAGATTGCGCCAAAATGCCCGGCCGAAATTCCGATATCGCATAACATTAAAAAGTGTAAATCGAGACTTTCTAACACGTTTCTAATAACTTATTGTAGAAAAATGATAAACAAAATTAGAATCTCGGATTCTTGGACTATATCTGCATGTGGATTAATTTTTAGTCAGCCCTTCATGCGATTTTAGTACTTCAAAGGCCGTCTCCGTCGCCAACCTTCAATTAAGAATTGTGATGGATTAACATTTTATTGTGGCCATTGGGTATATAGAATTTTGTAAAAAAGGTCTGCTGTTAGAGCATTATGAAATTTCATCTGGAATTTACTGATGATTCCTAAACTATAACCCATAATTGTGTGTGCTGTGTATGAACACACATGTATCAATTAAGAAAACGCTCAAAATGGTATAGTTTCAATAGACCCTAAAAGCAAAAAGTCACGCGGCGAGCTTCCAGAACTCTCGTGCTGCTCGCCTGCGAATTTTTTCTCCCAAAAGATATCCACATATTGGTGTACGCTTTGGCGATTTGGAATCTAAAAACATGAGAAGAAAATATAAAATACCTATGGGCATTGTGCACTAGGTTCCCTTTTTCTTGCTATACTTTTGACAGAATGATTTCTAACCGTAATCATCCCAAGAAACAATGATGTTAGAATTTTATCTTGGTATTCCTCAAGAAAAAATGACGAGAAATCACTTGGAGATCGGTAAAAACGAGGCTTACGACCTTTCACATCAGACATTTTCGTACCTAGGTCTCCTTCTTCTTCAGCGTTTGTTTTCACATCGCGTACTTGCGCGAGAACGAAAACATATAACGACGCAAAGATTTATCTACCTACAGCCTTCAAGTTTATTTTAAAAAGTTTATATATCCTAAAAGACATTTTAGTCTTCTATTTAAGTTTCAGTTTTCACCCAAACGACAGCCACAAAATTATTTCAGAATTTTGCATCTTTGTACGAGTAGGCCTACACCGAGTTCTACTATACTAGTCCACATGTATTTTTTGATTTTTGGAAGTGAGAGGTCAATTTTTGGCACGATATTTCTCTTTCACGTCAGGCCATTGTTCAGTTTCCATACATTGAGGTGCTTGTAACAATTTTACAAAGGCCTTTTCCGAGGGTGAATTGCTTAAGAAGTCAATGTACCAAAAATAATTGTAAAGTTTAGAATTTTTGCACGTGGATTTTCCTATTCAATGGTTCCAGACGCGCGCCACCGGGGGTGAACTTTCGGGCTCTGTAGCTGTCGTGTACAAAAGTATGATTCAGTAGTATCAACACCAAAGATTGCAGCAAGTTTCGCCTCCAAATCCCACTACGCTCCTACACGCGCGTATTCTGTGCCACAGTGAAACGCACAGTCGATCAAGCCCATACGTCCTCTTACATTATACTTAATACCTCATGTAATTAAATGTTACCAGTTTTTTTCCTTATTACATCCCACCACGAGCTCACGCTTTGATGACATCATTCGCTCTCAGCCAAGCATCACCGTGTAGGTTCTCTGCCCCAGAAGTAGCAAGGGGCCACGGGCGATGCATGGTCGAATTTTAATCACAAGTATCCAGGCCACATAGTGAGTTCAGACGAGGAGTTTATGTCCGTGCGGCCTTGCCAAGAAGGCTTCAATAACCGCGAAGCTTGTTGTCACCCGTGTAGGTCCTATGACAGTTTCAATGACAGGGCAATTTATTAAAATTGTCACTTCAAATTGAAAAAAATATATAAGGCGATTCAATTTGGGGAATTATATGGCACACCTGCGAAGTCTTAAACGCCCGTTTCTTTGATCGCCGACACAGTTTCGGGGGAGGGGGGGGGGAGTTTTAGACAATCGTTTAGAAAAGCCATGCAAAAGCTGTATTGATGAGACAGCTTAAATACGAGGCCACAGGTCACTGAATATATTTTTGAAGACAATAAAATGCTAAACCAGTGTAGAGATGTCTTTGTAAATTATCGCCATTCATTGAGCCTCTTACCTTGTAAAATTTTAATCAATTTTAAAAAAAATGCAACAAAATTGCCACACACGGTAAACAATAAAAACTCTTGAATGCTTGCAGAATTGGGGAAAAAAATGGCATATTGTATTCAGAAAGCAAACATTATCATCAAGAGTCTAGCTTATTTTATTTTTTATTCGTAATAATTATAAGTATCGCTCCAAATTGGTGGTTTTTAAATGTTAGGTCATAGCCATTATTTAATTTTAAAAAATGAGTATGTAAATAGTTTTGTATAAGGCAGTGTCAATAAAAAAGGCAGAGATGACCAATATTTCTAAATTTTAATACTTTCCATCATATTGGTGTAAGCTTTAGCGATTTAGATTTTGCAAGAATTACTCACAATGTCTTGCCTCTGTAATAAACTCGATATAACGAGTCATCTTTTTTTAATATAAAACGCCAAACCATAAGTTCCTTTTAAGTATCTATAACCAGTAGACCAAGGAGCAATGTATATTAAAGCACGCTGTGTTGAGTTCTGTATGACGTGACTTATCTGTTCAGGTAACTACACCATCTCTTGATGAATGACTCAAAGTACATGTACTTGGTTCCGGACCCAGGAATTCAAAGCCATTTATTTTTCCAGAAATTGTATACTTAATTGTCAAAATAAACGCACTTTAAATTGATGAACAATTAACGGATGGAATAGGGCAGGATTGTGTTGAATTGCAATATGGTGGAAATCTTGGAAAGTTATGAAGTTGCTGCTTTACCGTTTGTGTTCCAGTTCGTTGGTCTTTAGCCGTTCATCATTGGATAGAACATTATTGTCGAGTATTATCTGGCCAAAAATAATTATGTATGAACATGACTGTATTGCATGCACTGCTGCACAAGTAGTATGTTAAGGTAATAACATAATGCACATGTGACATTTGAAGTTAATAACATAATGATGCATTCATTCACGACATTAGAGACGTACGTGTATTTTCCAACTTTTATGGATGCCAAAAAATAAAAGTGTAGCATGGCTTATCTTGTTGTACATGGTGGTGCAATTGTCACCTACTTGTTGAGTATATTTCAGAAAGTCAATTACTGATATTAAAATGTTGATCTTTAAACATAATTGACGGGAAAAAAAATTGGAAAAGCATATTTTGTCTCTGAAATATATGGTATTTTAAGAATTTCGTGTGCCAAACCTATTTGCCCACGGACGACTTTATTTCATCCCATTGACTGAGCTCCGGAGCTTGATTTGAAGACAAAAAAAAACACTACACTAGACTTACACGTGGAAAACAGTGATTTTGGTGACTTGTATTCAAATTAGCATAGTAACACTATTCTTGCCATTTTTTATAAGATTTTTTTTCAGCACGTATGGTTGGAGAGCTGTATTTCACTACATTATAAAAAAACAAAACTGTTCAAATAAGTAAAGTAAGTAGGTTAAAATTCCTGTCAAAAGTGAGTTTCCTTCTTTTTGCACCACCCTGTAGTTGTGCCCGAACTCCGAATTCTTGAACTCTGTCTTCCATAGTTCCATATGCTAATTTCAAGGCGGTATCGTAATTTCAATGCGCGGAAAGCCACAAAAAAAGCTGCTTAGTATTTCCCAAGCAAAGACTTCCACCTGCTCTGAAAAAAAATCCAAGTTGATCCGCAAGAATTGGAAAATGTTCTAATGTAACCAAGCTTCGCAGCGAAACAATGTAAATTCTTCTGGATCCTTCGGGAATTTCCAGAATCTGAACTTGCGGCCTCCGGTGAGTGATGAGTTACCCCTGAGACCGGATAATACAAACTCGACAGAAAAAAAGCTAATAAATAAAAATTCGTATCCTTAAATTCAGTCAAATACGCAATAGATGGCTAGGAGCAATTTCAGTCAACGGTTCAGTCCAGGGGTGATAAAAGAACGACCCTTTGGTGTTTGACGAGGCGCGGCCGTGAAGTGAGCAAACCAAGCGTGATCGAATGCGGCAATTACTTTTTTCTTCATTTTTCTTGCACTAAAGCTGTGGATATTGTTCACTGCAGCGTAGATTTATTTTGTGCCAAGTGACGCAAATTGAGTGTGCAAAATAGGATTTTACAAACTCGATTAAGGCGTTGGGTACAGTTGCATCTAGGGAAAATTCGCTAAGCCTGCGTTGGTAATAACTCGCCAAGGGTCTGAGAGTTTCGATCGGCCCAGCAGATTCTTCTCCTTATGGCTAAAAATGGAGTTCATGTCGGTCACTCACTAAGCCATAAAGGCTACGTTTGCCAACTGAGCATGACATTAAAACAAGAAAGAATGTTGCCCTTCCAAGACATATGCATGTTTTACCATCCTAGGGTGACGAGCTATGTCGTCTGAATACCAGGTATCTAAGCACCTTCTAAAACAGCCTTACGTCAACAGCAGTTATACTGACTGCCCATTTGATAATTAATTCACAGTTCATGGTGTACTGTCTTGATACAAGACTCAGTAATTTTATGTTCGAGTGAACAGTCGAAATTGCTTTAAGTTGGGAATCAACTTATGACACCTTTGAAGCCGAACGGGCGCTCCTAAGCCCTACCGACGATGTCTGCAGCGTATTGAGTGAACATGTTACGCAAACTGCAAAAATGCTGAAACGGCGATGTGAAATGAACGCAGCGTTTTTTTCTATATTAGACAAATGGTTAGGCTGTGATTAAACACCACACCGTTTGAATTCAAGTAAACACCGTGGAAAGTTCTGAAGTGCATGTGCAATATGCCACTGAGATCTTACTCCCTGCAGAAGACTGACGACGCACTGAATAAGACCAAAGCGTTCGGGGCGAACGAGGCGAACGTTCTTCGAGACATCTAAAACGGCGTTGAGAATGATCACGAATGGTAAACACCATGCCGTTTGAGTTTGACACCCAAGTTTCCGTAGTGCATAATGAAGCCATAGATGATTTTTCTCCTCTAATTTCAGGGTGTAGCTGTCGAGAACTTCAAGATCGACGACGAGCCGAACAACACCAAAGCGTTCGAGGCGAACGGGGCGAACGTTAAGACGAGACAGCCCAAATCACCTAGGTTCTTCAAGTTGAAGGTCGTCACTGCTGTGTTGGTGGCCCTCATCATTCTGATCGTAGTCATCGCTATAGTTTTAGTTTTCGCTACAAGAGGTGAGTTTGTTTCTTTTGGTAAACGAGATTGCGGTTTGTTCCCAGTAAGATTGAAATTGTCCAGTAGCATATATAATAGCATTTTTTTACCCGGGGATCATGGCTTGAAATCATTTGACGCTCGGGGCGCTGTTCCTGATGGAGTAATACTGTACACAATGGCGTTCGGCTTCATTCCTGGCACTTTCTAAATGAATTTCTAATGAATTTATTGACTGAACAAATTCGGGCATTTTCTGTCTTTACCCCGGCCCGTCTTTCTACGGAACTGTGTAAAAAGCCCAATAGCCCAAACCAGAAAATATACAAAAAGCTCAAACGCAATATCGTGACCTTGCTACCAAGAACGAACTCAAAATGATGAATTGTGATCATCATCCTCTTCTTAGTCTCATACTCAAGAAAAAAATACAATCTTCCCGTGCTCCTTTAATGCCAAATATACACCAACGACTTCCTACGCTTCAATCATGTTGCCTCTGTCAGAATCTCATTCCGAGACAACATGACGCACGGTATAAATAACATGATTACGAGAATCACGGTGATAACATTTTTGGCATGCCGTGCTTGATTGGAGTCGGGGAGGATGTTGCGAGCGTCTGACCCCTGGTTCATTAAGTCTTCCCAGGTGAAGTGGTAATATTGCAGCGAGTGCTCTGTAACTCGAGGATGTTGTGTCTGGCGACGCTTCGTATTTTGGGGGATGGTGGTGGTGGGGGACTATTACGGATAGCTTCTGTAAACATGGTTCCATAGCGGGGGCGCGGAGCTCAAAATGACAGGAGAAATAAGAGACAGAATCATAATTGGAGGAGTATCGCCTTCAAATTAAAGGAAAGAGATCCACAATTGAGACGTTGTTTTCATGATCGATTTTCAAAAAGACGAATAGCTCTTGACTTACTTTTTATGACCTTTTTTGTGGCAATCTCTGAGTAGTGTCTAGAGTCGTTGTCTTTTGTTGCTTGTGACCCAACGTCGTGGGACCAAAATTTTATGGAGCCTTGGGTACAAAATTTACTAAGCAAATTTTTCCCAAGCAAAATCCTAACTTGGGAAAAATTCCGATATGGTCTCACTGGTAACGACTTGAGTTCCAGGTTGCAATGGAATCGATAAAAAAAGAAATGTACTCGATTTGTACTCCCGAGTTCAGGGGTCGAGTACCGAGTCCAAACCAACGAGTCCGTGCCAAAATTCGAGTACAAAGAATCGAGTACGGGCCGAGTCCAAATAATTTTCGAGTACTGATGGTCGAGTACGGGCCGAGTACTTGAGTGGACTCGAGTTGTACTCGAGTACGAGTACGAGTACTCCAACGCTGCTAAGCATAAGAATAAATGCCTAGCAAACAATGAAAAATATTTTAAGTCAAAAGCCATGATGTACATTATGGCTTTGACTGGTTCTCCGCTCATTTTTTCCCCCGGTACATGGGTTTGCTCTGTACGTTTTGCTCAATATCCCGTGGTTCATTGCAAACCCTCACGTAGGCAAGTTACTTAAATTTATGTCCAGTTTTTCTTCAGAGAATGTGGATACAAATTTTGCGTAGAAAATACAAGTATACCTTGTTGTTGTTGGGTTTTTTTGCCATCCGGATAATTCAAATTATTTGTTGTGACTCCACCGTTTTGTCGATTTGGTGCTTGTATTAATAAGAACAATTAAGGACCAATATCTCAATTAAAGATTTAGCCAAATGGGGCCATGGATTAACGTTTTTACACCATTTTTATGCCAGATAATGTCAAGCCCGTCTTCAGAAACTGCCCACGTCAAGCCACCGCTACCGTCCATTATGAGAGTGAAGCGGAAAACATCAGCGCGAGCTGGGAGACGCCAACGGCCACGGACAACTCGGAGCGGGTCAACCTGACGTCTTCCCACCGGCCCGGGGACATGTTTGCCCGGGGCACTACCACCAACGTCACGTACCGGGCCGTCGACCCGTCCGGCAACGAAGCTGTCTGCACCTTTCTTGTGTCAGTTTTAGGTATGTGTGAGGCCAGCGTATTTAATTCCCATTCGAAGAACCGACCTTGGATTTGAGCACTCAATTTTCATTGTATTATTTTGCTTTTGAGTGTAAGGAGTTTACTTCTTCCACAATGTTGAATTCATTCGTGTATGTAAGAGGTGGGGTGCGGGCTTGGAAGCACGCCCTCCCCCGCTCGAGGCCTCAACCCCAACTCCCCGTGCCCCTGGTCAGCATTTTAGGAAGACAAATGTGAGGCAGTGTTGTTATATACCCAGTTGAGTCCCCCCGCGTCGTGAGTAATATAATTTTGAATAAATTATATAACATTTCTGTGAGCTTTCCCAACTTTACGACATTGCGTTGCAGCTCACAATTTATGAAAATATCCCACTGGTACGATTGTATGATATGGGATGTTTCTTTAAACGACTAAACGTGCTTACTTTTACTTGCTTTGTTTAAGCAAACCTTGTCACAGAAACATTCACCTGCATCTATTGAAACACGACAAAGAGCCAATATTTTTTTTGCTGCCAAAATCTATTGGCCGTGCACAATCGTGACTCATATTTTGTAATAGTCACACACTGTATACGGCCACACTTGTCACTTGAACCGCATCCTGCAATCGTCTCGTATGCTCTGAAGACTTTCTGACTAAGGGCTTGGCAAACAAATTGTAAAGGTGGCTCAACTGAACTGAACGATTCCACATATTTGTGTCTCGCAGCCGAGCGACAGAAAAAAAAATATCAAAATGACCCTTAGTCCAACACCCGTAAAAGCAATATATTACTAATTTGTACACAACTTTGAACTTGACGATTTGTCGATCGGGTTTTTTGATCCTCGATCCAATGGCTAAAACACGTGCCATAATGATACGTCCGGTTATCAAACGGGATTAACCCTGCCCGGCCCATACCCAGTTTGCGGGCAGTTTCAAACAATTTTTGATCCCTTTTTCATCTTCTTATTTCTACCGGACATTATTAGTTCCGGTCGGCGCGTCTTTAGGCAAAAATGAATCACCCAGTTGCTTGCTCTGACTTTGTAATTAACTTTTCCGATTCAATCAAAATTTCATCCCGGGGATCAAAAGGTGATGAAATTTCTTGAGTACTTTGTCATTTTGAAATCGGCGAGGGCTAAAAGGATGACCTCCTTTATCAATTTGCGCCGAGGCACTGTGTATGAACCTTTATACGTTTTACGAACTGGCAAGCTGAGCCGATTTAGTACACTTGCTATAAAGATATCGCAGAGAATTTTGTGATTTTGTTTGTTAAAGTACTAATTTTCTATTATAGCAATTCAAAAATTAGCCTACATCCAACCAAAAAAACCCCTGCGTTTAGTTATGGAATATTCAGTTAAATATTTCGAATAATTTGCGGTCCGACAATGTTTCAGGCGTATATGAGTATTTTCATTTTGGAGAAATTTTTAATTTTTAACCCTCTCTCTGGCTTTGTGAAGAAACCAAGCTTGCCTTTAGTATGCCCGCGACAATTCTGGCTCCAGAACGTTGTTATAGGCCTACTAGATTATTAGGTCTTGTTAAGCTTTGTTTAAAAGTCAGCTCACATCCGCCCCTAAGTAGTAACTGTCTGTTGAAAAACAAAACTAATTTCCAGATTGATGATTAAAGGAATGAGCAGTAATATTAGTTTTAAAATCGACACAAATTTTTGATGGTTAGACAAAGAAGAGTTCACACAGTGTCGAGGGAGCGTCTGTCTGTAATTGGACAAATGCCCAATGGCGCTAAAAAGATTTGATATTTTAAGCAGTTTGGTTTTTTTTTCTCTCTACAGATTGTGAACCGGATGAGTGGCGTTGCGATGACGGAACATGCATCTCTGACGCGTTGGTTTGTGACGGCGTTCCATCATGTGCTGATGCTAGTGACGAATCGTTATGCGACGGTTAGAACTATGTTCTGTATGTTTTGAATCGCTTATTATCAAGATGGTTAACAAATCGTCACCGACACCACGAACTGACACCCTCTGCATCACATGTGTACCAAAAAATTTAAAAATTCAAATTTTCTTTTTTGGCCGATATTAGCAGTTTGTATCATGAAGTTTAACATGACGAAGTTAAAATTGCTAAAATCATCTAAAGTAAGCAAATTTTAATAATGAATTTTCAAGAAATTGGTCAATTCTTGTGTTTTTGTTACCACGAAGTGACTCTGCACAGGGTGTCAGTTCGTGAAAACCAAAATTTGCGTGTTTTCGGAGAGTGCGCGCATGCAATAGCGTTAGAGAGTGTCAGTTCGTGAAAACGAAAATTGACGTGCTTTTGGAGAGTGCGCGCACGCATGCGCAGTGTGTGCGCGCACTCTCCCAAATTACGTCAATTTTCACGAACTGACACCCATCTTAATCATTTAATTGCTAATTAACTGAGCATATTTTCACAATTTAACGTTTATAATTGAGTTGTTAAAGCATTTTCAAGTTAAGTGATACTAAAACCTCTAAGATGGATGGATTATTTTACTGAGTAAATTCTTGTCAAACCTTTAAAAGCGTTTTTCTCCGATTTGTATTTCTGCAACGCTGACCACTGGGTGTCAGTTCGTGGTGTCGGTGACGAAATAACTCGTTGAAGGTATCTTGTCCACAGTTAAATAACTGCATTTGATAGGTGAAATGATGATTGCCAAATCTCGGCTTGGTCTCTGACTTTGGCTTGAAACAAAAAAATCTTCTCTTTAATAAGCCCGGTTCATACTGCATGCGAATTGGAAGTGAAGTTGATGTCGGGAAACATTCGCTGAGAAACTCGCTGGAGTTGAAGTGAACTCAACCTTTGCGAATTCGCAGCGCGAAAACTTTCCGTGACGTCATAAATTCGCGGCGTTCGCGTTCGAGTATGAGCCCGCCTTTGTATGCGTCGTTTGATGCATTATGAGTCAAACCATTTGTGATATATCTCTAATTTTTCGTCACCAGACTGCTTGGAAGAGGACTTTTTGTCCCCGTGTGATGACACAAAGTGTTTACCGGTCTCCTTTGTATGCGATGGGATAGAGCACTGCGATGACTTCGAAGATGAAAGATATTGCGACGGTAAGTATCTGTCATCATTAAAAAAAAAAAAAATTGATATATAAAACAAAAAAATATAAATAAAACCCTCATGACAAGCATTGGAAACCGTAAAGATGCCGTAATGTATTTAGGGAGGAAGTGCAAGTAAGGAAAGTTGACTGAATATAGCTGTTGAATCGTGACGTACAGTATGTTGCGCTTGCGCGATTGCGTTAAAACGCAAATATATCCGGTTAGTTGTGCAACGTCAGTTCAGTATAAACAAAACCCACTCGGTTAAGTAGCATTGGAACCATTGGAACCGGAAGCTAACGCATCTTGAGTGTTTATCCAATGGGCGCTAGTATAATCAGTGGTGCGCGCGCATGTATAACGTTTTTACTAACGAACCGGATAGTCGAACGATAGTCAAACGTTATCAGGGGTGCACATGCATTAAGCAAACGTTGCCAACGTTTGAAATCTGTTTGTACAATCTTACAGCCAACTGGGAAACGTTGGCAATTACGTTTGCGTTTGTTCGCGTAAATGGAACGCATCCTAGGATAGTCAAACGTTATCGACACTCTCCCTGACGATGTGCGTGACTATTGGTAACCAGCGAAGGGACCCACCACGACGAACTGCATCCCAGTTGTCGACTTGACAAGTCCAACCTACAATGACAATATCGAGCGTTTAATTTGGTCAGAAGTAGTCAACTAAATTTAATCAGACCGGGCATGAAGGCATTTTGGCAGCTACCGTTTTGTTAAGGCAGTCAACGATGAACAGGTTGACTGGTTGGCATTTGTGGCAACCTACTTGCCCCCACTTCCAATCCCAGCAGGCCTAATAAATTGATCTGTTCGTTCCCTGAGCGACGGTCCTTGCCGTCGGAGCTAGTCTTGTGTTTCATTCCTCCAACTGAACTTTAAAAAAATGTTCTGCTTCTTTTTATGTTCGCACAAAGCCAGCACGGGGGACATGTTAAAGCAGTGGTATCGCAGATCAAAGTTATTTTATAAACAAGCGATAAATAAAACATGACATGGGGTGGTCAAAGGCGACACGGAACATGTTCCCGACGGTCTGGGAATAGTAATAGACGTCTTAGGAGCCTTAAAATGGGTCAGGAATATCAACCTCTAAGCTATCGGATCGTGATACATTTATGGGGATCATGGTTCCTGCCGAGGCTTGTGCCATTTCAAATAAATACCTCCATCATTCACGACTCGGTTGACAAATATTCTGGGGGGTAGCATTTCTATTTACTGCAGTCCAAACGAACTTTCCGTCGGACTGATCCCCCGAAATTGTAAAACACATACAGGCTAAAGGTATACAAAATGAGAAGTTATTGTGGTATTTTGTTGGTCATGACAGCAACAAATCTACTGTCCCCCGAAGCATTACAACATGGATTCTTGACAGTATACCACAGATTAACTATATCGCACTTTTAACAGTAACACAACACAGCCCCCACCCCCGAAAAAAATGAGATTTTAGTACATGTTTCATAATAGAAAAATTGATATTAACAAGCTCAAGTATTGGGTTGCGTCTGTTTCCTTCTTGGTACTTTTATTCAGATGAAGTGTGTGTGTCTACCATCTTTCTTTGAATATATCCATACCCAGGTGGCTAAGGATCTGAATTAAAGCACAAGACTTTGATGACAGAAACCCTGCATCAAATGCGAGAATATTGCTAGAAAAGACATGTGTCTCTCATAATTTTTTCGTTTGTGATAAAAAGGGCGAGTATTTTGACGTTTTACTGATCGGGAACTACTTTTATTTGCAGATTGTGAGGAGAACGGATTCTTGAGTTGCAACTACGGTTCGCAGTGCTTCCGCTATTCAGACACCTGCAATAACATCATAGATTGCCCGCGGTTTAGGGATGAATACAACTGTTGTGAGTTTAACCAGTTTCCCGCCTTTTAAGAACATTTACAATCCCTGTTTTGTTTCTTAGCTTCACACAGGAGACATGCGCGTCACATTAAAGGCACAAATGACCATTTGCTTTCCATGCATTTGGTACGTTACCAATTAAAGCACCAATCAAAATACTAAAAAGAGTATTCAAAACCTAACCTGTTGAAGTTTCAGCTCAGTAGATATTACACTTTTCGAGAGAAAATAACTGTGAACAACCATGCACAATCTTTTGATCACAAAACACGATTTCGTCTATGCATGTAATAGAACTCTTTCTTTCAACAAATCAGTCAATTGACTGATCGTTGGATATCACCTACATTTCTTGATTTCTTCTTAAATGACAGCAAGCCAGATGGAATAATTTCACTGTGTATTTCGTACCAGTATGATGTTAAATCCAAGTAAGCTTCTTGATTATATTTCGGAAGGTTACTTTTTGGATAAATGTAAATGGTCCTGCCTTTATTGTATTAACCTCTACAATATTATTGTACTCTTTTAAGACGAGTGTGCCAGCATATCGACCAGCCAGTGCCAGTCCCTGCTCCCGTACAATCAGACCTTTTACCCCAACATTTTCAGCACAGCAGAGGAGGCCATCGATTTTTACATGGACTTCAGCGCCATCATGGACTGCCACGAGAACCTTGAACTGTTTCTGTGCGCATATCTCTTCCCCGAGTGCTCCAAGTCCGGTTCTCCGCGATACCTCTGCAGTGACTTCTGCCAGGAGGTGCAGGTGGCGTGCAGCGGCCCCTACGCAGGTGCCCACGACGGCAGGGAGCTGAACTTCTTCTGTGACCGCTACCCGGAGACGACGACTGGGGAGGAGTCTAAATTGTGCAGGTCACCATTTGAGGGTATAGTCCCGATTTGGGGATATCCGTCTCAATTATTTTACTGGTTCCCCCCCCCCCCCCCATTCATGCTGCGAATAAATGTCAATCAATTGTGCAACCTGACAACAGTTATCGATTCGTCATCTTTCAAAGCATTTTTTCGATATCTGCATTGTTTAGAAATAACAGCAGAGGAAAGAGTGACATTGTCAATTAATAATTGGCTCTAAAACAAAAATATATAATTACATGACCCTGACCCATGACCCCTGACCCCTGTCAAGGTCACAAGCAGTTTGCAATCTGCAGGTAATTAACAATCCTGTACTCGCCCACTAATAGCACAGTTTCGTGCTTATAGCAGATTCTTGAAATTCATCTGAGGTGGGGAGTCAATTGCAAGGCTACATATCATTGTACAAACTTTCTCATGTTGATCACATCAACAACAGTTGAACATCCAAAGCACAAAAACAGTTGCTCTAAAAATCGGTGATTTGATCTTGTGTAGGGTGCGACATCCGTTGGCCGACGGAGTTGGACCTATCGAACGGCACGGTCTACGATCTGTACTCCCCCAGCTACCCGATGAGCTACCCGAGTGCCTTCGACTGCCGCTGGGTCTTCACCGCCTCCCCGGGCCAGTACATCATATTCGCCCTGGAGGACCTGTCCATTAACGATGACAGTGTCTTCATGGGGCCTGGGGGCGAGGTTGATTTGGATGTGGCGTCCTACTACTACCGGAACGAAGTTCGCTATGGCCGGTGGCTGTTAAATATCACCATTGAATCCGACCAGGCCTGGTTGCAGTTGGTGACTGGAACGTCCAACGTGGCCAGGGGCTTCCACTTTAAGGTCTTCCAAGTGGATGCTTTCAACGGTAAAGTTTGTTTCTTCTCCTGTACAGGGTGAGTAAAAAAAAACACGAAACCAAATGTCTGGACTCTATTGTTTTAGTGAAGTTCTGCATGTAGCACTTTCAAAATCTAGGATATGAAAGCCCAATTCATAAGCTTTCTTTTAGTACAAGAATCATTCAAATCACTCAAGTACTTTTCAAGGAATTTTGAACACAACCACTGTTTTAAAGTTCTGTACGCAGATCACAAAAAAAGTGAGCGTTCTTTCAGCAAAACGAAACAATTCGCACACATCCCTACGTGATTTGTTTTCGTTCTGCTGTAAGAACACCTTTTTGTGATCTGTGGACAGAACTTTAAAACGGTGGTTGTGTTTTAAATTAAACTTAAAAATTACATAAGTGATTTGAATTATTCGCGTACTAAAAGAAAGCTGATGAATTGGGCTTTCACGTCCTAGATTTTGAAAGTGCTACATGCAGAACTTCACTAAAACAATGGTCCCGACATTTGGGTTTCGGTTTTTGACTCACCCTGTACAGTGAACAAAAAAGTGCAAGCACCAGCATTGTAAAGACCTAGTCGAAGCTCTTTCCGAGTACTTTCGAATACGGTAGTCTTCTGGAATATAAGGTGGTACAGTATGAACTGAGACTTCGAAACAAGACTCTTGAGTTCTTTGGCAGGGCTGTTGGGTATGAATATGAGTATCTGGACAAACAAGGGCGACAAAAAATACACAGGTATTTTGGATTCTTATAAGTATATATTTGGCAAACCTTTTGCAAGCAGTGTACCAGTGTATCCGTACACTCGCAAGTGTGTAAACGCTTTCAATCGTGGACCCCCTATTGTCCCTCTTTTGTTTGTACTAACTTTTTAGGAAGACCTCCCATTTGTTTTGTAACCGATCGCCAAATTGTGGACCTTCGGGAATTGTGGACCCTATTGTCCTCTATTGTTCAACGTCCAATATTGAATGCAAAAAGAAACCCAAAAGAACGCTACCAACAAGACCTTAGCACTAGCTTGGTTCATTACCTCAGCACCGTATACTCGATCGCAAAAGGACTCGATAGCAACAGAAACCGACCTCAACAAATCTTTTCTTTGTTGTCTTCTTCCTTTCCCCGGTTGATTGCAGAGACTTGCGGCGATGACGAATTCCTCTGCGACGTGGGCGGATGCTTTCCGAACACCCGACTGTGCGACGGCTTCGCGGATTGCTACGACGAAAAAGACGAACTGGAGTGCGAAGGTGAGTCAGTCGATTGCACACCCCTCTGTTGACCTTTATGACGTGCAATCACGTGACCACCCTCTTGCATTGACAACAAGATATTGTGGTTGAATGTATAACTTAGAATTTAATAGAAATTTACATCAAATTGGATTGCATTGCGATGATATATCATGTTATTTCTTGGGTTTAAGTTATATACTGTCCGTACTATTTTTGAGTTCCTTCTCGCAAAATAGGCATTTATCATGTTGCCACCATTTCAGGCGTGTTCCCTGTATCCAATAACAGTGCTGAATGATTACTTTTTGGTGCAAAAGGGAACCAGACTATTTTTCCTTCCAGCCTCGCTTTGGTTACGTTGATTTGAATGGGGAAAAATCAAGATGGCCGCAACATGATAATGGTCTATAGCTTGTGTTTTTAAATATCATTTTTTTAGCAATAAAAAGTTTATTCACTTTGAATGAGACATCGACTTAAACAAAATCAGCCCACGTTTAGTAATGAAAGAATTACTTCAAAAAACGTCGAAATTATTTTCAACTCGACTATAATTCATTTTCCGCCAGCCTAGCTCCCACCCTCTTTCGGCATCGATAATGTGGCCCGGGGAGGGAACCAGTCTACTCGCAAAATAAAAGCCTTTTGTAGCGGGTTGTTGACGTCCAAAGAAAGAAAAAGTAGTTTTTTTCTGTTAAAATACAGCGTGTCCCAAAAAAAATGTCCCTCTCATAGACCACAGAATAATTACCAAAATCAAGTTTTATACTCAATTAAGTTTACATTTTTAGAAAGCCCACTTAATTTTGTAGTTCCTGTGAAAATCGCTTCATTGGTTTTGAATACACAGGCTTTTATGTAACAGCAGTGCTTTCCGGCCCATTCCAAGTTGATAAAAAGAAATGCATGAAAAAAAGAAATGCACACTACAGACATACCATACCTTATTCCATGCTTCACTTTTATTTCAACAACTGGGTTCTTGTTTTTGTTATTAAGTAACTAAAGTCAAGTTCATTTACTTTTTTTAAATGAAAACTAATCAAAGTTCAGTTCCACTGGTCGTGTTTGCTTTCACAGGGTGTGTTCCACTTATAGTTTGTTTTTCAATGTCCAGCTTGTAAACTTTTATTGTCCTCCTGCACATCCTTCCACCTGCAAACTTGGAATGGGCTGAAAAGCACTGCTGTTACATAATAGACTGTGTATTCAAAATCAATGAAGCGAGACCAATGAAATTTTCACAGAAGTTACAAAATTAAATGGGCTTTCTTAATCTGAACACTAAATTGAGAATAATACTTGATTTTGGAATTAATTTAGCAGTCTATCAGAGGGACCTTTTTTTTTAGACACGCTGTATATGTCATATGTCAGATTTGGAGGAGAAAAAATCATATCTTCAAAGAACTTGTTGGAATTATAGTCACTTTTTGCGGACAACATTATGTGCTAAAATGCCATTGTCGACGTCAAGGACCACCTGTTGACATGTTGAATTTGTTTTATTCCATTTTTGTTTCAGTGTGTCCGTATTACGACCAGGTCAAGTGCGGGGATGGATCCTGCATTCACCGGGTCGCTGTCTGCGATGATTACCCCGATTGCGACACTGATGAAGATAACTGCAGTTAGTAGATCATCGATTCGTCACTCTTTTTGCGAATAAACTTGTCAAGAGTTTTACCTAAATACTACTTTGCACTGTAGCCGTGGGGTTAAGTTCCTCTTCTGTCGTTGTCGATGTTTGGTTTTTGGGAGGGGAGAACCATGTCACCATAGATGATGCCGCTCAATTGTTGACAAGCCCCGAAACACATTTCTCACATTTTTATCAAATTCCACAGTATTTGGCAATCAGTAAAACCTTTTTAATTTTTCAAATGATATACATGAACATGCAGTGTTGAATTGGGTTTTTCCTGGCAAAACTTGATACGGTCTGAAGGCTAAATCTTTCAGGATCACATCCGATCCATAAGAGTATACCCGCCACGTTCCACGAACTATCGTCAGTTAAATAGTAATCCAGATTTTAGCAAGGATCACAGTATGACGGCGCAGTGACAGGCGACAGAAAGGTTTTAACATTATTCATGTTACATGTATCAACGAAGAACTCAGCATAATAATTCCACACGCTCCCGCCCTTGTATTCTGAAATTTTAAATTTAAACAAGTTGAAAACTAGACTGTGCTCAAGGCGTTTTTGTTTTCATGGCATTTTGTTTATCTGTGTGTTACCGTGCAGCGTTTTTATGTCACGAGGACAGCAGCATCTACTTGAACGAGTTGCTCGTTTGTGACAGCTTCAACGATTGTGGTAACCATGCTGATGAGCTGGTCAATTGTGGTAAGCTAAAGGCCGCCCTCTCGATGAAAAAAAATGTTTCCAAAATGGCGGCGCCCTGTAAGGAAATCCTTCAAGCGTGACTGTTTGAATAAAGCAGCTTTGAAAATTCGAAAACTCATTCAAATTTTACTGGAAGTAAAATGTTGCTAATATTGTCTGAACTTACTGCGAATCTAGAAATCTGAGAATTCAGCCTCGACATTATTTATCATGGCCTTCATTGTGTGTGTCTGCAATTTTGGAAAACATAGCAAATGACTCAGGAAAAGCGTTCGCCTTGGTTGCAAACGTTCACCAACATTTTTGGCAAACGGTACATTGGACCATTCCAAACGTTCACCAACGTTTTTGGCAAACACACGTTGCCAAAAATTTGACAAACGTTGTAGCATTGTTCGAGAAAGTGAAAAGCACCCCAGATCTTATTCGAGACTTATCAGGATTGATATTAAAACAAGAAAATTGTCCAAATAAAATCAGTGTTTCAATCGGCATCATAACACTGTCGAATGCCACAAATGCCTAATTTTTGAGATGATGATCAGTTTGATGCTGCAAAAACCCACAAAGCAAAGGTTCAGCAAAATTCTGTGTTAGAAAATTCACTTCTTTTTTTCCCTCTCGAATTTCAACAGCATGCGTTGAGGGTAGACAGTTTGACTGCGGTGAGCGGTGCGTTCCTCTCAACTATTTATGCGACGGCACGAACGACTGTGCGGACGGCAGCGACGAAATGAACTGCAGTGAGTACATTCAGGAACATGCCCAGCCAAGAGAACCCAGCCAAGAGAACTAATTGAGATTGCCCGGTGCTTGTGTAGGCCTGCGCATGAACAGTTAAACCTTGGAAAAAGTCTGATGAAGGGCCTCCCCGATAACCAGTTCATTTAGGCATCCTTAAATGTGGTTATGTTCAGCAGATCGCAACCTATTTCGAATCTATTTTGATGCGAGGTATTTGGCATTCGGAAACTATTCAGAGTTTACTTATATTGTTTAAAAAAGGTACGTGGGAGCATTTGCAATCACCCGAAAACGCACGTATTTAGCGGAAAAAAAATCCTTGCTCAAAGAGAAGATAGCACTGGTACCAAATACCCTGTGAAATTATGCCGCCTGAAATGGTATCATTTCGAAGAAAACAATCACTGAAAAATTTGGCAACGGAATCCGGTTACGAATCCCCCAACATTCTATAAAGTAACCAGTGAGCTGAAACTTCAACAAGTTAGTTGTCATGCTCCCTTCTTGTGATTTTGAGCACTTATGCTGCTTCAAACGACAAAAAATAGCAAATGATCCTATAGACCAAATGATCCTATAGACCATTATTATGTTGCAGCCATTTAAATTTTGTTCCCATTCAAATCAATGTAACCAAAGCGAGGCTGGAAGGGAAAATAGTCTGGTTCCTTTTTGCACAAAAACATTATCATTCAGTACTGCTATTGGCTTCAGGGAACATGACTGAAATGGTGGCAGCATTTTAAAGGTCTATTGTACCCTTTAGTTGATGAATGCACAATGGAGACCGGACTGACATAGTTTTTGTACTCCCTTTTTGTCAGCCTGCTCTAATTGGAAGCGGCCCTGCGATGACGGGGCTTGCCTTCCTTTTTGGTTCTTCTGCGACAACTCGGCAGACTGTAGCGACGGGAGTGATGAACAGGACTGCCCTCGTACGTGATTCGTCTTTGCTGTCAAGGTTTAACTATCTGGATACTAGCGGCCAAACAAAGCAAAAGAGAAGAAACTTTTGAACTGCTTTTGTTTTCATTATAAATATCCCACGGTGATAGTTTGCAAAAGCCATTTTTTTGCAGTATTGACGTAGTGAATTGATTCAACACAAAAAGTATTTTGGCTTTAATTTAAGCTTTGAGTGGAGTTTTCTTTTCTGTCATGCTTGAATTGGAAGTTGGTAAGATGAACAGGCGACGTAATGTTTCGTTTAAATGTATACCCTCTGTATATAGCTTGTCCGGGTAATTATTACGAGTGTGATAACCTGGAATGTATCTCAGCGGACGGTCTCTGCGACGGATACTTTGACTGTTCCGACCGGAGCGACGAAGCTTACTGTGGTGAGTATAATGTAGTCACAGATCATTTGTGAGCAGTCACAGACAATCGGTTAACAGTCGTAAACAATAATGGGGTAAGCAACAATCGGTTCAATCTTTAAACAGTTATTTTTCCTTCAGTTGCGAAATCGTTAAGGAGTCACGGCCAATTTGAAAGCACAAAATAACGGTAGCTGTTATGTATAGTAGTCGCAAATAATCAAAGTACTTACACACAATTAGTAAGCAGTGGCTGTCACAGACGATCGTTAGGCAGTTATGACAGTAGGCAGACAAGACTGTTCAGGAAGTCGCAGACGATTACGAAAGTTGAACCGGCTCATTTAACTTCAAACCGACAACCAACTACCAACGAACTAAAGTAATTTGGAAATTTGAACTGGAAGCCTTTTTGTTATTTATTCATTATTTTATAAGTTACTTGATTATTTCATTGTTCGGTAAATATCAATTACTATTTTTTTTTTTCATTTGTCTTTTTTGTCAGTTGGTGTTTTCATCGAGTGTCCTGCGGACTCGTTCCAGTGCCCTTCCGACAGGCAGTGCGTTCCGGAGCAAGGTATTTGTGATGGGATCGTAAACTGTAAAGATGGCGAAGACGAGGTTGACTGTGACCAGGCAATCGCTCCCCAAGACGAAGGTAAACGATTGCGTCAATCACCTGCAGTTACCCACAATAAACTGCATTTTCATGTTGTCTTTATCATTTTTTTAATTTTTTTATTTTCTTGGTAATGTACACAAGTGGCGTATAGTCTGCCAGGAGCCAAGTTGGCCCACCAGGCCTGCGTTTATCTCCTGTTTCCTTGGTATGAAACGGCAGAGAATATTCATATTCTCCCCTGGATGGAATGTCTGCCATCGAAGGGGTGAGGTGGCTAGCTTGCCCAATGACAAAGCATATGGCCAGCAGCTGGATTCGAACCCCATACCCTCTGATCATGAGTCACGAGGCCACACTCTCCCCAGAATGTACACAAATGTTTCTTAAAAAGGGTACAGACACTTGAGCTCAGAAACCTGAAAAATGTTGAAAGTGCGAGGACAATACCCACAAAATAAAACGGGGACTGAAACCCAATCCATATTCGAATCCAAGTCGAATAAAATAAAAGTTGTCACTATACCAACCTGACTATCTGATTCTTCTCACCTATCCTCACGCAGCCTGTGGTGAACGGCAAATTGAACTCACCGCGGTCGACCAGAATTTCACTCTCACCTTCCCGGAGATCCCCGGCGTTGCGTCCAGCTGTCTGTGGTTCATCACAAGTCCGCCGGACACCCGAATCACTGTGACTAAGCTGAAGGATCACCCGACTAGGGACCGGATGAGGGTGGGTCACGGGCACGATCCCACCGACGAGGGCGAGACCTTGGAATCCTACGACATCCCGGTCGACAAGGCCTTGGTGTCCAAGGCCAACAAAATGTGGATCAAATTTGAAACGGAGTTGACCTTTCTGACTTTTGATCTCGTTTTAACGTCGATAAAAAACGGTAAGAAAACTGTAAATCTTTCACAGTTTGTAAAGTTATGTAAACCCTGTCCCTGTTTTTCCCAGCACCTTTGAATGATTGTTTCTGTTGCCCCTGGATGGGACGCTCGCCCAAGGACACAACATTATTTCCAGCAGCAGGCATGAACCCCTGACCCCTGATCATAAGTCACAAAACCCTAACCACTGGGCAACACTTCTCTGCCTCTTTAGTTTATGTTCCGGTAATACTACAGTAAACTGCTGTTATGTATGCAAGTTATTACGAAATCATACTCTCTTAGGATCAACAAACTAAGTTATCCGGCTTCCAAAATAGGTCTCACTTCATAATCGTAAGCAGGGCCTTGCCTTCTGTAGAAGATCTGTCAACAGGTGAAAGCTTCGACATGTATTTTTTTGTTTTATAACGAACAAAACCCCAGACTTATGAATCATACAGTTTGAAGAAAATGGATCTGGAAATTGGCTCTAGGAGTGTTGGACGTTTCTGTAAGGGAGAACTTCCGACCCTCTGCTTTCAAGTATTGCAAGATAACCTTCATTACGGCCTCCTGGTTACCCTACTAATCTTTGCTTTGTATCTGACAGTGTGCCCAGAGGATCAGAAGCAGTGTTTATCCAAGTACGATACATGCATCATGTCGGCCAATTGGTGCGACCAGAAACCAGACTGTAAGGCCGGCATGGACGAGATACAGTGTCGTAAGTATTATTTCATGCCAAAAAAGTGCTGAAAATCTTTAAATCAGTTCTTCCAGGATCAAATTTGGACACATTGGTCAATCAAAGTTCTTTTTTTTTTGCAATACTGTCTCGTGTGTGTGATCAAAAAAAGGCCCCATACAACATTACAACGACAGCATGTGATTCGGTGTTCCTTGTACATGTACTTATTCAAAATATGTACAACATGCGTAGAGCCACGAGTCGGCCATATTCAATTAAAAGCGAGGCAAACTCTTCATTTTAGGAACTTGCGAGTGGAAACGACAGCAATGAAATAACAGTTCATTACAAATTAATACCAGTCTGATCTGATGAATAATTAAAAATGTGTGATTAAACATACCCTAATATTTTCAGCCACATGTAAAAAAAAAATTGAAAGTGAGGCTTGGAACACACTACAATCATAAAATAGTCTGGCACCCATCCCATACAACAGTTTATAATTTATATAATGCATTCAGGAAACACGATCGAAAATGGCTTCCTCACGAATAAGGTCTATTTTGCCCGTAGAGGTTTTCTTGTCGCAATCTATAAGACCTCCAAACTTACAGCAAAGACGGAAGTTCAGAAACATCAAGATTCATTTTAACGACGCAATCACATTGAAGTGTGTCCTTTATGGACTTTCGTTGCAGTACGTTTGGAGAACCAGGGAGGTTCAGCACAGAGAAAGCAGGGAGTGGTGATGGTTACCATCGAAGGTGATGAGAAGTATCTCTGTTACGATGAACAGACCTGGAGCGATGACGTCGCTGACGTCATATGTAATGAATACGGCTACGGGTCAGTGTTGTAGCTTTTCCCATTTCTGACAATATGGAAAGGGTTTTAGTGTATAAACTTCCTGCTCTACTATTATTTGTGTCATTTTTGTTGTCCCAGTTTTATGAATGAAACTAGCTTTGAGGACGTCAGCACATTTGGACCAATCACAGACGGGTATTACATGCTGCACGAAAAGGAGGTTTCGAAACTTCTATCTCCGGGCCCCAAGCCAGCGCTTTACAAAATTGTGAAACATTTGTAAGTTTGGAATCATTTCTTCAATTCGTTGTGAATAACTTTTTTCCACGTTCTGTACCTCCTTGGCACTCCTTGCCTAGTGGCTGTGTCCCTCCATTCTATGATCTATCCTCTAATAAGAGGAATATCAATTCCTACCTCCAGCTTTCCTGATTATTATTTCATCATATTTTTCTTCTTTCTAGCCCTTTGCCAAGAGTGGCTTTTATAGACTTGCTTGGGGATATTTTCCATTAAAAAGAAATGTCACTAGTTTAACCGTCAATAGGTTTTATGTAGGCTATATGTTTAAATAAAATAAAGCTTTGTGGCTTGATTCAAGACCATTGATTGATTGTAAATGTTAAAGCCATCGTACCGGTAAAATAATTGTCATGTAATAACACAGTCGTCGGTTTTATTATGAAAAGGATTCTTTTTTTAACATTCATTGATGTTATTATTATATATCTTTGTCCCCATTAGTGAGAACTGTCCGTCTCAGAAGGTCATACGATTATCCTGCGAAGAGCAAGGTTTGTTTACTATTTATAAAAAAAACCAACAGGTAGTTTTAATTAAGTAATTAATTTCTGTGCAATTCTAATTCCAAACTGAGCCCAAATCAGATATTTTGTGGATAGGACCATGGTTTTGCGCTTTAGAGAAGAGCCGTAGTTGGTTGTCAGCAACGCCCGTTTCAGACAGGGCCTTAGTCGCCATGACGTCCGAGCGATGCACCCCTGTATTAAATTCCCATACACTCTAAAAAAGCATTAGTCAGATTTGACTAGAAACCAGTTAAATATGACTAGCCATTCAGGGTCAGCTGGGTGCAACTGAAAATCAGTCAATCTGACTAGATTTTTCCAGTCAGTATTATTGACTTGGAAAAAGTAGTTATGCCGATAACTGAATTTCGAGTCGAACCCAACTACTTTTTCTAGTCACAGTATGAAACTTTGCATGTTTAACTAAATTCCTAGTAAATTTTCAATAACTAGGAAAACCAGTCAATATTTTGACCAAGTTGTTTTTAGAGTGTAGACACCAGTGCTAAATGCCCATACTTCAAAAATCTTTTTAAAATACTCAGAACTCTCAAAGGGATTTAGGCTGCACAGAAAAGTGATGATCAACATGTCATCTTTCATTTTCTGTTCAATTTTGTGTGGGTTGACCGTTGACTTTTTTGAGAAATTCACATCCAAGGAAGACCACCCCTTAAACCGATGATGCTTCCAAAACTGGAAAAGTAGCCATTTTGAATGATTCCTCCACAACATGCCTAAATAGCGCCACTTTCGGACCCAATTACATCCTAAATGCTCAGAATTGCATGAAAGCCCAAGTCCAGGCCAGAGGTAAAGTGCCATATGTCTCCAGTTCTCCAATTCCATGGCTCTCGAAACTGGCTAATACAGAATAACTTGAGTGTAAAACTTTTATTCATGAGCTCGGCCGACGGATTTTGGCCTTTTTACTGGGCTGTACCCCGAGCGTCCAATAGAGTGACACAGTAACCAATCACTTACTTGCTGTTGTTGTTTCGTGTAATAGAATGCGGTAGGCAGGGGCAGATGCCACGGGTAGTGAGCGGTAGGGACGTCCTCCCAGGGGAGGTGCCGTGGATGGTCTCCCTCAGCCACCCCAAGAGACAGAACGTCGATCATTACTGTGGGGGCGCCCTCATATCCAACAAGTGGGTCATCACCGCTGGCCATTGCGTGTGAGTAGGCTTTAAACAATGTTCTTTTTTTATCCATCTCGACGGGGCTGGCCAGAATCAGCGTGTCTTTTCAGTGCCCTTGTTTTCTTAAGTCCATTGAATCACGACATTTGTCCAACAAGATGACAACCGGCCAGCTTTGACCCGTATAAACAAGGCGGTTTATACCGCCATAAATGTATGGGTCTACGGCCAGCTAAAATATACCTAACATTGATAGAAATACCTATCGTACACGATTGTAATGCTGATGAGCGAATCTAAATCAAACGATATGAGAAGGTTCACTTATGCTTATTCATAATCTACCGTATACAATCAATGTGCGAGCATGTGTATACCTATCAATACAATGCTGCAACTTGTCATTAAACCTAACAGTCTTGAATCCTCCAATTTTAATGGTTTTTTTCACAAAGGGGAGGGTTGGGTGGCTTAGCACACTATCGTTCTTCTTATTATTCTACATTACAGTTACGCATTTCTGGACAACAATTCCAAAATTTGCATTTCTGAACAAACGTCATACATCATTGCAACTCTCGGATCTAAGGCCTTTGGTCTGTTCGTGTGTCGACTCTTAAGCCTCAGCCAACCTTTTCGATTTCTGGATCCGTCATGGACATCACTAGATTGCAATAATGTCTCCCAGAGAAGTGGAAACAACTCCAAATCAATTTTTTTCTCTCTTCTGTTATTAAAATAAAACACCGAGGAGTTCCCCATTGGAGCAGGTTTTTGGAACTCCAATATCTAGCCAGAGTGAAATAAATGTCTCTCAGAGAGGTGGAAACAGAAATAAAACCTGATCCTCTGGTTTTACTATAATTTCCCCCACAGGAGCGGTTTCCTTGAACCCAAAATTCTAGCCGGCACTGTCAACCTGACATCGGATGATGGGTACGAGCAGGTCCGACAGAGCAAGCGAAGTATTCCCTTCCCTTCATACATCAACTACAACTACAACGACATAGCCTTGCTAGAGTTGGAAGTTCCCGTATCGATCAGCGACCGGGTCCGGCCAGTCTGCCTCCCTCCAAGGAACGACTCGCATTTGACGGCGGAAGGCTCCTCGGCGTCCGTCTCTGGCTGGGGAGGCACGGTCCCATTCGGTATGAATGAGCTTCTCTGGCCTATACACGTGGGAGTGTCACTCAGTTATATTTTTGAAAGGTTTGCAATGAAGCATCGATCGAATAAAATATTCAGGAAGAAAAACGGAATCCCTTTTCTCAGTCTTCTAAACCTCGTATTCAGTTGGAGTCGACATAATTGCTCTCTATAAACACGGATTGAAGGCTGCTACGTGGTGAAACAATCGAAGATTTGAGAGGAAGGCCATGTGTGAATTTTTTCTTTAAGTGTGAAACTGACTCAAAGACGAACTAGCTATCATTTCGAGAAGGGTGCTTTGCTCCTCTAAAGTCAGAACAGCGTTCAATAATTGTACTATATAGACCTTATTAGACGAGGAAGTCATTTTCAATCGGATTCCCTGAATCTGTTTTATAAATTGCAAACTGTTGAGTGGGATGGTGCCAGACTATTGGAGTGCAGCTGGCCTCACTTACGTTTTCTTTGTTTAATGTGGCTTAACCCTTAAAGGGCCGGAGGAAAAAAATTCCGGCGAAAACTGAATTTTCCCATATACGTCGTGCACACAGAGCAGAATTACCATTCGTTCATATGAATAATTAATTAGCCACAACTCCAACACACTTTGACCTATAGTCATGAAATTTCGTGGGTATGTTTATAATGTGTTGCTCTATGCATGTATTAAGTTTCAAAATTGTTCGTCACTCGATGGCCGAGATCTTAGGGGGCGGAATCCCCCCCCCCCCCCCCCCCGGCTGAGAGATGGTCAAAATAACCTGGCCCTTTTAGGGTTAAACCATTAGGTTGTGTTTGATCACAAACTTTAAATTATTCATCAGAACAGCCTGGTATTTTTAGTAAAGAACCTCTGTTTCATTACTTTCATTTCTACTCTCAAGTTAAAAAAAAAATAAACGACATATTAAAGCGTAAATGCGTTTATTTCTTCGGTAGGCTATACACCTCACATACTCCAGACGGCGAGGGCGACAATCATCAACACGGAGAACTGCAAGAACTTCGAGGATATATCCTACGTCAACGAGAGAGTAGTGTGCTGCATGAATCAGTACGGGGAGCAAAATTCTTGCAAGGTTGGTCAAGGGTGGAAAACAATTATTTAAGTAATTCAATCATGATGTGCAAATGACATGGTGTGATCTCCATTTCTTCACGTTATATTCAAAGGAGTTTGAAAGATTAAAGGCATCGGTCTTTTTTTCCACCAATAGTCACCAGAACGCAATTAATCAAATTTGTCTTAGACAATTAGGTCTTGCTTATAAGATCGAACCTTTAGGCCAACATTTGTTTAATAGTTATGCAAACATTTGGGAAAAAAACGGTGTGTTTTCCCCCATTATCTGTCTGAAAATTAATATTTTTAATTCCACATCCAGAGATTTCGATACACCATTCTGTAACGTTCAAAATATAGATCTTTCAAACAATTCGTGAAGAAAGAAAGGAGGAATTATTTTCCGTGAAAGGATGGGCATCGCATCTTTAAGTTAACAGATATTTTAAGACCTCAATCTCCGTGTTCTTTCTTACATCGTGCAGGGCGATAGTGGCGGACCTCTTACCGTCTCGGACGCCGGTAAGTGGTATCAGATCGGGCTGGTGAGTCGAGGCGGTACCCCGAGCTGCTCGGCACCCAGACAGGTCGTGGTCTACTCCAGACTAGCACAATTTCTCGATTTTATAGAGAAATACGTAAAAGGTTGATGAAGCCTGTTATGCTTTTCTTTTGTTTTTGTTTCTCAAGTTGTTGCTGGAAGGTATCATCTGTGCATTAAAGTTACCTCGTATACGAGGTTGAAAGAGGGGTAGCAATGTTTGGCAGTTTGGTAGGGAGTTTTTTTGGGGGAGGTAGGTTTTTTTTAAACTGCCATAGAGCATCGTGCTCAAAAGTTTCTCCCCTCAAAAAGCCTTGGCAACCTCTCGAAAGGCCAGTTGCTTGTATAACAACACTGTAATAACTGAGATCCCCCGCCCGACCCCATCTCACCTATCCAAGTGAATCAATAATTTTAGAAGCTACACGATAACGTTTTTCTCTATCTTGATTCACTGTCTCTTCTGTCTGTTAAAATGGAATCAACAACCGAACAAAACTGTCCCTTGTTTTAGTGAGGATGCGTATTAGATGAATTAAACGAGTATTGTTTCAAAGGCATTCTCTTGAGCCTTGTATTTACTGTGGCAAAGTTTGTAGCAGAAACTTTGGTTGATGCTGTGCATTGTGATAAATAAATGGAGCAATGAAAACCGAAATGTATTTTGGTTGGAAGCTTGGAAAAAACGCCTTGGATAATATTTTAATGCATTTCGTTAGTCGGTAAAAGGCAAGGGGACCTGCTTTAAACTCTTGATGAACGTTTTACTGTTTTGCAATGATTTTGACGAACGTTATGACGAACCTTATGACGAACGCATGTGTGGCTTAATTCGGTCATTTTGATAGTTCCAGAGGACCAGCCTGTAGAGTCCTTTTTGCGCCTTTCTCACTTTATACTGACAAACTCACTCACTGCTGACTCACTGACGAACTGACTGACTGACTGACTCCCCGACTTCAATCTGGGCTGGGTTATCGTATGGGGATTACCCATTAACATACACCAATGAATGTGCTAAATCTGGTCCATTGTGTAGCCTATACCAGCCAGATGCGTGAAAAGACCACTAATGAATACTCATTCTCAATATATTGACTACATTACTCTGCGCGCTTTGGTATCTGCACTACAAAGCTCATCTTAGTTAACTGTGAATTCCACTATAATTATTAATTGCGTAATAATAATGATTATTACAGCTGTCATTTCCCAGTGCAAGATTATGTCTTACACGTTTTATAACCTGTTTAAATACACGAAATTTACATTTTTGTAGCCGATTTGGTGGGTTTTGTTAGCTTTGAATTTTCCATGTACTATTTATATAAGACCGTTTTCTTTAAGGAAATTTGATTGAAGAGTACTTAATGTATCAGCATATTCATAAATGGGCATGATGCATTTCTACTGAGCAAGTAAACAAGTAAACAATAACATATATCAAAAGATTTTGCTCTGCGGAATAACTGATTATGAAGATTGGTGAGAAATGTTTAAGTAAAATTGTACCGTGTCTTATGTCACACTAATTTTTCCTCCGTACTATAATTACTAACGAACAGCACTTTTATGGTGAAAAATAGAGTGTGAGGGATGCGTACACGTGAAAATGTATTTTTGTTTGAGATTAAAATTGAACATGGAGTTTCCAATCTGAGTGCGCACCAAGACATTTTTTTAAGGATATTTAACAATTGTTGACTGCTGTGATGTCGGATATGACGTTTTGAACACCCGAGGGGCGCGTAGCACCCAAGTCAACAATTGTTTTGTTATACCTCTGTCTTGGATTCTTTGGACTTTGAAAACACGAAAACAAACATCAGTAAACAGCAACTATCATGACAATCGAACGTCAACACACATGCATGTCGCGTACCGTGCTTGAAACTGCTGCTCGTCTGCTAGTTCGCTGCTCCAACTCATGAAAATAGCGTGGGTACCAACAATGCAAGCGTTTCACACCGTACGTACCGTACGCACAAAGTCATAGCACACTCTCTGTGTGTGATATCCCACAGGGAGTGTGCCGTGACTTTTTATAAACTTAACACGTGATCGTTTTAAGCCAATGAAAATACAGTATTCCAGACAGAGGTATAACAATAGACGTTGGCTTGGAACGTTTTGAAAAGGTATGTAAAAAAAAACTTGTAACTATACCTATTATATGTATTAACTTGGACATTACTCATTTTAAGTTGTACAAACTGTAAAATGTTATAGCAAATAGTTCTTAGACTTTTGGAAGTATTGGTACATGAAAATTTTTTAAGTTACGCAATGTACCAAAAGAGGACTTTTTTCTGCTAAAGAACGTTCGTTTGGAGATATTCATTTCGTGCCAATTTGAATAATTATCGTAATGTCATAGTACATTTCACTGGATACGAAAATATTAGCACACGAAATTTCCGATTGGTTGTGGACACGTCAAATATTTGAACTATTTATTACATTAATTCAATTGTTATCATTTTACTCTTAGTACCTGTTTTAATACGAAAACACTTGTAAAGATTTTGTATGTGTTCAACTCATAGTAGTGTTAAAATTACACTAATTATTAATAGTAGTTTAGCTCACGATGAAGTAGTAATAGCGTTTTTTACGAGTACTATTATATATGCTGAAAATTTTCTAATGATTTACATTCCTTTATTGACTCAAACCCCTCTCTAAATCAATCACATTTCTTGTTAAATGTCGTGTAATAAACCATTTTATGTCCCACAACATTTTGCTTGAAAAGGAATTTTTGGCACTTAATGACGGCAGTGGTACAATAATTGGCCTAAACTGTACAATACTGATGGTGAACTTACAACACAAAATGTTGAAAATTACGTCGGTGCATGGCAGAATCTATCCAATGAGAGCCGAAAGAAATTAGCCGCAACCAGGGTTAGTAAGAAATTATCTCATTCTACAGAGGATAGCTTTGCAGTCTTTCCGGAACCGTCTATTTGCCAGACCGTAGATGACGGGATTAATGGCGCTATTCAGATACAGGGCGAACACGAACGCGTTAAGAACGAACGGCCTGTCGGCACCCACGATATCAAACACTAGAGCGATCCAATACGGAATCCACAATATAACAAACACTAGCGTTACAACGAAGAGCATTGTGGTGGTTTTGCGTTGAAACGCCATTGAAGACGCTTGCCTGCGTTCGGAGGTTGGCACCCTAGGTGGCCGTGTGGACGACGTCGCGCTGCGTGCGCTGCGGTCATTTGTCGTTGTCTGGGTCGAAGAATGGGGAGAATTTCCTAAGTCTGGGTACCGATTTTTATTCTCCGTACTGAGTTTTGAAGAGGAGGACCATTGGGAGACGATGCTCTTCAGAAAGTCATCTGGAGTTTTCAGGCTATTGTTGCAAACTGACCCCAAGTCGCTACATGACGTGTGGTTGTTGCAGTGCCGCGATCCCACGTGTGCTGACACCGTCGCAATTGTCGTAGATCTCGCCGCGTCAGTTTGATGTCGCATGCCTAACGCACGTCCTAGAGACCTCGTACCGACTCGGACATGCTTACGTATTCTCAGGAGTACCTTTGCGTAGCAAACGAATATCAAGGCAAGCGCAGGAACGAAACCACCCATTTGGAAAGCGGTCACGATTATATACAAGGAGGCCGGTGCCTCGGGCCCCATTACCACTTGAACGCAAAGCGGAACATTTGCGGCAACTGCAGAAGCGACGGCCGCTAGCAGGGCTACTTTAATCCGGCCTTTGGTTAGAAGGCGTCTGTGCGGACGGCACACGCAGTCGTAGCGATCCACTGCGATCACGGCCGTTATGAACCCCGAGGTTCCAACGCACATGTTCTCGAAGCAGTTCCAGCGATCGTCAAGTCCCTCCGGTACGCTAACCCCGGCAAGAGCCAGGGTGAACCGCGTGATCTCGTACGGACGAAGCAAGCAGACAAGCAGGTCAGTCGCGGCGAGTGCCATGATGAGAATATGAGTGCTGGATTTGTGTCGCTTGCTCCAGTAAACGCGGAGGATGAGGCTGTTCCCTGGCACGCCGAGGACCAGGATGAAGGTGGAGTAGGCGACAATCGCGGCAGCTATGCCGGTGTCCGTCCCGCCTGGTACAAGGAGAGTGATGTTAGAGGAGCCAAGCTGCGACATTGTGGTACGGATCACACAGGTACTGTCAACTTTCAAAACTTGAAGACGATGTCCCAACGCCTTATCTTAGACAAGCCAGATAGTGCACTCCTTCCTAGTCGATACGGCTGGTCAATACAGTAACGGAAAACCACTGATGACAACCCGAAGAAATTTACATACTGTTATAAAATCCAACCTTGTTTTAACACAATATCTTAGCTTTTGAACGGTGTTGTGTCCAAGGTTGAGCTAGGTAGTCCATCCAGCATTCACCGATAGGCCTATCCCGTGTAAAGCTCGGTAACTCCTCGGCTTACATGGAGGAGCTGTAAGGGTGTCAACTACGAAATGAGCATGCAGTTACCAAAGCCCGCTTAATCAGACACCCACCCCGGTCTGTGTTTTCTGTCCGATTGGTTGTCTGCATGACTCCGTTCCCAAGAATTAAATTACGGACATCGTTTGACTTGGGATACGACTATAATCAAAGGTCCTCACCAACCGACAAATTTAATAAGTGGGACCCCGAAACGTGTTGCCATGCTCGCAAGTCAAAGCCATCGAGAATACTGACCCAATTCGTTTCCCGAATTCAACATATTATGCGTCGTAACTGAGGCAAATGTAACTGCTCACCTTTCATTGAAACGATATATTTCTTTTGAAAATGGACACGATATGTCATCTTTCATATTGACACCGATTTTTGATCGTGTGTACTTGCTGACACACACACCCAAACGAACATTAGAATTAGGGTACAATTTAGATCGTCATATATCGCCATTATTAGCTTTTTAAGTTTGTATTGTTTGTTTTGGCGGCAGTACAATGCGTCCATTTTAATAAGTTAATTATTTCATCATCTACCTTTACTATTTTTCTGAATGAAAAAGACTGATCATATAGTTCGATGCAAGGATTTTCGTTATAGATATTATATTCCATATTTTTTGTAACATTGAGAATAAGGTGAGCATGAACAATTTTTTTTACCGGACATCTGGACATCTGTTTGAAGACATTTTTTTCACCGAAAGAACATTCTTCTGCTAGCCTTCCAACCACATAGGATTTCACGAAATGCCTGCCTGAACTGTCTGTTCAGTATGCCATAAATCACGGGGTTGCAGGCCGAGTTACCAATGGCTAGCCATGTCGAGATGACGAACAATGCGTCGGGGATGTTACAATTGTACGGTCTACCGAGACAGACCATCGTCACAACATGTGGCAGCCAACAGAGCAGGAACGTTCCTATGACGGCGAGAAGTGTCATAGCGGCTTTCATGTCTGACTTCGCCCGTTTCGAAGGCTGTTGGCTGGTGCCTCTCTGAGGCGAGCTACGGTTCTGTGCGTCGTGGTTCAGGCCTACTCGAAGCGCGGCCACTTGCCGCGACTGCTTGCGCGCCGATTTGAGAATGTGGTAGTAGCAGAAGAACATGGTGGTCAGAGGAAATCCCAAATCTATAGCGAAGGCCGTCAGGGTGTAGGAGAGCACCCCTCCCCAATCGGCCGTGCAGAGATACTCCTTGTCGATGTACAGGTAGCTGGACCATCCCAGCATGGGCAAGGCGGATAGGATGACAGCTTGGAGCCACGTAACGCAGATGGACGCCACGATTTTACGGCGCGTCATGAGCGTGCTGTAGCGTAGCGGATGCACGATGGCGATGTAGCGGTCCACGGCTATCGTTCCCAGGGTAAAGACACTCACACTGCAGAAGAGGGTCGTCAGAGCCCCGCTGAGGGAACAGAGTGCCGGACCGAAGGGCCATTCCCCCAAGACACTGCAGGCTACGATGAGAGGCATGGTTAGTAACCCGTTGAGGAGGTCGGCAGTGGCCAAGTTGGCCACGTAGACTGAGGCGGTGTTGCGTAGCTTGATGTCCCGGTAGATCGCAGTCAGGACCAGGCTGTTACCGACCACGCTGAGGAGAAGAATGATAACCATCGTGGACGTCTGGGCAACAATGACTATTATATGACGCTCATCATCCAGGAATGGAGGAGATTCGTCGATAGAAGAGTTAGCAGTGCCGAAAATCAGGCAAGATGAAGCATTGCAATTCGTCATTGTCTTAAGGAGTTTTCCGTGATATCTTCAATCCAATAACAACGAGTCTATTTTCGGCTTTTCAGAATAGGTAGAGTTTTAAAAGAACGCATCCATCAGTTTGACCTGTTTAATGGACATCCGACATCGAATGAAATAATAGAGAGGTTCTGGAAGTCTATAATTATAGGCTGACGATGTGCCTATTTTATTTTGATCGACTGGCCGAGTTGGTGTGGAGCTGCTACCGTGTTTCGGAGGCGCACGTTCGAATCCGTCTTCAGTCACAAGTTTCTCCATTCAACCAAAAACAAGTTCGGTTGAAGAAGACCACTTTACACGCAAATGTTGCTTCCTTGTGGCCTTTTTTTATTCTCATCATCCAAAACACAAAGATCGCCCTAACCACAGCTTCGTTATCAAATTCAAGCATATCCCAATATTGATGGACTGTTTCCATCCAGCTAATGAAGTGCCGCATCACGTGATGTTTGCAGCACCGCGGCAGACTTGCACCAAAGATGAGGTTTAGCTTCGGCGCGAATCGGCCGGTCCCTACCTGCCTAAGATATCGATCCAATAAGTCAAAGTCCGCTATTTCGTCAGGTAACTCTATCAACCGTCTAGATTACGTTCAAACAATTCAGCTTGCTGCACGGAAGTTTAAAAAAAAAAGGATAAAAATGCAAACGCACGCGGTACTCCTATAGCAATGAACCAATTCCCACACACCATGACACAATCATGACGTCACACTCGGATGTCTTTGCGCATCACCAAGGTTTTGACACCAAGACAAAGTGTTATGAACTGCTCGGCAGAAACATGCAAATTGGCCGGCAACCTGAATGTAGTTACGCATGATATTATGTCCCGTACTAAGCAAACATTATGTGCTTTCCTGGCCAATGAAAATTGGTCTCAGTTCGAAATTGTAGTCGGTAATAGCCAATTGAAGCTGTACCTCATTTACAACATTCCCGGCAAGCAGTTTTGACTGAAATGTCAATGTTGACGTGACATACGGCGACATTCATTACGAGCAAGTGATATATTGGTGACAGACTTTAGGCTACGGTCAATACGAAAAGGCGAGTCGGCTTTAGTGTGTACAATCGGAAATGTTACATCACTCCCGCTTCATGTCGTTGCCATGACAGCCGGTTCCTCCAGTTTGTTTGTTCCCCGCTCATCAAAGACCTACCGGTTGAAGCTTGATTTGGAAGAATGCTCGCTCACAGCACGCGCCGAATGTGGAGACCCTGCTTCGTCATATTTGCGGACGTCACGAGCCTTTCATATAGAAATGTCAACATATAGTTATTGATTTGGAATGTAACCGAGCATCAGATAATAATGTTGACAAAGGGATCCCATATGTGCTCCAATTGACGCGATTGATCATGATGGATTTCGAAATTGCTCTCCTGAGGACTAATTGCAACAGTGTACTCTTCTTTGGCAAATGTTTTTCACTTCTCGTTTTAACACCTTTCACAAAAGTTTTTTTTTGGCTTAACAAAAGCAGTAATTGTGGCACATAATAATATCTCATGACATTCGCGTCTAAACGTGCTGAATAAACTCATTAGGTATTACAATCTAAACATGCCTCCGTTTACTCATCATATTTTATAGGAAATAATCTCAGATGGAATTCGCGAAGAAAAGGAACACACTCATAGCCGTTTGATACAAAAAAAGGAGAGAAATGTTGACCTGAGGAGCCATAATTATTGACTCGAGACAAAGTTGGGATATAACTCTAAATTCATCGGGAATCGTGACTGAATTTCAATTGAAAAGGACCGATGTACCGACTCGACAAAGTTGATTTGTATCTTCAATAAGTAAACCGGACGTGCAGAGTCCTAGATGTCTGACGGTTTGTGATAACACCAATAAAAAATCATCATAGATTTCATCTCCTGTTGTTTGTCCACCACTCAACAAAAGACAGGTTCTTGCGGATGCATCACGACGATAACAGCTTCTAAAACAACGAGACAAAATGCCGCGTAATGTTGGGGCAGGGGCAATGCAAGAACTGTTACAGTGCACAGATGAACAACGATTTCAAAGGAGGCAAATGTTTAACTTTGTTGGAAGAAAATAAGTGAGATGCTCTCATTCTTATCTGATGAAAATGAGCAGTAATTGCTGCAGAAGAAAAAAAGAGAGCGAGTCATGGTGGTTGGGGGCTGCTTGGATACAAGTAATTAAGGGGAGCAGGCTCACAAATGCCCACGTGAGTCTAAAGTTCATTGATCTTTACACTGACTAACCATTTTATTCAATGCATATTTGCCCTGAAAAGAATTAAGTAATCTTGATAGAAGATTTTCAGATATTGTTATTGGACAATGTCCGATTGAGTCAATCAGATTCACTGCACTGAAAATGGAAACAATTGAGTAGACTTGTAGTTACACAAAAAGTTGGCATAGACCATACCTCTTCTCCGACAAAAGCCACAAATCTGGGTTCCAGTGTCACCCAACTGTAACGGGCATAAAAGATATACGCCTCAAGTATTTTTTACAATAAAAAAGGTTGGCCCCGTGATTCACAACCATACATGTCGAGTCATAATAGTTGTACGTGCTTCATATGCATCCATATAGTGGGAAGCTAAAACTATACTTGCCAAACGGCCAGATATTGCAAATTAAAGATATATAATGTATATATTCCGAGACTTAAGGTACAGGCTACATTTCTGTCACAAGGTTAAAGTCAGAGCAAGAAACTAATAAGATAGCCTAGTATGAAAAGCTCGAAGTGTTATGGTAATCTAATTATTGAATTTAACCTTGGCTTATTTTGTGTGCCTGTACACATGTAAAGGGGACGTGTTTTGCCTATAGCCTTGGAGGTTTTCCCGTGAACGCACTTCCCTCGGAAACAAGGTCTAGTCATAGTCTGGTCGTCACCGAATTTCGAGCCAAGATACGATTGATTCATTTCTGAGGTTTTCCTTTTGCTGGTACTTGGTTGACGCATTGTCAGTGCGCCTGGGTATGCTATGAATATGCATACTTTCCGCTCCACGGATCTCAAAGGCCAAATCTGAAGTACAGGTACATGACCTAGTACTTTATCGTTATGTCTACACGTTGGAGTTGGTCCTGTAAGAATTACCTGGTAGCCTAATACAACACCACCTCGAAATGCTTATAGCAGACAGTGAATGGTTGCGCATCAAATACTGTAGGCGTACTCAGGTTCCACCTGACCTTAACTGTATGAGGAAATACCATTGACAAACATATTTCCTTTTGATGTAAAACAGCACGATGCATGCAGTGAATAGCAGACTGGAGTATAGGATGTGTGCTGATTGACCTTTCAGTAAAGTCTACGAGTGCACGATTATCATAAATCCCGTGTGCATAACACGAACACCATGGGTGAATCAACTACTCGGTGAGTTTTACTTTTCGAACACGTTGAGTACGTCAAGTTCAAGTGAGTAGAGTTTGGTAGAGTTGAGTAAGTTGGCTTGAATGCAGAGGTGGTTGTCGGACTTGTAGTTATAGTCTAAACATGGAGAAGAATGGTCTAAATGAGTGGAGTCGAGACTAAATGAAATTTGTCATTTAGGTGAGGCCAGGGATTGAGTTGATATAGCCTATAACTGGTTGTTCGGTTTACGGTATAAAGGTTTTCTTCATTGTCTATTGTATACTTTTAGCTTTTGATTCCAATTGGAACATTGATCTATTGGGCGAGTTCGTATGACGTGTAATCGTTGCGCTGGTTTAAACATTTCGCAAAGGGATCAGTTTTTTTGATCTGAGCTAATGTGATTTAATTAATTGTGATTTTAGAGTTTGGAAGTGGGGCGATCCAGCTGCACCCAGTTTCCCAGAAGACCATTATGATGTAGCTAAAAGCGCCCTCTTTCAGGTAAACGTTATGATAGATACATATAGAGTTGCATCCCGTGAGGTTTAAACTAATCGGATTTGATTTTTTTTTTTCCATTTTGGTACCTATTGTGGGCTTTTTTGTGAAAAAAAAAGCTGTCTTCGAAAAACCAAGCTTTTTCTAAAGAAAAAATCAGAATTTTAAGCAATTATTTTACACAAAATTCAAATACACATTCCTGGAACTCTTGGTAACCTTCCAGAAGAGAAAAAAAGGTGGACGATGGTCACTTTGTTTCCCCTTCCCCTCTTGTGGCTTTCTAGGACCCGCCCCAACCCCAGCCGGGTGAGGATGCGGAGTTTCGTCTTCTGGAGCTCCACGTTGTCTCTACCGACAACGAAACCGAGTCGGACGGGCAAACACCGACCGAATACCCGTGCCGCGTGTTTACACACACCGGTCGCTTGTTGGAAATGCAGGTAGGAGATTTAAACCACTATTTGTTTAACATGCGCACTGTCCGTCCTTTCCCATTTGCACGTGCCTCACTTGTCATATCTCATGATACATGTCAAGGCCTCTCATGTTGTTAAACTTCCTTGAACGACTGCAAGGTTAAAGCAATAAACACTAAACCCGTGTTGCTTACTGACGTTTTATTATTGTATGAGATTTGTGTGGGTGTTCATAATATCTCATGCGGAAAAGTACAGTCGGGTAAAAGTTTCCCAAATCAAAGTAGTTCCCATTTATGATAATTTCTTCGTCAAATCCTCCTTTGTCAAATCATCAGCAAAATTGTAAGTAATTTTTATCTTTATAATCAATGTATAAATTCAATTTTGTCGGCAGTTTTTATTGTAATAACTCTTCTGATTATATATTAACAAGCTGTTCATTGAAGTAAATTTAAGTAATTAATATTTAGTAATTAATGCATTGGAAGTAATTTTTTGCCTCCTGAGATGCAACTTTTGTCTAATGTATTGGAAATACATACTATCAAATGAATTTGAAGGAAAAGTTTAATAATTTTCGCCAAAAGTCTTTATGCATTTGTTGAACTAAATTGACCACCTTCCCAAAAAGTTTAAAAACAACAACAACAACGTTAACAAAAAAACACTGCGTTCAACACGTCTTTCCGTCAGGATGAAACCTATGGGAGTAAGGAATGTCACTACGCATCGTCTTGCGAAGAAGCCCTTCGTATCTACGCCAAGATCTACTCCAGTTTCTCCGACTTTCACAAGACCAAGAAGTTCCTGTCCCGATGGATAGGCTCCCCAGTCTACCGGAAGGTAATTCTTGTACCTAGCCTGGATGTCTCACAGGGGAAGTTATCACGCGCGTGACCTATATAGCTACTCGCAATAGGATTTCGTTCGGGCATTGACTTTTCTTCGGCTTCGTCAAGGCTGTATTATCTCAGGCAAAATATGGAGCCATTGTCGCAAAAAGGACAAAAGAAGCACACAAAAACATACGCGGAATAGTGAACGGACGACTACTAAAATCTGAATTGTGGAGTAACTGCAAAATTCGTTACCGACTATACAAACGTTTTTATACGCAGTGGTGGCCTCTAAAAAGGGGGGGAACACTTGATGTTTTGTAAAATAAAACAGAAAAAGAGGCCTGTGATCCATAATCCCGGCTTCAATTATAATCCCTGCTATTTAGTTGTTTGGATTTGACCTGTAATCAATTTGAACCTCTTATTTCCATTTTCACCTACAAAAGGTCTGAAAGTAAGGTGAAGGTTTTTAGCGAAAAGAACTTCAATCTAGAACCTTTTTTTTTTGCCAACGGATTTTTTTGACTGCCATACAAGAGACTAATGTAGATTCAGGTCATGTCCTCTTTTTTTTTAAACTTTCAGCAAGCGATGGAAACTGGACTAACAGACGGGCCAGCTATCTCAGACGAAGTGACGAGGCTTGTTGAGTATCTCTGGCGGGAAGCGAATGGCGAACTCCGAGAAATCTTATCAGTTCCCTACCGGAAAATAGGCATTGGAAAAGTAGGTCTTATAATATAGGGCCATGTCACATGAAGCAGTGTACAGGCAACTGCTTTGTGCTTTCAGGCATGTCTTAGAAGAAAATGCAGACAAACTGAAAAGAAATTTATTATGTCGTGAATTTGTTTCGTATTACCCGATGCCCATAACTTTAACGTTCATTGAGAGTGCCAGTGAAAATTGCTGTGCATTAATAACCCAAATATTCTCCTGATGGAAACTCAAAACTCTTGATAGTTTCTTGTAAAAAAATATCCGCTAATCTTCAACATATACCTGAGTTTGCAGGAATAGACTTCTTGTAACAGTGCACATGCAACACAAAATGTAATCTTCAGTGAGTATACTGTTGTCTGAGTGTAAAAAACTATAGGAACAGTTGGAAATGTTGCAGGTACGAGAGACGTATAGGCGGCACAGAATTTCCTTGCTACTTGCGGGTTATTAAATATTTCACGTGGCGTAAATATGTTCATCTCGCAGTTTTGTTATCAAGTTTTTGTTCAAGCCTCGCACACTCGTAGACATTCTGATGTCCCAATTAAAACCATGCATACCGCTACCTGGATAGAGACAGTGTCGGCATGCATGAGTGTCGGGCAGTTTCAATAGATACAGCGTTAACCGGAAATAGCCAGACATTCAGGAAATGCAGTCAACCTAGGGATAATAGACACAGCTGCAATAGTGAAACTCTAAATATAGTTTTCGATATTGAATTTTTTGCACAACCCTCAAAACGTGCTAAATTTTACAGGGTTCGACTTTAGCGGTAGCCCGCTAATGCCGCGGTCAAAACAGCGGCGGGCTAGCCAAGCTGTTCCTTACTAGGTACTAGCCCGGCTGGCGAGTCAAAGATTATTGAGCTACGGCAAAGATGAAAGGACAAGCAGAAATAAATAATTCAATTCAGAAAGCAAACCTGCATGAACTAGTTTCTAATTATATTAACTGTTCAGGGTTAAACTATTATCTGTTTATTAAAAACACTGACAAAGTTGCCTCAGCATAAACACGTTTTAGATGTATGCACATTGTTGTTTATGAGACACTCTATAAAAGGAAAACATGCGGGCTAGCAAAAATGCCCCGGCTAGTTCAGAATCTGTAATAAACCTGGGTGGCTAGTTAAAGTCGAATCCTGACTAAAATGATCAATGTACGCCGATTCACTTTAACTACATGCTGTTGCAGTATTTCTTAGATAATATTTTCAAATTCCTATGAGGATTTTATTTTCATTTTAAATATTTTTGGGGGTTCTTTTCAGGTGGAAAAGGCGGAGGGTATATTACTCCAGATCAGGAAGATGTTAGACGCTGATTGCGACGGCTACGGACCGGATCTCGATAAGCTGAACGACGAGTTCTACCGACTGATACCGCATAAATTACACCACGTGGCACCCGTGAACAACAAGCGCACTCTAGCCGGCAAGCAGGAATTGTGCCAGGTGGGACAAATACGAAGCAGATCAAAAATATGTGTAATAATTTATATTAACCTTGCTTTTCAAAATGTTTGTTTTAATAGTCGATTTGGTAATATCATAATTTATTTTTAATAAATTATTTTTTAAAGTATAGCCACGAGCCTAACCTACTATTAGGCCATTTTGAAAAAAAACACAAAACACAAAGCAAAAAAAAAGAGAAAAAAGTCGAATAACTAATCCAAAATTGACAACACAGAGGAGAAAAGAATAAGGTTAGGTAGATATTTGAAACATTTTTTAGCAGAGAAGCACAAAATGAAAACTGGTAATGATTTAATCTAATCATTTTTTAGACAAATGGTTATTACACAAAATGAGTCGGTGTTTTATTACAAGACGAATCAGTATAATTCTACCATTGCGATGCATTATAGCAAAACGCAATACCTAATAATTGTAACAACTAATCTCAAAGCATCGTTGAACCCCAAAAATGTCTGAAATCTCTTAGGTGAAAAAAAAAATGTATAAAATTTCACAACTACCAACGAATTGACACCTATGAGATTATGTGGTTATTATTTGCAATTTTGTATTATGTATCTAGCTTATTCACGATATTGTGGCGGTGAGTGAAGCGACAGACTGGTCCCAACGCAGCACCAGTCAGTCCAGATACCGTGCATTGCAATGCTACCTGGACTGTCTGGCACCTGATCACCCGGAGTTCGTTAAGGTGGAGAAACTGGTGAAAGCCACCGTGTCGAGGTATTAGTTAAAAAGTATAGACTTTATGCGTTAAGATAAGGCGGAGTAATAGAGGGCAGTGCTGTTGTATATTGACAGGGGTGTAAATCCGGGGGCAGGATGGAGTGGGGGGTATACCCCACTTTTTGACCAGGGGTGTGCTACTAAATCAACCCCCGCCTCACCCACCCCCCCCCCCCCCCCCCCCACACACACACACACACACACACACACACACTTTTTGTGATGAGAAAAATAAATTCGGATTTTGAGGTATGTTTCTAACATCTCAACAACCAAAATGTATTCAATAGCACTGAAAAGTGGAGAAACAAAGTACGAGCGTTTTTAAAAAGCGCCATTTTGATGTTAGTGTGAGTATGTTATTGACATACATCCATATCAGCGCCCCCTAGTGTAATGTGGTGTCCAGGGTTTGTTTGAAGTGATTGAAGCTTGTTCAAAACAAATCGGCTATGTTTTTCTGCAAGTTGATCACCGATTTTACACTCTCCTAGAAATTTGCTAAAATTTCCATTCTGCTCGATTTTCTGCTAGATTTTTTTTTTTACAAAAAAATCTGTTCAGATCTGGTCGAAAATCGGCTATGAAGACATGTGATACATACATTGTCACTGAATTTTAATAAAACCTGCCCACGGTGAGGGCGCTCTGTGCACGCCCTCTGCTGACGTAGTCGGAGCTCTGGATGCTCTTTGGTAAACGGCCTTTGTTTGTTCCATGTATGTCTTTTGTGACTTTGTTTCGTTTGTGTTTTAATTTTGCACTCCTTGTTTTTCAAGTGACGAGCCTCTGGAAATTAAGCGCATTTTTGCAGCAAGCCGAGGGGTCGAGGAAGCAGTGTATGCCCATGGCACTGGTAATGATCGGCTTCTCTTCCATGCTTCCAGGCCGGCTAACTTCCTCGGGATTCTCTCTAGGTGAGAAAACAAACTTTGCACAGCGCCACGACAGCTACCCCACATTCAAAATACACAGTGCAACAGCTGTTTGTATATTTTTTTTTTAGCTTTTCTGTATTCTTTAATATTATTGTAGCCTAGCAGCCGTTGAAACTGCTTTAAGCAATCAGAAGAGGGCGGGAATCTAAAATGTAATGAAATGGTGTTAATCAGCAAAGCATCCAAAATTCTGGCACCTCTTGATGCTAAAATAGCTGTAATCTTGAGGTTTCTGCCTGAAAAGACGTCACACTTTTGCTCATGAATATGGTAATTCACATTAGCATAAAACCAAAAAGGCACCAAAATACCCTTCAAAATGGCGAAACGATAATTGAAAATAAGGTTGGATGGGACACAAAGGATTGCCAAGGATTGCACAACAAATATTACATTACATATCGAATCATGATAGAAATGATTAAACCTGTAAGGCTGCACAATTTAATACTGTCAGTAACATTACAGAATTCGTCCCATAAAAGAGGATACTATGTTCAGCTTTCATACACACTTTCCCGCAGTTGGCCATAAAAATGACCAATATTTCTTTGAAACCTCTGCTACTTATAAGTAGCTCCTTCAGATTCAAGTCTCTCACGCGATGCACTTTGTTCTGACAGGTTGTATCCACAAAGGAAACGAAATACCGTTATCTCTAAGTGCATTACACTTATGCGCTGTACGTGAAGATGATCCCTCGTAGTAATAAAAGTGTGAAGCTTTTAGCACGAGTGTTATCAAACAATTGCCTATTACCTGAACACGACAAAACCTGTTTTATAATTTATATCAGCGTTTAGGCTACTGCTGTGAGTTGAGTGAAACAAATAATGTGCGATCTCCAGGCGGAAGTTACGGAAGACGGATAGTGCCACTCAATAAGTCTGAATATATATATTTTTTGTACGTGTGAAAATATTTTTTGTACAGCGGCCGCCACTTATTATGTGGCGGCCGCCACTAATTTTGTGGCGGCAAGTGGCACTATCCGTCTTCCGAAGGAAGTGGATGTAACTCACCTTCGTAAAGAAATCGACTGCGAATGGGAATAAGAAAATAATAGAGCCAAAATCTACAATGCAGTTTCGCTCCACTTTAGGGGTGTTCAAGTAAAAGCAACAATTTAAAACCATTATTGAAAGAGTCCTTAAATGACCGGCCCCTTTACCCTAGCTGCTTTGTCTGTTGTTATCAGGCCCAGATATTTTTCATGCGGTATGCAATCTTTTTTCTTTGGAATCTGAGAAAAACACGAGCGTTCTATAGGTTAGGTTGATACGAAATTGTGTTTTGTTTTCTCTCGTGTAAGGGGTGTTCTACTCCCGAAGATTGTCGTCGAGGTGTTCGGGGGTTCCCGGAGAGATGCAGGAATGCTGGGAAGTGGAATCTATTTTGGCGACCGAGTCAGGTGGGTGTCACGTGATACAGCAATAATTGGTATAAAAGTTATTTATGTATCATGCGGAGAGACTATTTCTGTATCGTGTAACCTTGCAATTAAGAACTTATTTTCTCATATGTTACGTTTTATTATAGGAAGGGTTTTAACTTTAATTTTGTTTTGCTTATCCCCAGCACTGCACAGCAGTACTCGTCACCCAGCCAGCAGACCGGCACCAGACTAATGGTTGTCAACAAGGTTGCCCTTGGCAACATCAAAGACCTGTATTGGTTTGATCTGAGCCTGAATGAGGCACCTAAGGGTTACCATAGCACCCACGGTGTCAGCAGGACCGGCACACGAGACTCCGAGTTCAAGGTACAGCGTTCGTGTCGAATTTGTGTGTGCTTTCTTTCCTTAACTTACTACATCATACTGAGGCCAAGGGTTCGTCAAAAGTGCAAGGCACTGTCGCTCGGAAGCCTGTTGAGACGACGTCGAAGCATTTAATTTAACTGCTTGGAGGAAACCCCAGCAAGGGAAATCAAAGGGATCAGATGTGGATTCAACCTAAATGTCATCCCAAATAGGAATCACTCCTGGTTGCAGTGGTAGAAGACTTGAACATTTTTAATATTTAAGAAGGCTCTGGAATTCCTGTTCTCCATATTCGCACCCCAGAGTGAGCAGAACAAAAATCTGGATAACCATGAATTAGGGATTTTTTGGTATGGATGAATCAACTTTCATTTATTTTCCGCTTTTTGCTGGCTTGGAGCTACTCGTTAACTTCAACATGAAGATATTTGTTACTATTTACATTAAAAACAAACAGTGGAGAAAAAGTCATTAAACAAGTAACATGAACAAACTGAAATAGAAAACTCACGGTGAACTTTGAGCAACTTCATAATTTCTGTTTTCCAATTCTTATTGAACAACAGATGTGTTCCGCTAATTTGTTTTCAGAGAGAGAGAGAACAGATAAGACACGTTTGTACCACTGAATGAATATATGCAGGATTGACTTGCAGATTACTCACCCCCGCCCCTCCCCCCTTTAAAATTAGGATGACGAGTTTGTTGTGTACGAGGCGAACCAGCAGTGCATCCGGTACCTGGTGGAGTTCGTCTTGCCGGGGGACGAGGAGATCGACATGCAGCTATGCGAGACGCCGCAGGTTGAGGAGGGAGTTATGGAGCAGCTGATCTTTCCTGAGCAGGCCCAAGAAGAAAGCAGCGCCCGTCCTTCAGATATCGGTAAAACGATGAAATACAGTTGGCTTTCTGATTTTGCAAGGGGTCGGGTGTTAACGAGTGACATTTTTGCATTTTGCCCGACTTTTTGTTTAAAAAAAATGACATGAGTTGCTGAACGTAAACGGCGACACTTTTGGCTGTTGCAATTAAATTGATAGACACGTTAATGCAGAACTTAAAAGTATTTAACCACATTATTTAGGCCTACTGTTTGATTGTCTTTCTGTTTGTAATATTGGTATAAGATCGATCTTCGTCTGCTCAGAAACTTAAAAAGAAAGAAATCATAATTCTGCCACTATAATAACACTACGGACGGTAATATGTCAAATCTGACTCTATACGAAAACTTGATTCCTTGAAAGTGTACGTTTTCAGGACAGTGCCGTGTTCGGTCGGTGTACACAGTTATAAAGTATAAAGGGAACGGGACTTTATTTTAGAAGATTAAAAATGGCATCAATACATAAATATTGTTTGTTTTTCGGGGTCAGTTTCAGTTTGAAGTTTTACTGGAAATCATGATTTTTTTCAGGGGACAAAGTGCGGTTTTTATTTCACTGTTGATATAAAAAACCTGTTTTTTCTCCCTTAATTGACAGATTTGAGTGACATCGAATGTGCTAAGGACCCGATCGCCAGCATTGAAGCTGGTTTGGTCGGCAGCAATGAGACATCAGACACTGTGACGTTACAAGCCGTGCACATCAGGGCACAAATACTAGATCTTGTAGCACAGGTAAAGGGCGCTGTTATTTAAATAAACCAATATCTAAATCATCGTATGATATATTGTGAATTGGTATATTTTATTTAACATACTTGGTTTTTGTAAAGGTTTGTCTGTTCTTTTAACATTTGCATGAGAATTTTGGGTCTGAATTTGGGAGAATTTAGAGACAAATATATAGTACACGCACAAAATACCCAAGACGTGGTGCTTGTACTTGACTTTCGCTGTACTTTACCTCGCGTATTTGCCATGTGCCGGTAGGTTTTCGCAATTCCTTTAAAGAAATATAAACACATTTCGGCTTGGTAAATATCGCTGCGAAAGCATCGTGACGCGTGATGTCAAATTGGCTTCTAATTCACTTTTGAATTTGTGGGAAGTTCCAATATACACATTCACCTCGGGTTTTTCTCCAAACTTGCTGGATTTTCTACAGTACACCAAAAAATGTTAGGAATAATGCTTTTTTTTACATTTCACACCGGATTTCTCACAGGTTGTCGTCATACAGGCCTACCGGAATAACAGCAGTGAACCCATGGAGGCCAAATACGTCTTCCCTGTGGACGAAGCAGCCGCGGTATGTGGCTTCGAGGCGTTTATCAATAACAAACATGTAGTTGGTGTTGTGAAGGAGAAAGAGGCGGCGCACCAGGAGTACCGTAAGGCGGTGGAGGAGGGGCATGGAGCATACCTCATGGATGAAGAGGCACCGGTAAGACGTAAACCGCAGACCTGTCCACTGCTTTTTAACTTTATCTTAAGGTTTCCTTTGTTTAATATCGTACTGTGTATACAACTGTATATTTTTCTTGCACCTGGATTTGTGCAAAGTTGGTTCCAACAGGCTACACAATGCGTTACTGGAACGCTTTGTCTTTTGCCCTTAGAATGTGTTTTCCGTCAGCGTTGGCAATCTGCCAGCTCATTCCGACGTCCTGATCAAAGTCACCTACGTGACTGAGCTGGCCGTCGAGGGCGACAAATTAGCCTTCAAACTCCTAGGCAGCGTGGCGCCATGGAAACGACAGGAGGTGATGGCGAAGGGCGCCCCCGGAGGAGCGGACGCCGTCGACGTCGACCTAGAAACAATATACAAGTAATTAAAGAACATTTTATGTATTTGAAATGTAGATAACAAGTTTTCCCGATTGATTTCATTTTTCCAGACCACCTCACTGAATACCAAATACCCATTTACAAAGGAACTCCTCATAACTATAGCTAGGTGCTTGCGTGGTCTTTATATATTGTCGATCTGCATCATTTTAAACATTAGCTCGAAGACGTAATTGATTGAAAGGACAGGTGTGCTTGCTGCAACCTAGCATGTCAAAAGTCTCCAGTTGCTGCAATCTATTGTTGCTCGTCTTTTCCTTTATTTCCTTCTCAGAGAAGAATCAGTTCAGGTTGCGGTTACCATGGCATCCGAGATCACATGCATCGAATCCCCCACACACTCCATTCTTGTCAAAGTAAGTTTAACAAAGTTTTAAGAAAGAAAGTAAATAATAACAAACTTTTCTCAGCTGCGATGGGCTTGAGTAACTCCTTGTTACAAATTTTAAGCTTCCATGCATATAAACGTATTGGAACAAGGAATTGGTTCTATAGTTAAACTAGACAAACTGTTATAAGTTCACTATTTCAAAAGCCTCAATCGGGTATCACGTACCTTGCATGGCATTATTATTTTGTTCTTTTCTTTTTTGAAATCAGAATCATTTTGTTTGTTTTGCAGCGAGACAACAAAAAGGCCTCTATTAAATTGGGAAAGGACTCCAAGCTGGATGATGGGTTCCAGCTTTTGATTGGTCTAGATGAGATGCACAAGCCCCGGATGTGGTTGGAAGAACATCCGGGAACTAAAGAGCAGGTAACATAAAATAGCCAATCAGATTTAGAGAAATACCGGTCCACGCTATTGCAATATATTGCCGGTTGGCCTTGGTTTTCCTTCGGTAAATTTTACGTCTGAAATGTTATTATGTCTCTTGTTTATAATAGTGAGTTTGTACAAAGATATTGCCTGGAGCAGGGTTTGAATCTGCGACCTTCATAACAACGTAACGAATATTGTATTTCATTCAGTTCTTTCTCGTGATGTAAACAGGGTATTTCTGGAAAGTGGTTTACCAATATTGTCGGAAAGTCTGAAGACAAAAAAAAAATCATTTTTAGAGGCAGGAGGAAATCAAGGAAAATATTCCAGGAAAAAACCACATAGGCACGAGGCACGGACTGGCCCCAATCTCATGTAGGCCTGGGAGGTATTTGAAATTACAGATAGATAGCAAGGAAACCGTATGCCTACACCTCTGCACCAAAATGGTAGAATCATCACTAAGTCCCCATGCAATTAAAAGTGTTATTCAAAAGATCTCATTTCTTCAATACAGGCCGCCATGCTTGTCTTCTACCCCGATATCGATGTGGGCTCAGTGACCAATCCAGACATGGTTCTTGTTCTGGACTCTTCCAACTCGATGAAAGGGGAGATCTTGGAGGAAGCCAAGAAACTCCTGCTGCTCATTCTGCAGAATCTACCCGCGCAGTGCACCTTTAATGTCATCTTCTTTGGCACAGGTGCGAAAAGGTTTAATCACATATTGATCACGAATATTGACTGCGTGCAGGTGTATCGTTTTCGCAAGAGCTACTGGCCTGATTAGGCAGCAGTGTGGTCAAGTGTCCCGTCTGTTAAACTCACTCTTTGTAACCAGTTAGGGGCTCTCATTTATATAGAATAAGCCTTATAATGTTACCACTTGCCAACTGTGTTTGACGCTCGGCAAAATTTGACAAAGATAACCAAGTTCGTCACATTTTAATTAATTTTCTACAATTCATCCTTGTTTTTTTTGTAGAGTTTGACGAACTTTTCCCTGCCAGCCAGCCCAAGACACAAGCCAACCTGAAAGCGGCCAGGGAGTTCATCAAGGGCGCTACCGCCGAGCAGGGCTGCACGGACTTCTGGCGCCCTCTACAGTCCAACCATCTCCTGAAGCCGACGAGCGCCCTCAGAAACCTGTTTCTGATAACAGACGGTCACCTTAGCAACGAACAGGCAACGTTGAGGGCGGTGGGACGCCACCGGGCACACTCCCGGGTGTTCACTTTTGGTGTCAGGTAAAATTATTGTAGTATCTGCTGGGATGTGGTTTTGAACGATTTGAATCCGATGATGCATCGGATTAAGTGATCATACATTAACTTCTGAAACACGTCACGTGAACGTGTCTTAGCCAATAAAATGTTACTATGTATTATCAGCATCATCATCATCATTATCGTCATAACAATGCTAATAACTGCAACTCATCATGCATCTGACTCGGTCTTAGAAACCTAGAGGGGAGATGGCAAATTTCAAAATCTTTTTTTCACTAACCTATCAGTGGTTGTGTATCTACATTTTCCATTTTTTACAGCAAAACAGCCAATCGGCATTTACTGGCAGCAGCCGCCAGACAAGGAGGTGGTGCTTTTGAGTTCTTTGACACCAAGGCCAAATCCACTTGGGAGCAAAAGGTGCGCTTCATATTTGAGAAGAGGATGTATTTATGCATGAATTAAAAGATCTAAAGAGCTCAGGTTAATAATTTAAGTTTAAAGAACCATCTTTAACAGAAATTGAATTCGGTTTCCAATAATCGTTCTTTTGTTAATTGTATGTACGTGGAATTAACCAGAAGCAGGAAAATATATTATCTGCAAAGCAAGGTCTGTCAATATGAACACTAGTCTGAGTATCACCCGTTCTATATGAACACCTGAAGGCCGCAGTATTTGGTGAGGAACATGCCAGGCTAAGACTGATCGGTTAGAGACCCCGCCTACTCACATGCGCGTTCACGCATGTTGGGCATTAATCACGGCTTTGATTGGTCGAAACGCCATGGGGCGGAGCCTATTAATGGATCGGTCTATTCTCGATTCTATACAGATCCAATTGCAAGTCTCTCGCGCATCCCAGCCGGCTGTCGCATCCCTGCGTGTCACGTGGCACCAAGATGATGCTGAGCCACGCCCACCTGCCCTCCAGGCTCCTGCAGAAATCACCTCCTTGTTTAGACACAACAGGCTGCTGGTCTACGGACTCGTCCAAGAATGCCAGAAAGTAAGTTACCCCCTCAACGGCGAAAATGACAAAAGGTGTCGATATTGGACGGGCCATTGCAACTATCGTGAACGCATATAATGAATGGTCGACAACATGCCGTTAACCAACAACGTGTACTCCACTCCCTGTTATTAACACATTGACTAATGCCCATGATAGGATTTGCTTGAAATTGCGGATTTTTGTTTTGACTAATCCACTGTCGAAACAAGCATTGTTTATTAAGGTTCAAGTCGCTGACGTGTGCACGTTAATTAAAGTCTTCAACGATATCAGCTAAAGATCAACAATAATAAGGAAGGTTAGCGTTAAATTAGTCGCGCGCATCATGAGGCACAACACGGAACCAGCACCCAGAAGTAACGCTATTATGTTTGAACCATTGACTTTAAGTTACGTCATAAATCAAACACTATTTGACTAATGCCCATGATAGGATTTGCTTGAAATTGTTATTATGAAAGATTGTTGATTATGTTGTGGTTTATGCAGGCAACGCTGACTGCCGAGATCAACGGCAGGAAGGTTGAGATGGAGCTTTCGGCAACAGATCATCCAAAAATGGAGGGAAAGGTACTTCAGAATCCAAAATATTAACTCTAATTTTACTTCCGATATATTTTTGCTGTCAGTAGCTGACTTTCAACCTCTGTCCAAATGAAAGCTTGTTAATTAATGTATCCAACATAAATAATGCACCGATTTTTTTAGATTGAAATTAAAGCTGAAATACACTGGAAATTTCCGTTATTGTTAACTATAAAAGTATGTGTGAAAGACGGAGACAGTTAAAACCCGATTTCTTACAAAATGTTTACGTAAAGTCATTAATTATTTAAAGATAGGGCCTAACTTTATTTCGGCGCCTCTCGATCTCTGAAACAATGTATAGCAAGAAACTGTGATAAAACGAACTGTGTTCCCCGAGAACCATGTTCCTATTTAATGAGACAAATCAAGCTTATACGATTTGATAAAGGAAGTACTTGCACAAGAAGTCATCGTTGACCACGGATTGTTTAAGACGCAATACATGAAGCAATCCATCCCGTTGCAATCACAGATTCTTCACCAGTTGGCCGCGCGCGCCGTCATCAGGAATTGGGAAGAGGGCGCCCTCCACGCTGATCGCACAGAGCACGAATCGCAGAAGAACGAGCTGAAAACGCGCATCGTGGAGCTGAGCATCCAGTACTCGATTGTCACTCCCTTCACGAGCTTCATCGCTGTGGAGGAAAGAGATGAGGTAAAACTCAATTGTCTGTGGTTATTATTTTTTTAACTTGTCATGTTGCAGCTGGAACTCTGTTCCGCTGACCGTAACAAAAACTTCTTCTTGATAAAAGAAAGATTGAATGTATCGTTCTGCGTTCCCTGCGTTTCCGCTCCCTGCAGGTTGAGCAGAAACAGCTTACAGAAGGTCAGAGACCTGCCACAGTTCTGAGTCTAGAGAAACTTCTCGATGCTGAAGATGTCGACCATCTCCTCTCGCTCAAGTGGGAGGAACTAATGGCGGAAACGGAACAGGTGAGGTCGGACAAACACCTTACAAACAAATTCTGTAGGTCTATCTAACTCATTGGTAATTATATAACTGCATGGTGACGATAGCAAAAATATAACAATTAAAGGTAGCACCATGTGACATATCTCTTTGGTGAGTTTGTGAGGTTCTGAAAAGAACCGGGGAAAACCCAACGTTTCGGGCAGTATGCTCTGCCCGTCGTCAGAGACTGAAGGTTAATTAATCATGGTTTAATTGTTTGAGACTTAACCTAACAAGCATGGGCTCTGCATGTCTAGTCCAACCAGAATGTTTTTTATTATTTGTTTTTCTTTCATTAAGCGACTTGAGAAAGTTCCCGACCACCCAGCTCTTGGAACATTACTTTGCTGAACAAGGTTGGAGTCGGAAAAACCTAGATTCTCTCTTGAGAAATTGAAAGCAGACAGACTAAACTATGTTGAATCTTCTGAACGGTGAACGTTTTCCTCTCCAGTTGTCACCTTTGAAGCGAGTTCACAGCCTTCTGAAAACCGCCAAAGTGGCCGCCGATTCATTCTCCTTCAAGTCAGCAGAGAAGTACTTCGAGGAAGCGTACGGGTTGGCCAAAGAGACTCTCTCCTACGCCCAGCCTATTACCCTAACGGTACAAAGTTGTTTACAGTTTTAAATCATTAGAATTGCATTTAAAATTTCCATTGGGTGTTGGGAAAACTTTTTTTTTTTTTAAACTTTCACTACACTCTGCAATGTATTTGGTAAAATTTCTACCATGTTTCATAATGTGCAAAAAAATATTTATTGAAATTTTAAGAATGACTGAAACCTGTAAGTTTGCATGGTGGACATGAACATTTTAAGAAAGAGATTCCAAATTCCAATACCTTAAATCTATAATAACATCAAACTTGGTTAAACTTCAATCAATCATGTATTCAAAACACTATAAATTCAATACTTACGTTATTTTTGCGGGGGCAAAACTATTAAGCACGGACAAAGCAATTTCAAACCACGTTTCCATCCGCTAAGTATACCACCATGCATCCTGTAACATCTATACACCTAGCTAGAAACAAAATAAGAACCCATTTACTGCAATATTTTGGGCGTTTTCGGAGAAGAGAAGTGACGAAGTCATTATTTTTCTATCATTTACCTTTTTCAGGTGGCCTACTCATTTTCAAAGTTTTGTGCCCGAGTCAAACGCAACATGGACCAGGCGTTTCAGCTCGTCAACGGTGCGTTCTTGGAGACCAAGAAAGCTATGCCCGAACTCGCCGAGGTTCAAGAAACAACAGTTATTGAAGGTAAGATTTACCGTAAGTTTACGGTAAGTTAACTTACCTTAAGGTAAGATTTACCTTAAGTTTGCAACCGTAAACTTAATCTTATTGTTAATAATTGAAGGTGAACAGTAAACTATAGCTTTACGTTTGCTCTATTAAGAGAAGAATCACAAAGGTATCAATGCCGATATGAATTCTGATTTTTGTTTCAAATCACAATAACCTCTTATTTAAAAAAAAAAAAAAAAACAGTGAAACAAGGAACTACACGATTTACAGTGAAAAAACCCTGTATTTTGGAATTGAATCCTCTGGAAAAAAGTCAATAGGCCTACAGTGGAAACTCGAGTGAAAACTCGACCTATTAGTTTGAATAAAATATACTCAGAAACGTCTGGGGCGTGATGGAATTTTTCATCGATTAAAGCAAATTGTCACTCTTTGCAAATAATAAAATAAGAGAGTAAAACGTTTTACCGAATCCGTTTTATACTGAATTTCTTCACAACCAAGTATACTCTCAGTTCTTCATGATTGACACAATGAGTACGACTCGCTTTGAACTCAAATGATGTCATTGGCATCGTTACGGTGGCCGTATAGGGCCTATAAACATGCTGCCTGGGTTTTATTGGCATCTAGTGTACCCCAAAAGTGTCTTGTTGGGTCTGAGTGGTCTCAAACTAAATCCATTTTTTTGGTTTAATTGTGCAGATACCTCGAAGCTTGATAACCTAGATGCTTTGCAGCAAGCTGTGGATTGGGCTGAAACGTACGTATCTATACCTTCTTCCCTTCCTATAAATCATCTTTATGTCTCAATAGGTATGGGCACAACGTGGTCTGTATCGTTAGAAGAAACAGCATAATTTAAAGCGCTTTGGAAATAGCGTCGGCACCCTTTTGCTACAATCATCAAATTTAGCAACCCCACAGCAAAACGGTATACAATGCCAACTAATAGTACGTGACAAAGTGACATAATAGACCATTATCATGTTGCGTCCGTTTTGATTTTTCCCATTCAAATCAACGTAACCAAAGCGAGGCTGGAAGGTAAAAATAGTCTGGTTCCTTTTTGTACGCAAAAAAAAGTATTTTTATTGGATACAGGGAACAAGACTGAAATGGTGGCAGCATGATAAAGATCTATACTAAGCGTTTCCTTACCAGTGCCTATTTGAACCTAACGTCGACCCTTTACCAGCTTGTTTGGGAAGGGTGTTCTTCGTTGGTTAAGTATGTTATATTTTCATATCTGAGTTTATTTCACACCATAAGTGAGTGAAATTTAGTTCAAAATGCGTTGATCTACGGACTATATACTTGGTTGCCATGGCATTAATTTGGAGCTGGATTAAGAATTTCTCCTTTTTTCCCCCTAAAGGTTTTTGTGGGGTTTTCGCCCGTCCCGCGTGATCAGTAATTTATGCCAAATAGTTGCATGTTTAAAATATGTACAATGTATATAGCTTTTCTTTAATATTTTTGAGATACATGTACTTGTATAAAAATATTAATGTTCGTCGTATGTTTCACCAATGTATTTTCCTTACGAGGTCAACTTTACTTAACATTTTTTAATAATTTGGTAAGTATGCAGGGCCCTAATGGAAACCAGTTTCTAACAGTTTGGGCATACCCTGGGCAAAGAAATGGAATAAATAAATACATAAATAAATGTCTAATTATATAAACTGCATTTCTTTGTACTAATCAGATGTCAAATGGAGATGGCAAGGATCAATGCGCAGCCGGTACAGCCTGAGCACAAACCCAGCCTACGCGATATCCCGGCTGAATTAGACGAGTCAGTGGAAGTATATCTTGAAGACATTGATGAGTTAGGAGAGGAGTTAGTGGTAGTCAGTCAGGAAGACAATGTAGAGTCAACAGGGGAGATGGATAGATGGATGACAGTCTCTCATGAGTTGACAAGGGATGAAGTGACATGGGTGGAAGACCGAGACACATGCAGCTATGGACAGGAACCGATGGGAAGACCCAAAATGGAACCACTTAAGACAGACACCCTTGTAACTGTATCCCGCAGCTGGGTTGCGGAACCACAGGAGCCGCAGGAGATCATGACTGCGAAAGTGTTGGAGGAAGATGTGATGGAACAGGAAATATATGTCCCACGGCCGATGCTTTACACCAGTGCTAGAGAAGAAGTTGTCTTTGAGCCGGATTTGATGATCGAAAGAGATCTTCTCATGCCAGAGCCGCAGAGGAGTCTTTCTCCCCAGTTTGTTGACACTGTAGCCATGCCACAACGTCACGAACTAAGTGAGGATATTAGAGAACTTGCTGTACAAGAAAGAGAAGTTGTCTTGGAACCGGATAGGATGATCGAAAGGGAGGTCGTTATGCCGGAACCAGTGCTTGAACTCACCATGCCAGAGCCACAACGCTATGAAGAGAGGGCCTTTGAACCAGTCAAGGTACTTCAGGGTTCAGAAAATCCTGTCATTCAGAAAAGGGCCAAAGCTGCAAGAAAGGAAAAAGAATTGCCTGGAGCATCTTACGCTCCTGAAAGACGACCGAAGTCCAGCGGCCCAGGCATAATGAAGACAGCAAAGGATGCAGTGGGGGGCTTATTTAAAAAGAAAAAGAGCAAGCAACCGAAAAGTCTTAGTCGAGACGCTCCGGAATTATCTCCCCATCCCCCATCATTTGATGAGGAAGCTTTCTCAGCACGTATGCGCGCTTCCCCCATTCCACTTTTAGAAACTATGGCCAGCTCCGCTCCTCCCCCTCCCCCGCCAGGAGGCGCCGCCCCTCCCCCTCCCCCGCCCCCACCAGGAGGCGCCGCCCCTCCCCCTCCCCTACCATCTGGAGTAAGCCTTGCCCCACCTCCTACCCCACCAACCCTAGGAGGCACCGCCCCTCCCCGACGTCCACCTCAAGTGTCTGTTGGGAGCTCCGATGATGAGCTGATGACTGACGCCATGGCTTCTCTTGTAAAGGATCCAGAAACTGTCACCAAAGACACGCTGCGTCTTATTGAGTTACAAAACGTGGTATGTGTTATAATACCTGTCAGGCTCCATTATGAATGTGTGCTTTCTTTCTGTCAAAAATGGCTAATTATAATCTAAACAGCTTAGTTGGCTGAAATCTAAGGGCTTATTGGGTTTTCCGCTTTTCAGGACGGACATTGGGAGTTTCAGTCTGAACTGGAGGAGATTCTAGGTATCAACATCTTGGAGTGCAAACAACGTCTCAAAGAAAAACTCAAATCAGGTAAGACGGCCCAAGTGAATCCTTGTCTTCAATTTCGATAGTCGTCCAAGTTATTTTGATAATGATTATTGGGCCTTTTTTGAGGGAGTTGGTGAAACGTATGTATATATTAATACATAATCATCAATATAGACCAACACTGTTCAGATCATTTTATATTATACCAAAAGAAGTCCACACCGTTATTATTAATAAACGTTAATATTATATTTTTTTATTATTTTTTGAAATATGAGATACCCCATTATGACACATCAATACGTTTCTATAAGTATAAGGGATACAAAAGGCATGCTCGTTTTTAATTTTAAAAATCCCTTAAAAATTAACCATGCTTAATCATTTATTTTTATGATATTTATATCATCATAATTATAATATAAATTCGTTGTTTATTGTGTAGTCATGTCGCGAGAAGGAGCTACGGTAGACGTCGGTGACATCTTTGATCTGGCCGTCCGACTGGTGGCGACTCTACTCGCCCGCCTTCACCTACATAACGTGTCTGCCCAGCTAGACTTGCCCACGTCTGTCGCTGGGAAGGTCTCACAAGCCATCGAGCGGGCGAGCGCGTACATTAAAGGGTCGGTAGAGAGCGTGGAAGGGCAGTTTGGAGCACTTGTCGACTGGGACGCCTTTACCCATGGCCTTCTGAGCAAGTGAAGCCAACATTTAGATTTTGTAATGCTGTAAGGTCTTATGAATTTCAGTGCAGTTAATATTTTTGTGTAAATGTTCTAGAGGTATTGATTATTGACATAGTTATCAATTTTAATTAAAAAAAATTAATGTAACATTGAGACTTTAACAAGTGTTGTTTGAATGGAATGAAGGCACCAATTCGACCCTTGGCACAGAATCGAATTACATTCAAAGGAGCTTGTTCTAACTTAAATTCAGTATTGAGATTTCTTGAAAAACAGTTAGAGCAGATTTTCAGCAGGCCCTATTAAAACTAACAGAAACATCTTCCGAATACGAAACCAGTTTGTAGTTAGTAATTAATATTGAGTTGAAATATTCCTTACAAACTCTATAAAAAGTACATTTAAATGCCTATGTTGAGTGATAAATACAATTTGTGCGGATTGTGAATAACACGTTATTAAATGCTGGTTAAAAAAACAAGCTTATGGTTGGTATATACAATCTCTAAATTCCGAAGAGTGACAATTTACTCAATTCGAGTGAAGATTCACTCCCACAGTCGGAAACTAGGGACTAGACGTTTCAGAGAGAAATTTCTTCAATCGTAAAGATCCATTTTTCACTCGAGCTTCGACTGAAGTGGTTCATTTTTCAGACTATTTCAATCTAAAATGAGAGTGGTTTTCACTCTAAAACGTCTAGTCCCTAATTTCACTATTTGGAATTTAGAGAGCAGGCTTTTTGATGTGGCACCTGGAAAAATAGATTTTCAAATTGAATTGATAATTTTCTACCAATTCCATAGGTTATGAGCTTTCCGATCCAATGAGACATCGCGCGAACAAAATCGGCCTTCGACAAGTTATCAATTAAATAATTTCAACTTATGAATTAAGAGCGGGATGCGACATTTCTGAACTAGAGCGCGCCACTTTAAACCACTTTTTAAAACTGTATAAGGGCCTGCAAAAACAAACACGCAAATGTATATGTTTACAGGACATTATGTTCCTTTAAATTTCGTTCGAAAAAGAAATATCTAATTTTTGGGTTTTTTAGAAGCACGTATATATACCTTTTTTTTTTTTTTTAGAAGCACGTATATATACCTTTTTTTTTTTTTTTAGAAGCACGTATATATACCGACTTTAAGAAATTAATAAATAAATATTGCGTAATTAATGACAGTTCAGCATTTCACATTTTCTTTTTTAAACGTATTTTCTTAGAATATATTGTAATCTTACTTTTTATGTACTATTCAGTGATCAAATTTTAAAAAAAAATTGGAAAAGGCTTTCAGTGCATTTGACGGCAAAGTAATAAACTTGGACCTAAGTGGTACCGGGAAGGGTGCAGAAAACCATATCAATATTAGCAGGTGTCCTAAATGACAGGATGTAACACATCGTTCTTCATGATGCATGACAAGGTACCAGTAGCTTGGCATACACTCGTTTGACAGAATTTCTCTGGATTCATGTAATGTACATGTAATAACAATCTTGTAAGAAAGTTCTCTTTTTTAAGCTTTGGGCCAGTAGGACTAGTCTTGTTCAAGACCGCGCTTCAGTGGGGGATCTGGGGGGGGGGGTAGGGGGTTCAGAATTTGCAATCGGTCAAAATAATAGGAGCAATAGTCAATGTCAACATTTTGTTACCAACTAACCAACGGACTATAACATTGAGCTGCTATCCCAAAGCTAACAACGTGTCATTGTTCGGTCATCAAACTGAGGGAGGTCACAATAGGTAGGTCAATTCCAAAGGTAATGCGGCTACCAAAATGGACTTTGATCTAGCCTTTGATCATTGCATTGATGACCCGCTATAATTAGAGTTAGACATCAACATAATCACCGAGGTAAAGGTTTGGGTTATATGCATGTAGTTCAGTTGACAGCATTCGATAGGAGTGGTGACAATCATATACGGCAATCGTGTGGACTGTTTCAATCAAGGAGAAAGTCATGACGGGTATCAGAATCTTTTGCAGTCTTGTCTTGCTGATGACGACTGGATTGTCAGAGTGTTCTAAAGGTGAGGTTCTTTTATTTGAGGGTGGCATTAGTATCCGGACTTTTACGCAGGAATAGGAGTAGCACAATTGTAAGTCAAAACATTTTCGTGCCCAAACAAATGTTTGGAAAAGCGGGCACTGGTGGGGGAGCAACATTATTGAAAACTACTTAAACTTATTTTTTTCTGATTTTAGGATATTTGATCACAATCAGGAAAAAAACGTTTTACCATTTTCTTTTTTCGAGGACGCCTTATTTAATTTGTATTTATAAATGTGAGTACCTGGTAGTATATAGTAATTGTCATGGCCTGATTATCGAGAAAACAAATCTTCCAAAAATAAATACAGTGACTGGATTTTCAAGCAGGGCTTTCATTGAGATATTCATAGTATTTTAAGACATTAGTCATTATGTTGTATATTTTTTCGTGGGGGTTGGTTTGTTAGACTTCATACAACTCCAATCCCCGCCAAATCCACGACTTGTTATGTATATCTATAGTGCATGTCGAGAATAATGAACTTCTTTTTGAACACTCATGTCAAAATTGAAGCACCAGACAAATGTTCATGTGGTAACAACCCTTTCTCTCCTACAGTTACGTATTTCATGTACGACAAAGGCGCCTGCGTATATAGCCAGGACGATCCCATTGACCTGACTGACATCGTGTCTTACGGCTCCTCCGTGGTTGTCAAGTCCCAGTCTGACGAAGATTACGACCGGGGCGTCAACTGCTCACTGGTACTCACCTATCGCAACCCGGCGCTTTTCCATGTCGGAGGGGGCGGGAACTTCGTCCGGTTGAATAATAATGATTGTCTGACGCTATACGACGGCGCGACTAGCGAGGCTAGTCTAAACCTTCACCGATGTGGCTATTTCTACGGTAAAGCTAGCTTCCTGACGACTGGGCCGGCAATTCTGATACGTTTTACAACCGTCATTTCTGGTGACTTGCGTTATCGAGGATTCACGTTTGACATTACGCCGATTGAGGTGGAAGGTACTGTATATATATCTTTTAAATCTCTTAGCATCTACTTTGCTATTCGTGTACAGTTAAAAAAAAAAAAACTTTAACAATTACGATGTTTTTGATTGAAATCTTGATGGCCGATTCCCGACAACATTAAAAATCTGGGTTTTTTTGTTGCATTAAATTATACGTACCAGCTTTAGACGAACTCGTCACTTCGTCAGAAACGGTGACGACATGTTTACATTGACATGAAGTAAAACCTCACAAAACTCTACACTCTAAAAAAGCATTAGTCAGATTTGACTAGAAACCAGTTAAATATGACTAGCCATTCAGGGTCAGCTGGGTGCAACTGAAAATCAGTCAATCTGACTAGATTTTTCCAGTCAGTATTATTGACTTGGGAAAAATAGTTATGCCAATAACTGAATTTCGAGTCGAACCCAACTACTTTTTCTAGTCACAGTATATGAAACTTTGCATGTTTTACTAAATTGCTAGTCAATTTTCAATAACTAGGAAAACCAGTCAATATTTTGACTAAGTTGTTTTTAGAGTGTATAGTATACTCGGCACCTCAGTATTAACTTCCTTAAAAATGGATCCAAATTTATTCTCGCATCATGATTTTTGATGTTTTCTTTTATTCCAAACACCACAGCTAACTTCTTCATGTCTGACAACTGTACATTAGACACAGTGGTTCGTCCGGATACGGCCATCTGGCTTCACACCAACCGGGACGACCTCAACGGCAAACCGATGGACTGCACCGTGACCCTTCGCACCGACCCGGACTATATGTTCTACGCCCGAGTTCAATCGACAGCCTTTGTGACCGGTTCGGACTGCCTAACTTTCTATAACTCCAGCTGGGCTGATGGCAGTTCATACAACGACGGCGTATGCGGTAAAAACGACCGCAATGAGTATTTCCAGTTTCAAAATATGGGACGTCTCCTTACGATAAGGTTTGAGACGGATGGACGGATCAAAGGACTAGGAGCAGCGATGGTCATTGATGCTACATCAGAGGGTATCAAATCTCACTTATTCTGTCACTTCGTTCATTCGCGATCGCACGTAACCACTGCCCTATCAAATCTATGGTGAGGGGTTTATTTCTTTGCAGCCCTCTTTCGGACAGGGACGACACTTCACGAGCTCATGTTAGACCCAGAAGTCTTTGTGCTTCCCTAATTAAACTTTCCTAAAAGAGTGTGAGATGGGTCACGCAGTCTTCAAAACCATACACCTTATGACCTTAAAACTGTCGGAAACAAAAATAGCGCCCTCAATTGAATATGCCCCACAGTGGTCTTATCTCAAAAAAACGTATTTTAAGACGATCTTTTTCAAAGTTCTTTTTAATAACATGTCTTTTTTTTTTATTCTCACGAGATGGCTACATTATATATTGTTCCCGCCTGGCCCATTCGAGCAACTACCTTGCTAACCTCAGACCTACAAAACTGTGACAGCCAAGGTAACATTTTACATTTTTTCTGCTTCTTGGCAGTTGTCTGTGATTACCTGTATTACTACAAGTGCAACGACGGTAAGGCGTGCTATCGGAAATCCCAGCAATGTGACGGCATCGTCGATTGTCGTGATGGCAGCGACGAGAAAAACTGCAGTAAGTCCAAACAAGCCATAGCCAACCAATTCAGACTCGGCCTATCATGAGTTTAGGTGACACAGTGCCCTCAATAGTTTTCTTGACTATTATTATTTCAGCTTTGGTTTGTCATTCTGGCGTCAAATGTGTCTTGAACGACGGCACCACAGACTCATGCGTTCCTGTGCTGTCCATGTGTGACGGGGTGACTGATTGCATAAATGGAGAAGATGAGACCGATGCGCGTTGCGGTGAGTATACCGAAACGGAATTCATCGAATCAACGTTGAAAAGTCCAAACCCCCCGCTGAAAAATTGCCTGTATGGGTTAATTTTACCCAAGCAAGGGTGAAAACTGCAACTACCCAAAATTGGGTTGTCCTTTACCCAATTATTTGGGTTAGAATTTCTGGTAAATTCAACATAAGTTAAGACCAAATTAAATTTAGTCTGGTATGACCACAAGTTTTGGTTGAATTTACCAGAAATTCTAACCCAAATAATTGGGTAAAGGACAACCCAATTTTGGGTAGTTGCAGTTTTCACCCATGCTTGGGTAAATTAACCCGGGCAAGTTTTCAAGGAGCTCCTTTTAGTATTTGTAAGGAGCGATCTCATAAAATATATCCAGGAAAGATTGCGGGCAAGTTTACCTAAAACATAGCTCATTGTATTTGGTTGCAATACCCTGAACATCTTCCCCAGAATATCCCCTTGTGTGAAGATTTCTTCCATACTTTACTTCTGTGAAGATTACCAATGTAGCACCTCTAGCTTAGAAACGCCATATTATATAAAATATAGTATGTGCGAACTACTCTACTCTACCAACAACTAAATTAATGGAATCAACGTTAGTCCAAGTTCCCCCTACTTTTGATATTGTAAGGAGTCATCGCATACAATTTCCAGGATAGATTGTGGAAACGTTTACCAATGCACAAAGCATGTGCGAACTACTCTACCAACAAACGTGGAGGAGTGAAAAAAGAAAGGAAGATTTAGAAAGGTTTGCATACTCCAATACATGCGGATAATGTTGATTAAAACGATGTCGACAGTGGTGACAGGAGATAACGGTGATCCATACACATATGCAAATATAACAGCAAAAAGCAAGGAAATTTCATCGGCCATGCGATGAAAATGCTAAAGGTAATCACAGTGACACCTGATGTTCTTGTGTTTCATATGTCGTCTGTTTTAGACTGCGATGGCCTTCATTGCCTGAATACATGGGGACAATATCAGTGCACGGAACAGTATAATGTTTGCAACGGCTGGCAAAACTGCAAATTTGATGAAGACGAAGACACTGCATTGTGCAGCAAAGGTAAATCAATTCTATTATTTTATGGGGTTACTTTGGCGGTTACCATATAGCCTAAGTTGTATGGTCCATTACTTTCCCAAATGTATAGTGAGATGTACTCTCTAAATTCCCAAGAGTGAAATTAGGGACTAGACGTTTTAGAGTGAAAATCACTCTCATTAATTTTTCAATTGAAATAGTCTGAAAAATAACCACTTCAGTCGAAGCTCGAGTGAAAACTCGATCTTTACGATTGAAGAAATTTCACTCTAAAACGTCCAGTCCCTAGTTTCCGACTGTGGGAGTGAATCTTCACTCGAATGGAGTGAATTGTCACTCTTTGGAATTTGGAGAGTAGCGATTAAAATCATATATCATTCAAATTAATGTCTGGATTTACGCTTATATATTTATTTTGTCCCAATATTGATGGATGCCACTTCAGGTTAGTCTGTTATTGTAAGAATATTACCAGAAAGCAGTCTTTGAACTCGAGCATTTTTCTTTTTCGTCATGAATATCGCTGTGCCTATTAAACCGAAGGGTTGAAGTCATTTCTTTTTTATTCAACTCAGATTGTCCCTCTAAGTTTTATTGCTACAATTTCACGGGCGACTTTGAGTGTTTGCCGTCTTCTGCCATTTGCAATTCTAAGCGTGATTGCATGAATACTGCGGACGAAACCTCCTGGTTATGCAGTAAGTATCTAATTTTAAAAGACGTTCCATACCTGACCATGAATAGCCAAATGTGCCCTCGTGTTTTCTTTAAAAGCAATATTCCACTTGAAAGCGTTGACGACTTGCAGAGCAAGGCGGACAAAAGCCCCCAAATCAGATCCCACTGGAAGAGCCATATCAGATTTTACCTGATTCGTGAAACTTCTTGAAGTCCCTTTTCCGGGCCATTTAACCTGGAAAGTGTCATTTGGACACCAAAAACCCCTCATTTTGACCCAGAAGAATGTCGGGTCAAAAATACCCATTGTTTTTACAACAGGAAGAAGATATTGATACTAGTCGGTTGAATGTACATGTTTTTTACAACATTTTACAGCTAGATCTGATAACAAGCTGCAAGTTAAATTCCAAAGTTTTTTAAGGGCTAGTTTGATACGCTACAAGGATTTTAGACCGGTACACATGTTGACACCGCTTGCCTTACCTCCTGTCTGATCCGCTAATTTTCAGCTAATTGCCCCTCTGATGTTCAGTGTGATACGGGCTTTGGTTTTCAATGCGTTTACGAGACCGCCCTCTGCGATGGGTTCTCTGAATGCCTTAACAAGGAGGACGAGAACAGCGTACTATGCGGTAACAAAAAATATTCGTTCCATTGAGAGGGGAATTTTGTGTGGCTATTTATACTATATTATATTATATTTGGGTTTTTTTAGATTCTTTTGTTTATTGCTATTTGACAGATCTCAGTCCACCCAAACTGAGATTCTTTTCGTTGCAACTTGTATACAGCTTATGTTATGATGTTAACTATTAAACCTTGCTTTTGGTTGCTTTCTAATTAATGAGCCAATAAAACAGAAAGTTGATATGGCGTGAGCGTTAGTGTTTATTACAACGGAGCAGTCATTTAGAGGGTACGTAGTTCCAGTTGAATTTGGCCACAATTATTGCTTTGATGCATCTGTCTCGTTATTCCTTTATCGATCTTACAGCACCTCCGCTCCTCTCGTACTGGTCTTCGGGTCAGCTAGCTGGTATCTTCAGTGGATACGCCGTCTTCGCTGTCATCATTATTGGCATCACGTGTCTCATCCCAAAGAAATGCAAACCTGAGGAAGAGTAAGATCATGCATTAATGGGCAAAAAAAGAAAGTGCTTGAAAAGAATCGCAACGCGGTGCGAACTGAATACTGAAATACTGCTGCCCTCTACTATTTTGTAAAGTTCCCATTTCTGAAATACAGTTGTCAAGAGAAATGTGTATTGCAAATCTACAGCTTTTTTCAATGAAACTGTAGCAGTCAATCCATAAATATAAATTTAAAAAAACGTATCTATAGAGTTTAAAGGTATAGTAAATACTCTACATATTGGTCTTTATCTTATCTCATTCCAGGTTGAACCACTTTTCAAATTATCTTGTATTTAATAAAAGGCATTCACATACCAAGAAGGTGTGTGAATGCTTTTCTTAAGATACCTGATCTGAAAAATGAACAAAACAGATTTTGATTACAATATTTGGCGTAACTTTTAAAACAGGTCCAAATCACACAGAACAAAAATCCTGTCAAGGGTTGTGAAACACTTTATCATCTCATGTTAATTTCTTTTGCAAAACCGATTTAGCATACTCAGACAAAAATGTTGTTTGACTTGCTACATTAAAAAAAAAAAGCTGTATAAAGGATATAAAACTAGCTACTTCACTTATTAACTAAAAAACTTTCGATACTAAATGCAAATGCAATGTGTGGATTTTTATGCAGTTAAGTTTTTGATGATCTTTTGGTTTGTTCATTCTGAACATACTTACTTAGAATTTGTAAGCAGGTTCTCAATTAATTTTTTTCTAAGGAATTTTTTCTTTCTATGATACGATTCTTCAAAAAAGCCACATTGAAAAATGCAGCTGGATGAATACCGAAAGCTCTGATAGAACTTATTTCCGTAAGTGCTGATGACAAAGAATCAACTCAGAATCATAAATAATTCCCAGCAAAGGAATCTTCATGCTATTATTAAAAAAAAGTTATTTACTGTGGAAACATTTCAAGGGGCAGTCTTTATAATGCACAAGCAGCCATGATTTGTCGGTAATATATGATATGACAATAGAGAACACTTCATAGAGGTAACCAGTCGAGCGTTGTAACGACCGGTTCAATCTATTCGACATGTTTACCGCTATTAAAATTGTACACATTTTCATTAATATGTTCTTTGCTTACGCCTAAATTAATGAAAACATTGTTGAAATTGTAAGGGGGATGTGGAAATTGCGCCTCTGTTCTCTGTATAACAACATGGCTTCTAATTGTGAACTATGGAACTAGAATATAGTTGCCTCTGAAGATCTTAAGATTGGTACGTCAGGCCACATTAAGTTTGTGCATGGTTTGTGTGCGTGATAAACTTTACAATATTATTCAATTAAGCCAATTTAGGTCTATAAAGTGTCATTAGTTTATAGTCTAACAAGAAACCTTTCTTGTAAAATATTGCGTATAATTTAGGCACATGTATATGAAAACGACTGAAGTCAGCCAAACAAGTCTTCTATTAACGTATTTCTTTCAAGTATTATCTATTTTCCAAGAAAGGTAATCATATTTTAAAACAAAGCGTTTTCCGCACAATTGCCAAAGATCTCCTGCAAGGTTTGCGTTGTGCTCTGTGGTGATGTATCATAATGTCTAGGGAGGAAATGGGTTACGGAAGGCAACATTTCTGAATATTTATATGAACATTTCTGAAGAAATTGCCTGTTGAAAGCTTTCAGGACACGCAATCCGAACTGAATAATGTACGGGGTGCTGCCCTCTATTGATTGCCTTTTATGTGGTGGAAGCGTACTGCTCAGCACCATGGGAACGAGCTGTTGTCCACGAACCGCAATCACAGCGTCTTTGGAATCTTGATTCTTGAGGGGTTGTGTCCATAATTATATATAGAATAAGTTTTTTATTCTATATCTATGGTTGTGTCATGCGCGCGCACGTCGATAATTGACAGTCCTCTGAATGGGTACCGGTGTCATATGGAAATCAGACGCGTATGAAAATCGGACTCTTTTTTCCCTTTTATTGGTTAAACCCTCTCACGTGACCGGTCCCTCTCCTAATTATCTATGGTTTTGCCTAATGCAGCGCGCATCCTACACATTGCATATCAGCCCCTTACCAAATTTCCGCCATGCAGTAACATACAAGATGCTACCAGACTTAACGCAACTCCATGGTAGCTCTGTCGTCGTATGTATTATGCATGCGACCGAGAATAGACTGTATTTTCCGGCAGAAGTCACGCGTGAACAAGACCGGTAGTTTCCTTCCTTTTTCAGGGGGAGATTTTATGATTTATAACGCCCTCTTGCGGCGGTTCGCGTATTATACATTTTGTGTTCAATGCCTTGACTAGCTTACCTCTTGGGCAACATGATTTCTAAAGTGGGGCTGGACTAATTGACACACTGAAACGAATTGCTTCAAAGACAATTACAGGCACAACTCGTCGTGATTGGTAGATCAGGGGCGGATCCCGTTTTAGATCAAGAGCGGGTTAGCTGCGGGTTAAGAGACATTTCCTGTGATTTTTTTGCATGATTTACCTTTTTTTGCCGGGGATTAAACCCTATATACCCCTCACCGCAGATCCGCCACTGTCGATAATTGACCGTCCACTGCTGAGGAGGTACTTTGGCTCCATTAATCATACTTATGTGACGTGTCTAAAAAAAAACACTAAAAAAAACTGGCACACCGTAATCTCTGTAGCTCTATGGTTTGAATGGCCCCTCATGTAACCCTAACTGAATGATCAACAGACGTATACATTCACAATCGTAACATTTTTAAATCCCCTTTTTCGTGGTCTTGATTTTTTCCTGTTTAGTGGACCCCTCCAAGCGCAGCCTCGGTATTTTGTGTACGACAAGACTGTTGCGAAAAACAAGACATTTTTGTACACGCACACTTGACTTAAATAATGACAATCACATAAAAAAGGCGTAGCCCGTTCAATGTTCAAACTCAAATACTGGAACTGGGTCGGGTTTTTTTCTGGAATCTAACAAAAAAAATACAATTAATGTTAACGTCACAAACTAAATAAACTGATTGGTACATGAGCCGCCCGAATGAACTTTGGCACGGCAGCGCAGCGTAGACACTAACATTGCATCGTCAATCCGGGCCCAATGCCTGGTACGCCAATACTGGAACAGCTTGGATCATTAGAGCGGTCTGGTTTGAGCAAGTCGCATCGTTTATAATATATTCAGACTAATCCAGCCATCATGGCGAACATTAGAATCGTATTCTATCTTGTTGTCTTGATGGTTGCCAGTGCAGAAGGTGGTGGCGATGGCCCTTCCACAGGTATGTTTTAGCGTTTGTTTTCCAGGCTATTTATCATTCAAATTCACTGATTCTAATATTGAAATTCGTCAATCAACATCGATATAGTGCACTTCCAATGTATAATTTCGTCTTTTGTGAGACAATTTTATATTCAGTTCAAGGAAATTGAAACCATGAGCACACATGTACGTCAAGCAGCATTCGATTTTGTCTCGTCTATACGCCGAGCAGTGTTATTCAGAAAGCAAACAATTCATCTTATTATGTCACACAATTTAATCATAATTTTGTTCAATTTCGTCTTACTTTGCTGCAACTTCAGCGGAGGCATGCCGCTGATGGGAAGAGTTTTCTGCCCTTTTTATTTCCTTGTTTCTTCATATACATCTATTATTTGCTTCGCTTGATTTGATCTTCTGAAAAGTACGTTAGACCCAGCTTTGGGCACAAACGTTACACGGGAAAATATATTAAAAGGGTCGTCGTAGTTTTGACATTTGTCTTTTTTTCATTTGAACACTTGTTTTATTCGTTTCAAAATTAAAAGGTTATTGATGGTTTGTTGTTCTTGGTTATATTTACACTTGTCTTTTGGTAACTGCTCTCTGAGTAAAGAACACCTACTTGGTCTGATAACATCATGCGAACGAATGTGCTAAATTGTGCGCGTCAATTTACCTGACACAACTTCTACATTGTATGACATCAGACGAATTCGATCTCCGAATGCTGCCGTTCGGCGATAGCTAAGACGGATTCAATGTGTATTGACGGATATTCTTGGCCAAGTGCTTAGATACGTTGACCAAACTCCTTTGAAATTGATTACTAAATTGCTTTTAATATAAGCATGTGAAATTCTCGGACGAATATGAATATTAGAATTGGACTACCAAAAAAGCGTTTGGTATAGTCGGGAAAACCTGTAGAGTATAGGTCTATTTGGATTTAACCTTAATATCTGCATTCGGCCAAAATTCTAACTTTTCTCTAAGTTTGTGTTTTTCCCCCCGAAACAATATGCAAAATGCTGCGGACTGCATTATACCAGACGCTAAGATTTCCCAGGACGCTTGATACTATTACTTTCAATCATAGGCTTTTTTCGTAATAATTTGCTCGTTGCATTTGTGAATGTTTGCAAATAAGTATGCACATTGCTTTAACCAGCACTACAGCCTTTACAGTAATCATAGAAACACAATAGATAGAAAAGTCTTTGACGACTTGAATCAGTTTGCTGTAGAATTGAAGTTTGACCGACGAAATGAGACTTTTGTGGAAAAAGAGCATAGACCAATCATGATATAAAGAGTGGTCATAAATTATGGCGGAAAATCATCAATTGCTTTAAATGGAATATTATCTGTACTGTACATTTCAGACTTAGAAAACATTCAACGACATGATTATTCTGAAATTCAAGTTAATTATGACCAAACGATATATCTTTTTTTGGGGTGGGGCCTCGGTGTTTCACTGTTACGGATGTTGACATTTTAGAACGATTATAGGCTGCGTACATTGTACGTGGAAATTGCCTCTGATAGGGATTCATAACGTGTATCGCTGCTCGATACCGACAATTCACAAGGCAATTATAATTCACACCAATGCCCACTTGTTAGTTAAAATCTGCTATAGGACTTATTAACCATCTGTCAGTACTACGCGTTGGCCTACACGTACGCTGTTAATGATTTACATTTTACCCATGGGGAAATTACCATCGCTTGATATTTACTATCAGCTATCCTTGACCCTGGCATTATTATGTTAGATGAACATCATGAACTTTAGGTGAGCATTAAAATTGGAAATTCTGTCTGCCCTCTCTTGCTTTCAGATGAGTACTTCTTGTACAAAAACGGTGCCTGTGCCCATAACGACGGTACATCTATTGACATCTCCAGTGTCCCGCTCGGAAGCAGCGTTAAAGTCCGTTTGCAATATGGAGCCTGGTATGAAAAGTCCGACGAAAACTGCTCTCTGGCCTTCACCTACAATTCGCCTACACCAACGCTGTTCCTTGCGAAATCAACGACTCCGTTGTGGATTGACGAGGAAGTCTGTGTCACACTGTTTGACGGCAACACCACCTCGGCAAGCTCCATGTTGCGCAAGTGCGGACTTCGCTTCTACGACGACACCGTGTTCCTTACCACAGGACCTGCCATTCTTTTCGGCGTAGACGCCTCAGACGGAATCAGATATAATGATCGGCTCACCTACTCGCTCACAACGTTTGCAGTAGAAGGTAGGGGATGTATTACATACAAAATTGGTGTCATTCATCTATCATCATCGTTTTCTTTTTCTTATTCTTTTTTTCAACTTGTGACTTAGACTTACTTCAGTCTCAAACTGACTGACATGTCAATTGGGAATTAGACTGGTTACCTATCTTACTTACTGACGCTTGTTTCATGCACTTTCAAGATATAAGAGTAGGGAATAAGTCAAACTCATGCGAAATGCAAATATTGATTTTCCATTTCTATCGCGTGCCGCTTTCCATTATTCTACAATATTTTTTTTAAATCTTTCTGAATCAATTGAATAGAATTCTGTGCGCTCTGGGACTAGTTTTACTGGGGTTGTCTAGTCTTGTTTCAGTAACGATTGTCTGGAGTAAATGTTCCGTTCTCTTTAATCACAGCGAACTACTTCATGGAGGACTTCTGTTCGAACGACACACTGGTGCATCCCAATAAAACCATTTGGCTTCATACCAACAGGGGCAGTCAGTACAGTAATTCCAAAACCTGCACTATGATGCTGTACACCCAGATTAACCACAGGTTGCTGGTTAGATTTCATCGTTTTTCACTGGAGGATTATGATTGCCTGACGTACTATGAGGGAAGCGGGACAAATGGCGATGACTTATTACTAGAGTTATGTGGAAAGTATGGCAGTTCTTATTTTACAGTTGAGACTTATGGCCGTTTCCTGACGGTCAAGTTTAAAACGGATTCTCAAGGCACAGACGATGGGGTAATCATGGTGATCACGTCGACTTCTGAAGGTAGGGTCTGTCGTTTTCTCCGCATTGACACAACTCAACAGGGTGACCGTTTTAGCCGATTTTCGGCTAACTTTGACAGAATTTTTGTTAAAAAACTAGTTCGACAGAAAATTTGACAGAATGGGTTTTTTGGCAGATTTCTGGCAGAATTCTGCATAAATGGTTATTTGACAGAAAAACAGCAAATTTTAACGAAAAAGTGTACATTTGTTTTAAAAAGCTTCAATCCTTTCAAACAAACCCTTGCATAATGGGACAGGTTGGCTGGTCTAGGTGCTGAGGTTCACTGGGAAACGGACTTCGTCGTGGCCGGATCAACGTGGCCCGAAATTTACCAATAATTTCACAATATCTTTATGTGACTAGATTGTTTATTATGTAATTTGAATCTTAATTAAGGCAATAATACTAATCTGCATGTGATTTTAAGTGTTTATAGTGTATTTTAAGTAATTCAGGGTAATTTGGCAGATTTTTGATAAATCTGACAGATTTTTGATGTGCGTTTAGCAGAATTTGGCTCTGACCGTACGGTCACCCTGCAACTCAAACAATCACATTCACAACTTGCAAGGTTTCACCACCACTCATCTCCACTATCACCACCTTCGACACCGCTGGTATTCATGTTTAACTCTCTTTGTTTCCAGATTGGGAGTGTCCTTATTACTCTGGTCTAATCAAGTGCACAGATAACCCGGTTTGCTATTTGTTGAGTGACATCTGCGATGGTTTTCCTGATTGTCCGGACGGTAGTGATGAGAAGAACTGTAGTAAGTTTTCACAGTTCATTTTCTTCCTACTAAATGCAAACAAAATATAATGGAATGCCGGACGTAGAATGTGTAACCAAAATAGACAATATAGGTATGGTGTGAAAGATACGCCTTTAGGCCCTACACTTTAAAATGAGACATTAAATGTCCAAATCTGATAATTTTTGACAGAGTTATGTGTAATTTTCCAAGAGAGGTCAAATTGACCACGGGACCAAGTTTTCGATGTTAGGCATTCGGATGAAGGTATGGATATTTGCCTTTATGGATATTTGGATTTACATATATCCCTTACATAAAATACTTCAATTTGCGACGGATCAACCCACCTTGAAAAATTCCTAGTTTGGGGGTAAAATCCATATATCTATTTCGTGTACCTTGTGGAGACGTATTCATCTATAGAAATTGCCCTGTGGAGACGTCCGTATACAATCTTTTGTTCCATATTGTACCCATGTCTCCAGAGGGTACCATGTAACAGATCCCCCAACAAACAGCTCTCCATACACATATCTCGCAAGAGCTCGTTGGTTCGCACAGGTCGACCTGCCAGTTCTTGTACCGTTTAGGGCTTTTTTGTGTTTTCGCCATGCAGCTAATTGTGACTCAGGAATTGTCTGCCCTACTCACGAGAACACGAGGCTGTGCATTCCAGTGGAAGAGCTGTGCAATGGAGTTACCGACTGCTGGCATAACCAAGACGAAACAGATAGCCGTTGTGGTAAGTGCTTCTAGTTCCAAAGATACCATGAACTGTCATTTTTATCGTTAAATTAATTTGTATTTGTATTTCATAAGGGCGTCCCTATTTATTTATATGGTTCTCATATTTGGTTGCCTGAGGTATAGGTCGGTCGGCAGAAGAAATCAAACAAATTGTTGTTGCCCCGTTGGCCGATACGGTTAAATTCAATGATGCGTATTGTCTCTTGTTGATGTTGTGTTTTGCTGATGCGTATTGTCTCTTGTTGATGGTGTGTTTTGCTGATATTGCCTCTCGTTGATGTTGTGTTTTGCGAAGAGTTTAAAAGGGTCCCTAACGGCCCTCCCTCTTTTTGATTGATTTCTCTTTGTAGTTGTCCGGCCCCTATTGAATACCTTGCCAGAGAGATGTATGTGTATAACTCTGTCTTTTGCGCCCTCCATACAAATATCTCGCATATCTTAGTCAGTGGCTAACCGGGGTTAAAATCGGAAAATTTGGAAGTAGGGGAGGGGTACCTTGAGGTATGTACACACATTTTTCAAGGGGTGTTACTGAAGCCAAAGACATCAATGTCTTTTAGTTCAATTTTAAATGAGGGAGGGGGCACAGGGGGAACGGACATCCGCTGGAGCACGTGCCCCCCCCCCCCCTCACCTTTAAGTGCGGAACTGATGTATGTCCACATCTATATTTCAGTATCATTCTGTCGTCATTGCCAAAAATGCTATCGGCTTTTCATTCTAATGAGTATAGGTTTTACCGGCTATTTGAAAACATTTTTCGTTCGAATTCACCGATTCTTATATTCATTTCGTCCGGCAACATCGATTTAGTGCACTTTCAATGTTTAATTTCGTCTTTTGTCTGACAATTTCAAATTTAGTTCAAACAAATTAAAACAATGAGCACACGTTTTCGACCCGGTGTATTCGATTTCGTCTCGTCTACGCCGAATCGTGTTATTCAGAAATCAAATTCGTCTAATTGATTTATATAAGACGAATTTGATCTCTGAATGCTGCCATTCGGCAACAGCTTAGACGGATTTGATCTGTAATGACGAATATTATCGACCCGGTGACTAAAATGGGTGATCAAATTTTGAAATTGAATGATAATGACTAAATTGGTTGTGTTAAAAGCATGAGAATTTTTTCTCGGACAAAATTGATTGTTAGAGTTGGTGAATTTGAGTGGAAAATGTTTTAAAATAGCCGGGAAACCTATATTATAATATGAACTTTGGAATCGTGTGTTTATTTATCTGTGTGTGGGGGGTTTTTTTTGGGGGGGGGGAGTGATGTTGCTGTCACTGCTGATGTATAGTAGCAGCGCTGTAATTCTCGACTTCGATTTTATAGATTGTCCATCGGATGGAATTCATTGCCGGGATGCTTCCGGCTTCCCCCTTTGCGTTCGAACTCCTGAAATTTGTGATGGATATCCTGATTGCCGAGACGGAGACGACGAGGAAGACGCACTTTGCGACGGTAAGTTTGAACCAGGCCTCTGTCGAATTTGGCTTCACTTACTCTCATTAACAAAGTGGAAAATCACTCTAAGTTTAGATCAAAACCAATTTGGGAGGGGGAAGGGGAGGACCAAGACCGATCCAGTGCAGACTCGAGTGAAACCTCGAACTATTCGATTGTTTGAATTTTACACTAAGTCTAATATTGTCCCCAATTTCAGTCCTCGAAAGAGTTTCGTATACAAACCTTATGGGAGCTTGAGGTACAAACCAAAGGGAACAAAAGAAGGAAAGTGGCAAGCCCTCATGAGTAACTAAAAAATAATCACATATTATGTGAGTTTGTTTCTGCATTCAGTAGGGGACGTTGAACAATAATAGGTCCCAATTCCCGAAGGTCCCCAATTGAGCGATGGTGTACAAAACATATTTGAGGTCTTCCTAAAAAGTTAAAAAGTACAAACAAAGGAGGGACAATATTGGGGTCCCCGATTGCAGGCAAATTCACACTTATATGTGTGTGGGTGTGTGTGTGTTTTTTTTACTTACCACAGATAGTTGTTCGTCGAATTTTTACTGTTATCAACTAAACAATGGCAACCAGTACAGCTGTCTACCATCTTCTAAGATTTGCGACTTTGTAGTCGACTGCACTGATGGCAAGGATGAAGACTATTCTCGATGTGGTAAGTTTTTGACTTTGTCGGAGTTGGCACGATCGGCGTAAATAGTCCACAATTTCTGTTACTGTCAGTTCAATTTAGTCGAGTGACAGTATGTACAGTATATAGAGCATCATTTTTCGTGAATATTTCTGGAGTGAGCTATAAACGAAATGGGGAAAAGGCCTAAATTTATGCTGTGTTTTTTTCTTTTGAAGGCACCGAAGAACCCTGTGCGTTTCACTGCTTCTATTCACCTGGTAACAACTGTCTGCCATCTCATAAGGTTTGCGACTCTGTGGTCGACTGCTATGCCGGCGAGGATGAATTCGCATCTTTTTGTAGTGAGTCATTGACTTTGTCGGAGTTGGCATATTAATATCATAGAGCTGCATAATACAGCTCTATGCATAGATGCATAGTCCACAATTCTTGTTATTTTCAACCAGACTTGTACCAGACTTTCAACCAGAGTCAGTCACAAGTCAACTCACAAGTCATTCAATTCACAAGTCAATTCACAAGTTAAGTCAGAAGTTCTGGAGATTTAGGGAGAAAATGAATCAGAAATTACTTCAGCTAAACTGTAAAAGAATGAGTTGGCTGTGTTATTGTTCGTTTGGATTGAAACTGCGTACATCCATTATAGTAGAAATGACAAAAATGCCCGATATTGGAGGATATTCAAACCCACGCCTTGCTTTTAGCTTTTCTAGCATTGCAGATCAAAAGGGAAAATTCTTTCTTACACTTGATTTACCAGTACTAAGTCGACTTCATACATTGTTGGCCCACTTAGCATTTTTGAGCATGGCGGTTCTCGCACTCTCATTTAAATAAATAAATCCGGGTCCTATCCTATAGGGAGAAAATAATTCAGATGCACCATGATAACTTAAAGATGTATTCTTCGTGCTCTTACGAGTTTCACCACGATTTCTTTTCAGTTACTTATATACTCCTAGCAATAGAAAAGTTAATCACTCTCAAATGTGACATGGAACGAAAAAAAAAGTCCACCGATGTTTAGTTATTGAATTATTCTGTACAACATTTGGATTATTTGCGGCCCGACTATATACATGTATAATCCGGCCCTTGCACGGCGCGGATTAATTAGTGCGCACAATGGAAGCCTTTTTTTCAGAGGGTTGCAAAGGCCAAAAGGAAACTTCTTCAGGAGAATGTTTCTAAAGTTTTATCAACTGTGTGTTTTTTTTAGACTGTGAATCGGGAGTCCGTTGCCAAAGTATCTACGGCCCTTTCTACTGCATTGACGAACGGGCTCTTTGTGATTCGAACGCAGACTGCATTCACGGAACGGACGAAAGCTCTGAACTTTGCGGTAAGCGACACAGCAAAAGACTTCGATATGAAATTTGTTTACCAAGTAAGGCCAAAAAAAAAGACTCCGGTTTCTTGTTTGTATGGAGCTTGCCCAAAAAGTGGTGCGGCGACGCGGCTTTTTTTTTTTTTAACCTGGTTTATTTATTTATTTTTTTGCTTCAAATGTCGGCTGATGACTGCAAATGGTGGCCGACTAAACTTAGTGCAAATATATGGGAGTCCAGAGAGGCCACATAAAGCTTATTCTCGATCATAACCCCTTCTAAAAACACGTTGAAATTGTGCAGAAGCAGGATTCCAGTTAAACCAGTGAGTTTGGCGGTTTTGAGACATCATCTTTCATTGAAAAAAAACTTTTTCATTTTGCTGACGCGCATGACTACGGCGACGCGCGCGCATACCAGAAACCGGAGACTTTTTTGGCCTAATGTTTTCATGTTGAGTGTTATTAGAATGTTAATTTAAAGGAATATATTATTATTTGAATTTATTCCAAAGATAACTAACCGAGTTATTATCAAAAAGTTTATCTCGGATTAAAGATCGTACTGGGTACTAAACACCCCACAAAAAAAGGCAAGGTTCTTTCAGCAAAACGATACTATTCATGTGAATTGTTTTCGTTTTGCTGAAAGAACGCTAACCTTTTGGTGGTGTGTGGACAGAACTTTAAAACGGTGCTTTAAAATTCCGTGATTTGAAAAGTACATAAGTGATTTGAATGATTTTTGTACTAAACGAAAGCTTATGAATTGGGCTTTTATATCCTAGATTTTGAAAGTGCTACATGCAGAACTTGATTAAAAAAATGGTCCTGCCTGGCTTTCCTTTATTTTTTGCTCACCCTGTACTTTGGGCAATTAATTTGTAACTTCAAACAAACAAGTGTGCCAAAAGCAAATGTCGCATTTTGCGCAGTGAGAACGCAGTTTCATCATTTCAGTCCAGTATAATAAGAAAAGTTTTCTTCCAAATTTGATGAGATGGGCCGGGGACCTCTGAATCTGGGAGAATCACGGACCCGTCTCATTTGGCATTGTTTCGTTCTTATAGAGCCTCCGATCCTCTCGTACTGGTCTTCGGGTGAGCTGGCTGGTATCTTCATTGGCTACATCATCTTCGCTGTCTTCGTCGTGGCCATCACGTGTCTCATCCCAAAGAAATGCAAACCTGTCGATGAGTGACCTGTAGACAGAGATTCCCAAGAAAACGGGGATTGCTACAGATATTGAAACACTAAGGATGTGAAGTATTCACCGCATATCAAATTCCTGATGATTCAAAGCGTTGAAGAGCTAAAGATTTTGTGTATTATATCGCTGGAATTTATTCCATAAAAGAATCGTTTCTGTAAAGATACATGCACATGTCTATAAATATGGGGTTTTTTTTTAATGTGGCACGATTTTTCCAAACTATTTTCATTAATTTCACACGTTTGAATCTGAAATAGCATTTATTATTTACTTGCAGTTGTGTGAAGAAAATGTTAGATTACATACATTTTGGCAACCTTTGTACAAATTGTTGAAAAAATTAGCTTATTTAGCTTGCTGTTAGTTTTGAGTGAAATATTGTGTCGTACATTATTGTGTCGTAAATGATTAACAAAATGCTCCACACAAAAATTGAACAAACACAAAAACTACACACAGAAAAGTCATGTACATTGCACACACACAACGTTTAACCGAAACTTTTGCCTATAAATAGCATTTTCTTGAGTAGGCCTACAGAAATCTACTGTAGTGATAAAAACAAAGGAGACAACAAGGGAAGGAACTTAATAAGTGTTAACGTTTTGGTACATGGATATGTTTCATGGGTGTTCGGGTAAGAAAACAAAACAACATGTATAGGAAAGCCTAGTTGGGCTAGTTGCAGAACGCTAACTGAGTCAGAATGGCTATATTCTTGGAAGTCTTTCCAGAATCTGGTATACAGATTTAGCCCAATCATTGGTGGAATATGGGGTAATCCTATACGATAGAACTGCCCGTTTGACAAGTTTCAGTCAGTGAGTCAGTCAATGACTAACTCACAAAGAATGCGTTGTAAAAAAATGGTTGACTGTTTGGAATGATTCGCATTATCTGCGACGAAATGATTGCAGTGGTATCAAGGCCTAATGACTTTCTAATAGCGATCATTGCTGATATAGTTGAAAAGCGATAATTGAAAAGCTACCAAAAACTGACAGGAAACGTTAGTAGAAACAAGTTACATGCAGTACAAAGTCACACAAACAGCTGTGAGTGATAAGAGTAAATTGAATTGTTTTACCGATTTCATCCAAACTGACGAACACCTTAAGTTTGGCATTGATGTGTTTTTTTCCTTTGTTGATTTCGCAGTGCTTTGTATCAATCTTTTTATAAAGCGTTAGCTAATTAACAAACAAAAAAGAGCAGTCGTATCTCAAATTAACCACTTGAACACGGAACTGAAAAAAAGGAAATATTAAGGAATTTATAATTCGTATAAGGCTTTTAAAGTACTGTGTTTGAAGTAGCGTGTGCATATAATAAACGCCGTCCGCAACACAGACTGGTACATGTACGTGACAAAGAGGCATCCCAGAAACATTTGAACTTTATTGTGTATTGTTAAAAGACTCGGCAAATAGATGATATGCCACCGTAATGTATCAATATTGACCTGTGACTCACACACGTCGAACAAAATACGTGTAGTACTAGTTGTTCATTAATTCGCAGAGTCTAAATGCGGACTAATGTGACAGGTCATTCAAATCGGGGTTACGGGTTAATTATTGATTTGGTAAAGTACAGTTCAGCCGTTTCAGCGAAAAAGGGGACACAAAGCGATCCGAGCGCGTCGACTCTGAACACGATGTAAATAAGTAACAGAATATTTTTTTTTGTATGCACACAATGTTAAAAATATTGTGAATAACAAAAAATTTGGGTGTTTACCGAGAATTCAGGAGTCGGACTTAGAATTCATGTAACCCATTACCGACATATTTGTCTGGGATCTTGGTTTTCCCTGCCCACCCACTCAAGGGCGGATCCGGGGGGGGGGGCAAAGGGGGTCATCCCCCCCCCCCAAAAAAAAAACCGAAACCCTTTTTTTATGTGACGTCGCAATAAAGGCAGGCAATGAGTATACACCACCATCTTTTCCTCAAAAAACATTGGTTAAAGTGGTCAGAAATTGCCTCAGATCGTACCACAGACTCACAGAGCATCCAACGCCGTAATTTTTTGATCCACTTTTGGGGGGACCAAATTTTTTTGGCCCCCCCCCCCCCAAAAAAAATGTGTTCTTGATCCGCCCTTGCACCCACTTCCTTCTAACCGTTGGGCCAAGGAGGAAACAAGGCCGGCACGGTTAGCCCTGGTCTCCGACCGAGTAGACCACTTGCAGATGACCTGATCCTGTACGCCGCAGATGCTAACACGGACTTCGCGGACAGTCCCAGCAGCATATAGCTAAGCAATGATGCTAAATAATGTATCTTATGATGGTGAATCAAATCTGTTCAACAGATAATCGGAGGCGCGCGAATTGAAATCTGAAAGGACACCATATGTGGATTCGAACCCGCCCACGTTCACCCACTGAGAATGCCATTTTAGCAGTCACTTCTTCGCGTTCAAATCCTATATAGCCTTAGGGCCTTTGCCTTGCTTGAATCTATTAGTTATTAGTAACCTTCCCCCTCCCCTTATCATCTGACTGCTACTTATATGAAGCCCCCCCCCCCCCCCACCTCCCCCCTACGTAGCCTATGTCCCGTCTTGTACGTAACGCGGAACACGATTCGGATGCTATCTTATTTTGGTTAGAGCGCCCCCTTGGGATTGTTAATAAAAAATACTGGTATCCGACAACCACAACATTAATTTAGTGGGTCCATAACGACGGAAACCAGTGATTAATGTTGACGGTAGAGTGCGCACTTTTCTAGCGAAAACACTGAACTGACCGTAAGTATTGCTATTAATTTTTGTCTTTTTAAGTTTGCAGTGTATTTTATTCACTTCAAATTTTGCCTCAAAATTAAAGGAAAACTAAACACCTACAGAAACAGAATTTAATATTACTAGGCCTATGGAGTATGGAATTGACTAGTGCCTTTGGTGGAACCTAGTCCGAGTAACTTGGACCCAACTTGAACTTATCGCCTTTTTAACATTCGGACATGTTAAACTAAGGCGATAAGTTGGGTCCAACATGTCCAAGTTACTTGGACTAGGTGAACCTTACTTTACAACTTCAACTTGTAATGTAGACCTACTTACTTGATTACAGGAAAAAATAGATTCTGTTTCTACTATCATAATTTTCATATGACTATCAGTATCGATCATCATGACTATTGTTGTTTTTGTAATGCGACTATTTACTGTAGCGAGTGTGGGTCAAGCTTAGCCTGTATAATTTTCATACTCCTAGAACTATGATGCTCGTACTCGTATACACACAAAGTCATACACACAGAACCCCGCAAAATTGTTTGCAGCACGAAACACCAATTAAGTACAAAAACGTCCATCAAACCACAAAAATTTCCCACAGAACCGCTGCACAGTTTGCCCCTAAACTCCGTACAATAGGCCTACCTATGTCAATAGACATTGACATACTCGCTTAAGTTGCACATATTAACAAACATCGCTGGATTCTGTCGGTGTTGAGGCCAAAATGATGAAAATAGAGCCAACCTGACACTTGAAATGTGCACGCAGAGTTTATGATCTCTGTGCTCAGGCGGAGCCTCATGCGGAGCATCATATTTCTAGGAGTATAGTTTTCATTGGAAATTTGAAGAGAGTTTGTCTGAAATGACTGCAGTCTGCAGAGTGCAGGGTTTTTTTTGTCGAGGGGCATTGAACATGCACCTTTGACCAGTTGATCTTCTACTTTTTTTCATCTTTATCCAGACATGACTGCTGTTTAAAAAAAAACACGCACTCTTCAACGGGATATATGGTGTGCCATGGCACCAAAAATACAAACCTAGCATTTTGTAACTGCTTGAATGGAGACTAGCAATGGAGGAGGCAGAGGTCATTGATATTGATGACCTTTTGGGATCTTCAACACCTGTGGTAAGTCATGTTGATGTCAGAGGTCAAAAGTCAGCATCCAGTACTTGTGTCCTTGGGCTGGATACTCTACCACAAACCGAGGGAAAAATTCATCATTAAAATTTATGACCAAATCCATAGTAATGCCAAGATCAAGATTACTGCTCACAGCACATGCACAACACATGCGCAGCATGTAAGCAGTAATGTGTTCTCTTATAAACACTTCTTATGTTTACTTTTTAATCGTAATGCCCGAAACTGTCAGCTATTCTATTGAAATATTGATTCCTCAGTGAATAAACACAATGTAATACGATTCAGTTCAGGAACTAACATGCTAAGAACAGCCCAAAACTAAATACAAACACTTGAACCCTATCCCACATTCTCATACTCACCTTATCCCAATTTCTTATCCCACCCCATCCTGTAATTTTGTACGATGCCTTCTTAAATTTTCCTTGACTTGATAGATATGAAGTCAAGAGTTTCACATTTTGAGAGCATTTCTAGTAAAGTTCGAGTTTTTTTTTAATTTTCTGAAACTTTGCCAGGAACAGCAGGACGCAGAAGAGTATGACTTTGAGAATTTCCCCAACGAAGGAGGGACGCCACTAGACCCTGACCCAACCAAGTTGGCATCAAGATCACAATCGCACAACAGTACGTCAGTGCAAGGTTTGTATAAAACTGTTTTGCATAACCATTGCATAATTTCCCCGAAAAATAGTTTTCATGAGTTAGGCCAAAAAAAAAAATAAGTCGGTCTCTGGTCAGCGCGCGTGTCGATTTTAATCATGCGCGTCAATCTTTCTTTTTTTCAAAATGTTCTGCGGTAGCTCCAACAGCGCCCTCTATTGCCGCACCTCCTCAATTTTTTTTACCAAAGAGCACCAAGGAATGGGAAATTGCACCAAGGCAAATGATCGAGAGCACCTAGGCAAATTATGGAAGACACCAATGTACATGAGGACACCAAATAGCAAAATAGTACCCCACCTTGTCTGTACAATCCAAGCTTGGGAAAAAAAAAAAAGCCGCGTCCCCGTGTCAATTCCGGAACTTTGGTCTGACCAGAGACCAAATATTTTTTTTTTTGGCCTTAGTATTGAAAAAGCTGCAGAAACACCTGGCTTTTGACATCATATTAAATACCATTATAATATTGCTAATTATGTGCTTAGGAGATTCATAAATTGGAACCAGTAATGATCTGTATCATTCTTGACAAAAATATTCATATTCACTTGTAAAATATCAAGACTGGATTTGTATTTTTCTAAGGTGGCCACAAGCAAAGAAATGCGACATCAGGGAGCAACCAATCAAAGCAAGGGCCTCGGAAATCATCCTTGGAGGAAGATTTCAAAAAGCTGCTGCTGTCTTCCAAATCATCCAAGAATAAATCGCAGGAACTGGAACCCAGCCGTGGGCGCAACAACAACAATGTCACATGGGAAAAGGACCCTCGAGAAACTGAGGGGTTCTCGGACGCCAAGGTGGCCCAAAACGAAGCCCTGCTGGATGCTTTTGTTCAGGGGGAGTCCTCGGATGCTGTGCTATCGGACGAGGAGCTGTGCATTGACGTTAACTCGGAGGAGCTCATGCAGTTTATCTTGGCGTTTGAAGCGAATGGAGAAGGAAATGGGGATAAACCCAACGACATCTCAACTTGCGCAACGGCAAAACAGAGTATCGCAGTCAATCATGTACAGTGCCCAAGTGAGGATCAAGAAAGTCTGAATTCATCGATTAGCACGACAGAGTCCCGCGACGGCAGCCTGACGTCCAGTCTGGCGTCTAGCGACCTTTCCCCAATCAGGACCAAACAGAAGGTCCCGAGAGGGAAGAGCGTCCGCTTTCTCATGTCTAATCTTCTGAGGAACAACAAGGCCCAGCATCACCTCACAAGCCGAGCTTCAGGATCGGACGAAGACAATAAGGACGCTAAGAGAACCCTAACCAGACTGAAAGACCGGAACAAGAAGCGAGACAAAGAGGACAGAGACAGGGAACGAATTGCCAAACAGCAGGCCAAGATTTTGAAGACTCAAATGAGCTCGGCATCCTCGTCCAGCAAAACTGTAGCCGAAACATCATTACAGCAACAAAGAGACAGGGTACCAGACAATAATGCACAGCCTAGAGGTCAGATGTCATCCGTTGCTGTAGCGACACCTCTTAGCCCCGGGGCTAGGGACAACACCTTGCATAAACAACTCATACAAGCTGCAGCACGTGGCGACCGGCAGGTCCTGGTGAGTTGTCAGATTTGCGGTATTTGCTGATTGCATAACAGAAACTTTATCAGTAGGTGTATTTGACAAATGGTTGTTAACCCTATAATTCTTGGATCCAACCAGATCTATCCAACAAAATCTTAATAAAACAGGGGTAGCAAAAGGACCCTGAATATATGCCCAAATCAGTGAAATCTCAGGAATTACTTTGTGGTGGATATTGCGTGTTTCAGAAGGGTGAACGTAGAAGCCATGTCCCCCACTTTGTAATCTATCTACTTTTCTGCATTCTTAGAGGTATAACAATAAAATCAACTGATTAGTCCATGCTCTTGAAGTAATACATAAAATTTTCCGATATGAGATGGCAACACAACAATGGAAATAGCATGTGCTGACAAGCCTTTGCACATCCATTCCATGAAATACGTACACGTATATATGTATGTATTATGGTTAGCATTCTTTTTCTGCTTTATGGTTGACAAAACTTTTCAAAAAGTGGTGGGCAGCCGTCACACAAAATCAAATAAAGTAGCACTTTTTCTAGTCAGTCATTTAAGAACTACCTGATGTTTATTTGAAAACTTGTCAAGTAAACCATGGAATTTGCAATAATTGCAAATATAAAGAGATGGTATTTATTTAGATTTAAGAATATTTTGTAAGTTATTTTTTGTTTATGTTATTATTGAAATTGAATTTTTTTATTAAAATTTTTTAATTGTTTCTTCATTTCGGGATGATGGCCAACCCATTCTTTTCCAACAACTGGTTCGCAAAAAAAATTATATATGTGACGTATATGTATCAAAAAAATCTCTTTTGAACACTCAAATATTCTTCGTTTTGAGACACTCCCTAAGCATCATGTATAATTTCTGTTTTTCCCGTAGGAGTTTCTTCTAGCGGCCAATGAAGGTTTATCAGAAGTCCGTGACAATCGTGGTAACACCTTGCTCCACGCTGTGGCCAGGCGGGGCCACGTTGATTGCCTAGCCTGGCTGGCCGCAGGACCCTGTGCCGGGATGCTGTCAGTTGAGAATGATGACTGCTTCACAGCCGCTGCCTTGGCTGTCAAGGTGAGAATAGAAAACAATCTCTGACATGAAGAGTTGAAGAGAGTGAGTGGCTTTCCTCTTAGAATCAAGAAGCAAAGTTGATTAAGAGCATTGGTTAAACCTTTTTCATGTGTTCTGTGTGGCCCTTGTTGTAAGTTCCTTGATTTTTACTAAGGAAGTTTGGGGGCTAATCCCATAAAATATGGAGCAAATTTATGTTAAAAGTCACCTTGAGGTTAGATTTAACATTGAGGTCAGATTTAACCTTGAGGTCACATTTAACCTTCAGGTCACATTGTAACAAAAGTTGAAGGATATTGGTCAAATTTTTCTGATGTTTGGACCATTATGCGTACCATGAAATGCATCTAAATTTAACACAAGTTTTTTTTTCAGCTATAATTAACATAGCATATATGCATAAGCATTGCTATGAAATAGGCCCCCTATGTTCAATACCCAGAGTTGGATTTTGAAGGAAGGAGGAGTTACAGTGAAACCAATTATGACATTTTTTTTCTCAATCACAGCATGGTCAGGTGGACTGCGTCAAGTGCCTAGCTGAGCTTCCCGGCTCGGCCTCGGAGCTACACACCCAGGACCACCGCTGGTCACTGCTTCACCTCGCCGCCCGATTCGGCCAGGAAACCTGCCTACGCTGGCTGCTAGAACACATGCAGATGCAAGATATCACATTGGATCAGACAGACCATAGCAACAATAGCCCCGCCCACCTGGCTGCCAAATATGGGCATCTCTCCTGCCTACAGGTATGGACCGTTTCTGATTTGACCATAAGCTCCGCCCACCTTTGGTTCGTGTACATTTCTCACAGTGCTTGTGACTTTGACTGAGCCACCATAGTCACCTGACCTAGTCTTGATCTGATTGGTCCATCCACAGTGTTTGATTGATAGGCTGTGACTGTTATTAGTAACATCACTTAGCTTTGCCTTGACTGTAGAAGATCTGTGAGCCAGCTCTACCAGTGACTTGCGGTTGTCTGTTGATGGAATTTATAGTGCTTATTAGAAGTGTGATGTGACTGTTGGTGTAAGTCTGTACATAAAGGCATGCTTAGGGAAGTCGACTGAAGTTTGGACTGTCTGTGTTTGTACAGACAACAGGTGGATTACTATGGGCTCCGTTTGCAAAGAGAGAGAGCGCCCTCGACTACTTTTGAGAGCCCAGTGGACCGGACACACAATGTGCTCGTTCTGGTCCGCGCGTGTATAGCGCGAAGTATGCACGACTAAGTTTATTCATGAAGGTTCACAAAGCCATAGCAGGCGTCGTCGGCAATACGTTCAAATGGCTCCCCAGTGGTCTCCTACAACTCTCCCTTTCTTACCGTTGAGGGGGTACTTGCGCACAGAGTCCACAGATTATGTTGTTTCAATGTGTTTATTTGTGGTGCTAGTCTGTACGTAAAGGCATGCAGTGGAAACCTGCATCGTGGGGTGCTGTGGTCCAATGGTTACGGTGTTTGGCTCATGTGCCGTGGTACATGGGTTCGAATCCTGATGGGGAACATGGTGTTGTGCTCTTAAGCAAGGCACTTTACCATTATTGCTCCGTCCTTCGGATGAGACGTAAAGCCGTAGGTCCCGTGTGTGTTGTGTAATGCACATTAAAGAACCCAGTAACACCTATCGCTAAGAGAAGGGGTTTGCCCCGGTGTTTATGGCAGTGGCTGCAATATTCCCCGCAGCACCTTGTAAACCCTTATTAAGGTGCTGCATAATGGAGCTCACATTTTCTCACACAGTTCATTTACCTGTCTTTAAAAATAGACATACATGTAATTTCCAGCGCCTTGAGTACCTAATTGTTAGTAGATACGTGCGCTATATCAGACTCCGGTATTATTTTTTTTTTTGTCTCCTTCATGACTTCAGACTCTGGTTGAATTCAATTCCGACGTGACTCTACTCAACAAGAAGAAGCAATCGCCGTGCACGTTGGCCACCAGGTACCACCACCACCCCTGTGCTCAGTATCTGGTCGTCGTGGAAACCTGCATCAAACTGTCCAATGAGCTGACCGTTACGCAGAGGAAACTGAGAGAGTAAGCTGCTTTTAGCATACCGTTCTCATTACCATATTCTGCTAACTTGATCAGAAAAGAATAATTATAACGCAGTTAAGAATTGTAAATTTTAGTTTACAATGAAATCCTAACCCTGCCAAACGTAGCAACATACAACACTTGACTAAGTGACAAGCCTGCCAAATGTAGCAAGATCCATCAGGTCAAAAGTCTCAAGGCCAAACTGCCTCAGAGTCTGTGGTCACTGAATGCAGCAGGAGACACCTGTGGCATTGATCAATAGGACTTAGCTCTCATTGTTTCAGAGCTGGTCATTCATGCACTGGTGTTGGTAGCTGAATGCATCAAAGTGCACCAGTTCTTTTCCACCTGATGCACTGTGTTGTGTCTGGCAGGGTTAGGGTTAATTAATTTGGTAACTTTTCAAACATAATTAACATTGCAGAATTAATATAGGAGTCTTGTGAAAGCTGTGTGATTTTACATAATTGTCTGTAAATTTTCATGTGGATCTTTTTAAAAGCCACACACAATCAACCCCCAAAATAGCGTACAATTCAATTTTTAATCCAGGATAACAATTGTTTCCACAAGTTATTTTTAGTTATCTCATTTTGTGTCGTAAAGATTGTTTGCATTATTTCCTTTAATACAGTATTGTTAAAAAGAAAATGCAAACCAATTTGGAATTCATATTTTCTGTTGTACTATTTTGTGTTTAATACAGAAGTCAACAGGAGAAAGACGTATTGGCCAAAAAGCTGAGAGAGGTGAGATCGTAGTCATATATTGCTCATAAATCACTACATGCCTTTAAGAATGAGCTTAGCAGGACTAGAGCAGACCCTGAACCCATGACCTTTTGACTTCTGTCGGAGTGCTGTACTAACTGAGCAGTCTACGATTCAATCACACCTGTTTGTTGTTGTCTTGGTTAGCTAAAAACATGGTCACGTGGGCTTCACTATTGTAGGGTAGTGTATGGCAGTTACATAGAGTGTGAACTAGACATGTGTCAAGTGTCATGTGCATGCAAGGTGGTAAGACTCTCAAAACGTAGTGATTGCATTCTTCCGTCACTAGTACACATCTATGCCTACCCTTCCCCCGCCCCCTAGACCTGTGAGTGACCACAAGATAGTTCTATTTCCCGAGGCCTATTTCTCTTGCAGTTCCAGAGGGGAAATAGATGCATACTAGTGACCTCATAGCTAGTTAATACATGATTATTATGTTGGCAGTCTGTCAATATGTCAATACTTTTCGGGAAATTGATCAAAAGCTATGAAATGTTATACAGGGTCTTGTGTCCAGGGATATGCTCCATATAAAATACAACAGTTGGAATTGGGGGCTGTTCCTGGGGGGGGGGAATCATTTTTGATCATCTCAAATAATTTTGATCTCTCTACAAATACCTCAAGGCCATGTCCTGCACCGATGCCCTGGTCCACACGCAGAAGACGGACCTCACCCAGCGTATTGAGCAAATCCAGGGGGAGTACGTCGACCTGACCAACCTGTTGGTCCGTCAGCTTGACCAGATGCACCGGCACCAGACTGATGCGGGAAACCAGTCAGGATCCACCACATCCAGGTAAAAATACTTGTCAGTCAGAAATCTGCTTTAAATTGCAGTAGTTATTTGCGTAGCAAAACATGTTATCAACAATGTTGCCATGCAATATAAATTGCTCATGAGTAGTAGTCAGCAGATTCGTGCTTAGCCAATAGACTTTATGCACAAGTACCCCCTCAACGGTTGCAAAGAGAGAGTTGGGGAAGACCACTGTGAGGGACATACAAACGCATTGATGATGGCATACATCTACCATTCACGCGAAGAACACCATTGTTTTGTACACATTCGGAATAATAATAATGGTGCCTACTTCACTCCATACGCGCACGAAACGGTACGCACATGCAATATGTCCCTCCTCTGGAGTTTGAAAGCGGTTAAAAAGCGTTCTCTACTGTTGGCACACGGCGTCCATCATTCTACTGCTCAAGGAGTATTTTTTTTCTGCTAAGTAGCTCCATGTCCATTGAACAGGTAAACAGAATTTACTTAGTCCACATTTTGTTTGCAATCAGTTACACATACCTGAATGGGTGCAAGCCAGCTAGTCTGGTAGCTAGCAGGTGTTAAAGAGGATCATGCATTTGTGGTAGTTTCATGAAATGGACCAATTTAAAAACTATTAATTCATACATAAGATGGAATTTTGCATCGGGTGATGTAAATCAAATTTAGGTTTTTTGCCCTTCACCGACGTATAAACACTGTATACACAGTGTGTTACCTCCCGAGTGAAATTTAGCAGAAATTTATAGTAGACATCTTTCCAACGAGCTGGTGCTACAGGATTTAACCAACTTTTTCAACTATTATCGTCTTGGTGAACATGTTTCAGCCAAAGGGGTGCATTCTCTCCATTCATTTGCTCCTTCAATGAAATGTGCAAAGTCTACTTTAATTTTTCTCAAGGATTTCCTGCCTGATAACGACTCCACATCATTAACCGTTTTGACTGCAGGGATGACTTGTTAGTATCCAAGCAGAAGGCCGATCAACTGGAGCAGGCCTGCTCAGAGCTGCTAGAGCTAGACCAACGGCAGGAGCTGGAAGCTAACAGAGACCAGCTGCAAGAGATAGAGAGACGATTGAGCAGATTGCAGCCGCTACCGACCAGTCCGATATGGCCTGCCCCTCCCACGGAGTTAAGGACGGGTCTGGCATTGGACTCTATGAGGTACGGTAGGATTTGTATTTTCAATTTCAGTTCAGACTTGTAGTTAACTTTTCTGTTTGTTCATCAAGAGGCCGTGTCCACAGGCTTCCAGTGCTATGGCTATGTCTACTGTCAGCATGCACCCATGTATTTGTAATAGTCGCAGACTGAGACAGTAGCTCTAGACAAGAGATTTGATAATAATAATAATGTGTGTTGCTTGAGCACTCTCCACCAAAGGTAGGTCTCAAAGCGCTTTACAGTTATTACCCCTGTTCATCAGGCCATGAGACCACTTACCTGCAGCCAAGAGCAATGCAATCTGGTCTCTACCCTCACAGGTACCTATTTATACTCTTGGGTTGAAAGATGCAATTCTAGTAAAGTGTCTTTCCCAAGGACACAATCATCATGTTCCCCATCAGGTTTTGAACTCATGAACCAAGTTTCCTTTTTTATGAGTTACTATAATTACTATTTCAGAGCTCGTTTGAGTGAGGTCAACCAGCAGATATCCACCCTCCATCACCCCAGCCCTAGTCTGGCCTCTGACAACCTAGACACCCTCAGCCTGAGCAGCAGTTACACCTCATCCCTCAGCTCATCCTCATCCTCCCTACAAACGGGAGTGGTACAGTCCTCCCCGGGTCACTCAGCTAAGAAATGCAAGACATCGTGGAACGAGGAACTATCACCAAGGGGGATGTCTGCAAATGAAGGCAAAATGGAAACGGCACAACCTGTAACACAGAATTCTTTACTTGGATCTAAACCCAGTGACCCTTTGAGAGACACTCAAGATCAAAGGTTTAGTCTTCCCCACTCACTAGACTTCCAAACGAAGGATAACCCAAGTGTGCAATATATGACAGGAGGCATTACTGGATCAAGGAACGACGGTAAAAATCCAAAACTGCCGCAGTCTAAGGCGAATGTTCACCATGTTCAGGCGTCTATTGAGTACAGTGAGCCTTTGCAACAAGGTCTCAGTGTTAAGTCGACTGTCGAAAAAACCCTCCATGAACAATTCAGGTCTTCAGGAGATAGTGCACGTATTGTCACCTCTCCACCTTCTTACGAGCAGTTTTGCTCAAAACACTCCAAGAGTTCCCTCAGAGTTGAGTCTTCCATCGGGGCAGAGGACAAGGCCAAGAAACCAGACACTGTCCTGAGGAACCAAGATGAGGAGCCACACTGTATGGACAAAACTGATCCGAATACATCCCAGGATAGGACGGTACCATTGGGATGGGAGCAGCAAGGAAGCCCCATGCCTTACCTGCTTCCAACATTCGAAAAACTCCCGCAGATCTCTGATAACCTTCACCAGATCTCAGCTAAGCTTTACTCGCAGAATCCCAAGCACTGCCAGCAGGCCTTGCCCGGCTTCATGAGGAAGGTTCAGCCCACTAATGAGTTCGGAGAGCCCGAATCAGGGAAGGTTATCGTCAAGATCAGCAACCGGGAGGAGTTAGAGCTCCTGCCCTCCCCGGCAACCAGCAAGACCCAGGAGCTGTCTGCTCACCAGCGGGTCGGGTCCAACTCCAGCGTCAGTAGCTTGTCCTCAGACATCCCTTGGTCGGAGAGCGATGCTGATGAGTCTCCCCGCCCCGTCAGGCAGCCTCCTCGAGGAGGCATCCTCTCCAAGAAGTCCCAGACCAAAAAGTCTCAAGAGAAGCATATCACGTTTGCCCTAGACAACAAAGAGGCTAAATCCGATCCGGTAGCACCTTCAACCAACGCAAAGCCTCCGCTTAACAAACGCCGGGACTTATCGCCCATCTACGAGGCTCCCGATTTGGTGAAGTCCACCAAAGATGATTCCAAGAGTCAGAAGAAAGATACTCAGAAGAGTGACAAAAGAGAAGCAAGCTCACGCGAGGCAGATGCCAAGAAGTCTAAGGACTCTATGAGTCCTGATGACAAATCGCCACTCGGTGGCAGGAATTTCCGCCTGTTCAGCTACAGCAGTGATGAGGGTGACCACGAAGGATCGGACAGCCACAAAATGAGGAAAGCAATACCACAACATGAGGAAGAGAACAGCAGTTTTCCAAAGGACCTGGTAAGGTTTTTTTTTTTGTGAGCTCATTTTGTGCAGTTTAGCACATACCAAATTCAGAGATGACAATGAGGAAAAGTCATGTTTAATGTACACAAAGCTGTTTTTCAACTAGTTCAAACCAACTCCAGTAATGGCTGAATATTTCTTTTTAATCTAATATAATATTTTTGACCCCCTTATTTTTAAAAAGTGGTAGTATGAGAAAAAATATGTGAGTATTTGTTCTGATTTTCTGAAATCGTTCCAGACTGGACCTTTTTGCAGCACTTTTGGGATTCTGAAGTCCATAATGTAGGGCTGGAGAAATGACACTGTACCCTTGCTAGTTCAAGAGTAGATCTTTTAAGCCAAAATATTAATCTTTTATTAACCCTTTTTCCATGGCTGGAGCTATTTTGACACACAGGAACATTCAAAAAGGAAAAGTCGTAATGTCCATTAACGGAAAGAATTTGTAGGAAACTGTAGTAAGAGTACTTGTTGTTTTTTTACAGACTGACATTGTAAGTATGGAATTTAATGGAATCGATAGCAATGGCGAAACCAGCAGTCGCTGTAAAGATGACAGTCAGGAGAAACTCTGGTAAGTTCAGAAGTTATTGATATTATCACAACTTTGACTCATTGTTTCTTCCCCCTTTAAACTTTAAACAGGTCAGTGTAACAAAATTTGCTATAAAATACTAACCCCCAAATCCATCCATTTCTGAAAATTACAACAAAAGCAAATGTTGTATATCACCTTTAAACAACCTAAGTAAATACTCTCTCTGTTGTGTTTATGCCAGTTTTGGATTCTGCAACATACACACACAAAGCTGCAATAAATCTCTGATGTAAGGTTTACAGAGCTGAATACATACACGAGAATTTCTCAGAACGAAAGACCTGTACTAAATTGTTTACAGTAACAGAAATACAGATTTCTATTGTTGGTAATTGCATCCGTTATCTGTTTAGGTATGAGAGTTCTGACGATGAAGATGATCCAAACGACAATCTACCATTCCACGCTGAGTCTTCCAGTGGCTTTGAACGACACATCTGCTACCTATGAAAGCTGCTAGGTATTTGTTGTTCTCACATTTTATATGAGTTTGCTGAATTTTGTAGAGCTCAGATACTTGAACTGTACATGGGCTTGATGTTAAGACTCGGGCTGAATTCCTTTTTTTTTTAATTGCTTACATTCCCTTCTTGATACAATTTATTATTAATCCTTTCAATTTAATTTTGATTTTAAAAATTGTGAGAACAATCATCAATGAGAAAATGTTGCCAAATGTTGTGAGTTGCTTCAAACCTTGAACAATTTTAACATATCTTAATGTATTGACTTCGGTACTGTATATTTTGTTGCTGTGTCCTCCCCCTTTTGTTTATTATCATTTGTCATTCCACAGAGTGTTTCAACTAAATATCCAGTTAGGATCATTGGTAGAAGACAAGGAAGGAAATAAAAGTTTTACCGGAGGGAGGGAAAACCCCATGACATTCCGGGGGGGGGGGGGGGGGGGGGGGGGGGGGGGGGGGGGGCATAAGAGTTCAGCTAGAGACTAAAAACCACAATCCACACATTGGCCACATCTGAACTCGGGTCATAGCAGTGGAAGGTAATTAACCATTACCAATTCCGTGAAAGACACATTTCGATAGAAATATTTTAAAGGCATATAGGAATCCTTTCCAGGCATGTCGGATAATAATTTTACTGTTCATGCATTTTGTTCATTTCTAATAATAACACCACTCAAAATCCAAAGAGGAACGTTCAAAACCTAACCTGTTGAAGTTTCAGCTCAGTGGAAACCACACTATTGGAGTAAACAGTGGAAAACCATTCGAGAAAACAGTGAAAAACCCATGCTCAACATTTTATCACGAAACACGACTTCCTCATTATATCTCTGTATTTCAAAAATCGGTCAAATGACTGATCGTTGGAAATCACCTACATTGTTTGATTTCTTTGAAATGACAACAAGCCACACAGAATCATTTTACAGGGTGTTTTGTTCCAGTGCGATCTTTAATGCAAGTAAAAGCTTTTTGATAATAATTGGGCAGGTTACTTTTGGGGTAAACGAAAATGATCCTATATGCCTTTAAAATTGTCCAGAGGAATAAACTAAAATGTGAACTCTACTTTATATGTTTCCAAAAAAGTGCACAATGCAAAAAACATTATCCAGAGAGGGATGTCTGTTAGTTTACATACGTTTCAGAGAAATGGGAATGAGCACAAAATATATTGCAGTGTGAATTAATGCCGTGGACCCCTTTAAGCAGGAAGTAGGGCAGAACACACACTGCAAGTTCACATCCTTTGGCATTTCAGGGAACCCTTTTTGGAGAACGTCACAGAAAAATAACTGCCATGGTTTCTTCACTGTGTCTCTGTAGATTGCTACATCTGGTTTTGGTTTTGCTTTGAGACTTTGGTTTTACTTTCATGCAAAATATATGCCTTCACTGTTTGTTTTAATGCAAACAATCGATCTTTGGAATTGCAAAATGTATTCATTAATATCATCTGAAATCAGAGGAAGTTTGTTTTAAGAGTAAACGTATTTCATGTAAATGTATTTGGGGTTTGTATATTGTAAGATAGAGAATGACGTCTGACATTACAGCGCTGTGGTTTTTTGAAGATTTGTGTGTGTTATAACTCATACTGATCTGGAACTATTACCAGAAACAATGACATGTTAAGCTATTTTTTTCTCCACCAAAACCTAGTGTTAAAGGCATGTACATGTAGGACCGTGTTCATTGGAAGTGTAGGATCGTGTTCATTGGAAGTGTAGGATCGTGTTCATTGGAAGTGTTGGATCGTGTTTATTGGAAGTGTAAGATCGTGTTCATTGGAAGTGTAGGATCGTGTTCATTGGAAGTGTAGGATCGTGTTCATTGGAAGTGTAGGATCGTGTTCATTGGAAGTGTAGGATCGTGTTCATTGGAAGTGTAGGATCGTGTTCATTGGAAGTGTAGGATCGTGTTCATTGAAAGTGTACGATCGTGTTCATTGAAAGTGTAGGATCGTGTTCATTGGAAGTGTAGGATTGTGTTCATTGGAAGTGTAGGATCGTGTTCATGCAATTTGTTCATTTCCAATACCAAAACCCACTCAAATCCAAAGAAGATTCTTCAAAGCCTAAACTGTTGACGTTTCAGCTTGGTGGATATTCCACTTTTCGAGGAAACAGTGAAAAACCATGCACAACTTTGTGATCTCGAAACACGATTTGGTCAGTGTGTACCTCGTTCCAAAAGTCAGTCAATTGACTGATCGTTGGAAATCACCTACATTTCTTGATTTCTTCTTAATGACAGCAAGCCAGACGGAGTAATTTCATGGGGTGCTTAATACAAGTACAATCTTTTATCCAAGTAAGCTTTTGATAATAATTTGGTACGTTACTTTTGGATAAATGCAAATGAGCCTTTAAGCATGGTCATGCTTCAAGCGTTTTGAGACAGTGTCGGAACAATGAAGGGAACAAAAAGCCGACCCGCTCCACCTACCCACCTATAATTATTTTTGTATATTTATAACTACAGTCCTTGCTTTTATTTCTTGTAATTATACATTGTAGATTTTAATTTGCAGTGTTGAAGTTGGCCATCGCAAATCCAGTTAAATTACAAGTCAGCTCACAAGAAACAGGGGATGTACAGTAACAAAGGAATCGGTCTTTCACAGTTCATGTGATTAGCTTGTGAGTTGACTTGATCCTGGATGACTCGTGATGGACTTGTGAGAAATTGTTGGAATTGTGAGGACTCGCAATGGACTCTACTTAATCACTCTCAACTTGTTGGAATGTCCTATCCCACAGACATGGGAAAATCCTGAAATTTGAAGCTACAATGTATCAGGAAAAGTCATGGAATTTTGTGATTGTACAAGGAGTCATGGAAAGTTGATATTGCAAGGGAAAAATCATTGGGAAAAGTCATGTAATAACTGCAACTGCCTACTTACTGGCCTCCCAGACAAAGAAATTGACAAACTCCAACGCATCCAAAACTCCGCTGCCCGTCTGGTATCCCTTTCCAAGAAATGCAACCACATCACTCCAACCCTCAAATCCCTCCACTGGCTGCCCATCCGGCAGCGCATTCGCTACAAAACCCTTCTGCTTACTTTCAAGGCCCTAAACGGAACTGCTCCAAGCTACATTACTGAGCTGCTACAACCACACCATCCTCCCAGATCTCTCCGTTCATCTTCCCAGGGATTCCTCACAACAACTATACCAAGGACCAAATCATACGGCTCAAAGGCATTCTCACACGTCTCTCCCAAGTTGTGGAATGCCCTTCCATCCCCACTTCGAACAGCTCCAACCATAGACAACTTCAAATCTAACCTCAAATCCCATCTGTTTCAATTGGCCTACTCTCATTCACTGTAATTTTTGCTTACCTATGTTTGCTTTGTTAAGCGCATTGAGATTTCCCTCGGTTATGTTTTGCGCTATATAAGACTGTCTTATTATTATTATTATTATTATTTTGTGATTGTACAAGGAGTCATGGAAAGTTGATATTGCAAGGGAAAAATTCATGGGAAAAGTCATGTAATATTTTGTGATTTTACAAGGAGTCATGGAAAGTTGATATTACAAGGAAAAAAGTAATGGAAAAGTCATGGAATCCTGCACAACCCATAGTGATGATGCGTAATATTTGGCAATGACAGTCTTCCAGTTTGCATTCCACTTTACTATACTTCCTCTTCATAATGTCTGCTCTATACTCATTGCATGTTTAATGCACCATTCTGATGCTTTTGTGCTGCGCAGTGGTCTTGTGTCAAAACTGGTAGACTGAAAAGGGAGTGGCGTCCCTTGCCTCATGATGATGACTGGCCAGTGTATAGGCTCCTAGGGTGCCAGTCCAGCTTAGGAATTGGTCATGGAATATCTTTTAATTTAACCCTAAATGGGCCGGGTTATTTTGACCATCTCTCAGCCGGGGGGATTCCGCCCCCCCCCCCCCCCCGCCCCCCCCCCTAAGATCTCGGCCATCGAGTGACGAAAAATGTTGAAACTCAGCACATGCATAGAGCAACTCTTCCTAAACAAACCCAAGAAATTTCATTACTATAGGTCAAAGGGTTTTGGAATTATGGCTAATTAATTATTCATATGGACAAATGGCAATTCTGCTCAGTGTACACGACGTATATGCGAAAATTCAGTTTTCACGGCGCGTAGCGCCGGAAAATGTTTCGCTACGCGGCAACCTGTGGTCTGATTATTATGTTTTTGGTATCAAAAGATGCGCAAAGCTCGAGGCTAAAAAGTCATAACAGCTTGGGTCACGAAAAAAAATTTTTTAGAGGCTATCGCGGAAAATGTTGAAGGGGGGGGGGGATTCCGCCCCCCCCCCGGCCCCTTTAGGGTTAAAGATTTCTGTGGGAATCCTGCCTATTGTTTGTGCACAGGTCAGTAACCAGAACCATAGGGCTGGGGTCAAACATACATTCAATCATGCAATCGGTCATACCGGGTGTAGTCAGTCACAAAGTCGGGGAGTCAGTCAGTCATATAGTCAGTCAGTCGGGAGTCAGTCAATCAGACGACAATAGGCTAGCACATTGGGTATAGGAAAATGACCATGAAATTGAATGAAAGTAAAGAAATTCAATTGAAATAATCGTAAAGCATGGATTGTCTAAGAAATTAGCTATGCTCTAAAAATGTGAGTTTGCAATCAGAGGTTAGTTTAAAGTTCTTACGAATCACGTCCTGATAATTTACCCCAAGAAATGTACTTCCAAAAAAAAAAAAAAATTTAAAGAAAAAATGTTTGTATTCTTTTCAGATGAATGAAAATTCCACCGGCATATTTAAATTATATTTATATAAACAGCATTAAAGTTGGCTGCAACTATTCTTGTATATTTGTATTCAAAAACTTTTATTTTTTAAATTCCATTTTTTTTTATTACAAGATATATACAAAAAAGCAGCGTGTACGTTATTATTATTATTTACAATCCTAATCTTTTGTAATGCAAAGCGTCTATTTTATATGCGAGTGACTATTATAAATAATATGTATTCAGTGTACAGGCTTTTAGGAAATATTGTGAATTCCTATATTTATGGTATAGTTGTGAGTATAGCTTATTCCTTTTGGAAGAGAAGTATGAAAATATATACTTGAAATAAAGCAGCGGATGCTGTTTAAAAATGCATTGAACATTTCTTGCTATTTTTGTTAGTTTGTCTTTGTCACATATAGAGTAGCTCTAGATAACCAAATATGCAGAAATTCTACAATAATATAAAGGGTTTTCCAACAAGTAAATCTTTACTGAAAATAGGCTTAGGTCTTTTACAATCTTGATAAAGTATCACAAAAAGGCAACAAAATAGTTATTCAGTATTATACAAGATTCAGTGAACTTATTCATCGCCCCTCCCCTTAAAAATGGAGAGATATCTTACGCCTCGACAATTAAATTTCAATCTTTGCAGTCCCGAACCAGAATAGTATTCTTTTAATAAATTATATGTCTCAAATCTATTTCTCGAAATCAACCAACCTCTCCCAAAACAGTATGCACGAGTATTAGAAGGAAACCGTTAGTTCCTTGTGCAGTATGCGCAGGCGGTCCGAGCATGGAGGAGTTTTCATCTTATGAAGAACTCTCATCCAAGATGAAAGGAAACAGTCGTCGAATGCGCTTTCAATGGCCACACCTTCGTCTCAAACGTTATGTACACAATGTTTAGTATCCAAAAATGTCAAAGCAATTTTCTCAACCTGTGCTTCGTCTGCGTTCGGCTTCGGTTCGTCTCCGGTTCTTGAATTATTCAGGAGCATTTATTCCTCGAACCGAATGAACATTATTATGTTTGGCGACAGACTATTAGATTCTATGATCAGTGACAGAAAATAGATCCAATCTTGAACATAAATCTCCAGGTCAAGGGCCAAACATCGTAAAACTGTATTCTCAAGCCGAACCGGAGACAAGGTCTATGTTTTCAAAACCTTCCATGCCTTTTGCAAAAACACGTATACAAGGTCGTTATTAAATATCCATACAGTAAAAGTACATGGTTCTCTTGGATGGTATGCATAAGGCAGACTTCCTCCTTCAGCTTGATGTGGTTTTCCGCTACACCGCCAAATAACGGAAACCTCTCCATCTGCTCCCGATCTAACGGACGTTACCATATTCCGTCCGGTTGCTGACAATTATCTTGTTAACCTTATTTTATCCTAACTCTTACTCCAAACGCTACAAAGAGTTCAAGTTATGATACAGGCATTTTCTAGAAAAGTATAGTTAAACAATGAGATCGGATGGTGTAGAGTCCTCTTTTTCATAAGCCCTGATAGTCCGGTTAAAAAAATTCTTCAAGACATATTGGATTCCCTCAAAAGAGGCTAGTCTTTTTCCAACGCATAGGCACTATACCTTATCTTGAAACCTTTCCCTATACAGGTATATACCTCAAAGTGTTTATCGTATTCGTATAAGTTATTGTATTTTATGTTAAGTTCTTAAAATAATGTCTGGATTATGGGTAGAGTATAATTATTAAAATATCCAAAGTCAAAAGGAAGTTGTTTAAACCACGCCACTCATCTTTCTGTGGGGAAAGTATTCATACGCACGGTTACTTTGAAATTTGATGGAATGCTTAAGTACGAAAATTATCACAAAAGATGGAGCTCCTGACGTTTCAATTTCGCCCGGAATCTGTCTCAGAAAGAGGATTTTTCTTAATATAAAAAATACTTAAAGTATAACTTGTTTAAATTTGGTGTCAGTGTTAAAATGACAAATGGTTTTGAGCTCTTGCCCACCACACCACTTCACTCGCCACCCTCTCGCTTAGCAAAGCTCTACTGAGCAGTGAGAATTTGTTTGCTTCATTAAACCACCGCGCGAGCATTGTTACTGTCCCTACCAATCACCAGGGTAGGGCAGAGTTGCCGTCGATGATGGGCAGTCAAAATCCATCTCCGCTGGCGATTTTTTGCCCAGCTTGCCCTTGATACTCCAGCGAGATTTCTTCCGTGGTTCCGTCACGTTAGGCGGTTTGGTTCTCCGGGGCCCGAGGCGTGGGTGCAGTTCGGCAGGCACCCATTCTCCCGCTTCGCAATCCACGGCCGACGCCGATCCGCTCACGTTTTGATGACTCTTAACCATCGCTGACCTGCTACGCTGGGGAAGCTTCCCGTACGGGCCATCGGTGGTGTTACGGGCGGGAATTTTGGCCGAGTAGCTACGCTGCAGCCTACCGTAGGTACTCATGTCCAGGTCCGCTACTCCACGCGGAGCGGTCGGTAGCTCCATCCGTTGGGATGGGGTCCTGTTCAACCTGGAGTAGATCCCATCGTCCGCCGGTGTGGAGGACGTCTTGGGAGGCCCGCAGGACGCGTACACGTTGCTGGACACAAGTCGCCGCGGCAGATCCGGCCTGATGGGTGTCTCCGGTCTGCGGTCTAACACCGCGAACATCTCGGCATCGCGCGGGCTAGAGCCGAAGGAAGACGCTAAGGTGGGGGAGTTGGCGGAGAGGGAGCCTCGAGACGAAGCATGAGATGACGCCCTGGAGCGCTCGCTGCTTGTACGAGATGATGCAGACCGGCCGTCGAATGGTAACCCTCCTGCTGGAGAGTTGATGGGTGACTGTGGCTCCAGCTCATCGTAATCATCATCAGGACCCTTGGGGCTGTCTGGCTTGGCTCCCTGCTCGAGGGTAAAGTAAAATGGATCGAAGCTTGGGGATCCGGATGCACTCTGTCTCTGAGGAGAGCTGGATGGACTTCCCATGAATCCCTTACGGAGATCTACAGAAGAGTTACTGGGATGGAAGTTCATGTTGGAGTCAGTCTGCTGGAGATGCAAATTGGGTTCACTTTGGTGAACAGTCATGGGGGAGGCAGACCTTTGTTGGACGTTCATGAGAGACGAGCTTCGCTGGGTAGACATCGGGGACTCGCAGCGTTGAACCGTCATCGGGGAATCGGATCGTTGAACCGTCATCGGGGAATCAGATCGTTGTACCGCCATTGGAGAATCGCATCGTTGAACCCCCATGGGAGAGTCACTCCTAGGTACTGTCACAGGAGAACTTCCCCGTGAGAGGTTTGGCGGTGTCCTGCTCCTCGGAACCGGGGATTGGCTCCGTCTTTGGTCTTGTCCTAGAATCATCGGTAAGTAGCCAGCTGGTCGGTTCCCCGTGTTACCGGTCGGTGCGATCGTATCAAAAGGATCTGCGTAATCATCCTCGATCATAATACCACCGTTGTAGATACAGCTCAGCGCTTTGCCACTGCGATTCTGGGTCTTGGGGTCATCTATAAGATTTGATTGCGAGTCCCGCACTCCGTGGGGACGCCACTCGGCCATGAGACTCCGGCGCGATGTACCGCCCGGTACCGGCGGGCCACCACCGTAGTTGCACACCATGGCCGCCACGCTGGCCGGCAGTGGGGCGTCCATGGTCGGCAGTGGTGAATGCACGGATAACGGCCTGTGGTGGTAGCTGTGCACGCTAGATCTCGTGCTGCCTCCTCGTTGAAACATGTCTGGTAGCGGTGGAGGTGTCTTGATAACTTTTGAAACAAACAATAGAAGAAATGGCACTTTTAACTAGTTATTTCTCCAAACTAAGTGCGGAAGTGTTCTGAAACGATTAATGTTGATAATGCATGAACTGCTCATGTAAGGCACAGACTATATACTATCCCGATTCTATTTTTAAAGCATTCAGCAAAACCCCACGAACTGTGCTGACAAATCGAACATCCTGTTGGATTCTACTGAGAATCATCAGCGTTAAAAGTCACGTCAGCGACCAAGCCACAGACTGTTCGCGTGGTTGGCATCTTGCTCTAAAGTCGGTCTTTTCAGGTCGATAGTCCTGCGGTTTGCGCACGAAGGTCTAGTGACACGAACGTTTTGGGCTTACAGGATCATTTGCTTTTCATGCCTGTTCTTCGTTTCCAACAATAACACCACTCAAAATCCAAAAAAGAATGTTCCAAAACTATTCCACTGTTCAAGTTTCAGCTCATGGATATTACATATTTTGAGGAAACCACGCACATGCTTTTGATTTCATTAATTCCTGTGAATGAGTACCCTTAACGAGATATTTTTTCGTCATAATGTTATACCTTATAGGGCGACTGGTAGATTAAGGACACATTTTAATGTCTCCCAATGCCACACTCCTATTTAGAGGCAACATTTTAAATGTCGCAAATAGGCTAGATCGATTGCTGGTGGTCCAAAACACAAATGTACCCAAACTGGTGGGGGTAGGATAAGGTAAAATAGGGGTTATAGGAGTCATGAAAGTTTGAAAACGTTTGTGCACAACGTACCATTCTCGGCAATATAAATATAACTCTTTATTTCCAACGATCGGTCAGCTGACTGATCTTTGGAAATCATGATACATTTCTTGATTTCTTATAAAGGACAGAGAGCTAGATGGAAGAATGTGACGGGGTGTTTATACCAGTGCGATCTTTAATCCAAGTACACTTTTTGATAGTAAATCGTATCGCCAGCTTACTTTTGGGATAAATGCAAATGATATTATATGCCTTTAATTCGAATGTTGCATAATGTACAGTATATCGCCTTTTTGTTCTGATATTACTGCTGACGATGGAAAAAAACACCATTCATCGTTCGAAGAGAAAGTTGATCGGTGTCAATTTCAATGCATAAACATCCATACCGAAATTGATAAATATTTTGTCAAAGTTCTTCCTCTTTTGAAAGGTATTGCTGTGGTAACATGACACATCAGACACAGAAATAAACATTTTTGTGAGTACATTTTTCCTTCTTTGAAAGAGAACTCCGATGGAATATCGGTGTTTTTCTTTTCAGAAATTATCATAACATCCGCCGCCACATTCATCTAAAAATTGCACGGGGGTTTTTTTTGGTGACACTGAACATTGATAAAAGAACATTACTGCAACGTGGCATTCAAGTTACGAACCTTGTGCTCCTAAAAAAAAACGGGAATATTTCCTCCTAACGAATGTTCAATTTTGACTGTTTGTTTAGTTTTTTTAATTCAAATAAAGCTATATTATTTTGATTTTGGGCGTCTGCAACCCTCTGAAAAAGGACTTTCATTTTGCGCAAAAAATGAACCCGCCCTGCTAGAGCCGAATCATTGTCTGGCAGTCAATCATTCGAATCTGTAGGAAGAATTAATTCCATGACTATGAGTCGGTGGAATGTTTCGTTCGATGCCTCATTCAAAAGTGAATAACTTTTAATTTGCTAAGGAAACAACAGTTTGAAAGAAAAAAAATCAACTTTTCGACGTGAAACTCGAAAATAACGCCACGGAGAACCATCTTTGATCTTTAACCACTGTAGTGCAACAAAGCCCACCATTGTGAGTCTCTTCTGTCATTATTGAATCAGTAGAGATGGTTTTCATTGAACCAACTTTTGGCAGTGTTGTAATCACTGTCTTGCAATTGCATTGGTCCCCTTTTTTCGAGCTTGAGGACTTTTTTTATTTTTGCAAACGAAATCTTGCAGACTACAATCTTAAGTCGACTGTGGGTTTTAAAGGCATCTATATAGGATCATTTGCATTTATCACAAATGTAACAGCCTGTCAAAAAAAAAATGGTACAATCAGAAAAAAAAATGGTTAAATATGAAATTTCAAAATAAGTCATTCTTACTTGGCATAATATTAAAGAACAAAGACTGGGCTTTCCAATAGCGTTTGTTTGATCTTATTTGCTTTTGTAAATTCAGAGATATAATCAATTTAGTGCGATACACCAAAATCGATTTTGTGCCACTTTTATGCATGGGCAGAGTTGTTTCGAGTACTGTGCTATGCTGTCTTGAAGCTCACAAAAGATTGCAACTTGGCAAAAGAAACAAACTCGATTTTTGTGTTCCGCAGTAAACTGGAGTTATCTCTGGATTGACAAAAGCAAATGAGATGAAACAAAAAGTATTGGAAAGCCTGGTCTTTTTTCTTTAATGTGATGCTCAAAACGACTTACTTATGTTGAGATTTAATATTGAAAAAAACTCGTTTTCGATTGTACCATTTTTTTTAGACAGGCTGTATACCGAATTATTATCAAATTATTAATGGATTAAAGATCGCACTGGTACTAAACACCCCGTGAAATAATTCCGTCTGGCTTGCTGTCATTTAGGAGAAATCAAGAAATGTAGGTGATTTCCAACGATCAGTCAATAATTGAATGGAACTAAAGAGTGCTATGGACGAAGTTCGTGCTCAAAAGGTTGTGCGTGGTTTTTATCTGGATCTCTCATATCATTTTTGTTTTTCTTTAAATAGATTCTTGTGAATTATGTTCGATGATATGAAAAATAAACCAATGAACCAATAAACTGTTTTCTAGAAAAAGTGTCATATCCACTGAGCTGAAACTTTAACAGGTTAGGTTTTCAACACTCTTCAATGGATTTTGAGTGGCGCAATTAGTGGACACGCAAAATTTATGAAAACAAACGATCCTATCTGCTTTTAAGCGACCACTCAAATTCGCCCGATGAGCCTGCACGTCAGGTCATGAAATCATATACAGCTCAATTTTGAACAGACTGCAAAAGTGGCGTCTGAATGTATACCTACCCATAAAAGACAATGCTTTTGAAATGATATAGGTGAAAGTGATTTAAAACAAAAGCTGTTTAATGCGTACTTTTAAATCCAACAGAACACCCTTCACACAATGGAGTCAGATTTACAGTCATATTTTGCATATTCTCTTCACAATTGAAATTTATTATACCTTGCTATCTTGTTTGTTTTCCCAAATGAAATATGATCCAAAAATGTCCAGCTTACCTTGTTCGATAGCTGCGCCTTTGCCCAGATCCTCCACTGTTTCGTAAACGTTGTCTTGCCGGCAAATCTTCGGTTGCCTATTGAAAAATGAAAGCAAAGCGGTGGCGTTTTTATAAGCAGGACAAGTTGCATTGTTATGTGTGTCAACCAGGAAACCGATTAAGCGATTGATACTGGGTATTCGATACCGGCAATATGGTGAGATGGGGTATCGAGTATTCGGTTATTCGTGCATGTAAGCGTGATACGGTATATATTTTCCTCATGTAAATTAACAGTCTTTCAAATGGACGGTCGATCTTGGAAAAACCTTTTTTTTTGACATGACTTTGAAAGTGTGCGTGTGTGGTGTGCACATGTTTATGGTGTAAATCGAGGACACACAAAAAGTCATGTGAAGCATCATCGAGTAATTGAGGACAGGAACCAAATCGAGGACGACCTCGATTAGAAAACGTGTACAAAACCGATGAGAACTGTTGCAAAAAAAGTATAAACAAAAGACCGATGATGAGGAATAGTAGAAAATCCTCGATTTACACCATAAACAAAATGTGCGTGTTGGTGCGTGTTAGTGGGTTTTTTTGGGGGGGGGGGGTTCTCGATATTCGATACTTCGATTGTCGAATATCCGATTGATGTACGATTGAAACTCGTTATCGCACTGCCCTTATAACCCTCGTACACTGTACTAAAATAACATTTCCTGAACAATTTATTTCCTTGTGTAAGTGTTCGGCTGATTAGTGTCACATTTCACAATCGTTGCCAGAGTTATATAAAACAAAATTCCCCAGGATTTTCCTTCAATGTTTTGGTCAAGGAAATTTGGCCTATTTCTACAAATGTTGTGCGGTTTATCATGTGGCCAAACTGCAAGTCATTGTAAATACCACATTACCTCAAAAAGGGATCTCTGAAGACCCAATTTTGATAATCTATAAAGTCCAATAATTCAATTTCTTAACAATAGGGGGCCTATACTTTTTATCTCAGAACTTCTCCTATCACGTGTCCGAGTGGGAAATCTTCAAAGTTTTGACAATCGAGATGAAGGAAAAAAAATTCACGTAAAAGTCTGCATGTATTGTGTAGAACGTATTCATGTATTTAAAGGATGAAACAAAGGTTCAATAAACAAACACAAATACCGGTAAAATAAATTATCAATTATTATGCAGTTGCGCACGAGTCCAATTAGCACGAGGAACACGGTGGGTCCTCAAATTCGGTCGTAGTTTCAATAAACACAAAACTCATCTACCTCCCCCCCCCCTCCCCAAAATGTAAGCTTTGAAGTATGCCATGATCTATCATGTTTGTCAAATTTTGATGCGAAACGGAAAGTGATGAGATTGTGAAGCAAAAATGAATCATGACCTCGTCAGAAGAATTCAATACATCTGAAAGAAATTATGACCTATAATCAACACGTTCGGGCACTATACAGAATAGAAGAGCGTCGCCCGATAATGAATTAAAGAGTATCATCCTGAAAAACAGATTTCCTTTCTAAATTGCTATTTTTCTAGCAATGCAGAAGTTATTCACTTTGAATGAGACATCGACCCCCCCCCAAAAAAAAAAATTCAGCCAGTGTTTAGTTATTGAATTATTATCAATTTTGTTTTATTGGCTGCCGGACAATAATTCCGTTCTCTGAAGTAGGCTGGTCCCCCTCCCCCACAACAGGTATCGACAATGTATGGACTGGAAGCCAGATCTGTTTTGGTCCCCCCCCCCCCCCCCCCCCCCCCCCCAACTAAGGGGGAAAACAGAGGATTTCTTTTGGCATAAAACATACACAAGTTGAAAAATGTTTCAACAGAAAGGGAAAAAAATCGAATTTGTTGAAGAGCACGGGAAACGCAACTTTAATATTAAAAAAGTACCGAAATTGAAAGTTGGGTGACATCACCTATATATTTCAAATTTGAATGATATAAATGACGTCTGACTTGTACAGAAAAAAAATGAGTTGATTAAATAAACATGCATGAACAGTCTGCCATTTTATATAGACGTGTTGACTTTGTTGCGTTTCCTGTATATGGGATTCAAAACCGATGCTACAGAAGATCATAACACCTGTAATTGTTGATGTGACATGTGTTTCTCGAATCAAGCCATATTGACCGGCGCCACAGTTTGTATTTAACGGGAAGTATTTGTTTAAAAAAATTTATAACAAATAAAACAGGGGTTGTATTGAGGGTAGCATTTGTTTAACTGTCATTGCTTCCTCAACCTTTTTAAAGGCTTTGATGAACAATGAATCAACATGTGCAGAAAAGAAATGCATAGAACAAGATTTCAAATTCAGGTTCAGAATATGTTCTCAATTTGCTACATTATATGAATATGTTGTCTTTATTGAACGATTAAATACCAACATTTTTTAGTGTTCTAAATATTCAGGCAAAAGTATTTGATGACGCACGCTACGAAACTGAATAGAAGTCAAGGATAGCCTTTCACTTTCTGTGCATTGTATGCTTGTTTTAACACTCCATATGCCTAGGCCTATTGACAGAAACAAGATTTTTCTTTGTAACCCAGGGAACAAAGAAACAATGCAAAAATTGTGGCGCGGATCAATTAACACTGTGTATCTGTAATGAACCAATATGGCACAATATGCCGCATTATGTGGTTTGATAAAACAGAAACAGTGAACATCTTCGTATCTGACGTATTCATTTTTCATAACCTTTTCTGTTGACGTACTTTTCGAAACGTCAGTTAACTGGTTCTTCTCAGAACTACACAACTCACAAAGAGATATCATTCACACGGTGTTACCGCAAACCTCCGATTCACTTTTCTAGCATGTTTTTCCCTTATTTCTTTAAACCATTTCCTTTTTCTGTAAACCTTTGTAAACCAGTTATTTAAAAAAAAAAATAATGTGGGACTTACCGTGTCAATGCCAATCGGGACGATGACACTTGTCGCTTTAGTATGAGTAACAGCAATACGACGACGACCAGGAGCAACACCGCGATGGTACCCACCACACCCCAAAACGGCGCCGTCGGATAGAACCCATTTCCCGCTGGCTTGGCTGCGTCATCGTCGCTCCGCTGCGGCGACCCATCCGCTACCGGGCCGGTCTCGCCCGTCGCCGCCGGCCGGTCGTCGCTTTTCCCGGCCGCGTGTCGTGTCGTTGACCCGTCGGTTGATGTGGGGATGACCGTTGTTTTCTGCTTGGTGTGAAGTGAAGACAGGGCGGTGGTTGAAGTGGGTGGGGGAAGCGTACCAGTTGTGGCGTTAGTCTCTAGTGGCGTAGGTTGGGTCGTACGTGGTGTGGTGACAGTAGCTGTGCTTATATCTAGGCCTTTTGGTGACAAAACAATACAAATATATGATTCAGTTTGGTGACTTATATGTACGTCTAGACGCATTTTATAAAGCTATAACGGCATTTTTTAAGAGACTTAAATTCTAAAAATATTCTGGTTAGATTTGACTAAAAGCAGTTAAACTTGCACTCAGCTGACTCGTTTGTGAACATTGTTTTTCTAATCTCACTCGTTTTATACGAGGGCCCAATTAGGGCTCTGGAAACTCATTGCTTTACTGACTTTTCCTGCAGGTTTAATTAAAAAAAATAATTAAAAAAAAGGAAGGAAGACGATGTCAAGAAACAACAAGCAAGCAGAGAAAAGGTGTCTGATTGTCCTGAGTTGTGTTAATTTGGAAGGAAAAGATCATTTATAGTTGGTAATTAAGGTGCAATCATATAACATATTCAGTTTTAGGGACAGTGGAACAATTGAAAGCATTCTTTGTTCAATAAGCTATACTCGCTCTATTATAACACCACCTTTTGATTCGACCAGTCTTGCCAACGACCACAATCACGTGACCCATCCCCAGATCTTTTCTTTACCCCTGTCCCCGGACGTCCCGTACAATTATACACCCCCCCCCCCCCTCCCCACCGTCTGGCTCTACAGCTGTTGAGGTTGTTCTGCCTCATCAGCTTCCCCGGCATGTTTGGGGAAAGCCCTGGCTTTTCAGGATCTGACCTTTACTTAAAAAAAGTAATGAATCATTGAACTGCGCCCCAAGCCATGTAGGCCTACGCTACTTGTGAATATGTGGTGTCATCTTAAAAAGAGGTCCTTATCTTATACAAACAAGTATCAAATGTGATTTGAAGCTTTGCATGGTGGACAGGCACAATAAAGTATATGTATGCGGGTACACCATGAAATACATGTATCTTTCCCTTGAAAAACTTGTAGTTCTGAAGAAAATAAACGGAGGTGTGAATTATTCTCAGAGAACAATTCTGACTTTCACAGACGAGAATGCACGGTGCAACCGCAACCTTATGTCATATACAAACTAAAAGGTTTTTCTTTCTCTCAAATCGATCTTCTGCACTTCAAAAAATATCACCATCACTATATTCTTTTAGGCATCTGATGTATTCATTTATCTGTTCACTCGTACAATAATTATTATTTACATATAGTCTGAGGATCCGATAGTTACGTGTGCAGAGCCACTGTCCAACTCTGATATACCTAACATGGACATTTTATGCGACCCCGAAACTGTGACGTCATTTCGATCAGAAATGTGGACTAAGCTGTTGATTGGTCAGTTTTTCTTTAGGACGCCATGTCAATACAACAACGGGTTACCAAATGCACCCGCTGAATGGTCAGAATCTCCAGGCCAAGACGCAGTCTTGTTTTGCATAATTTACCGCCGAATCTGGTCGCATAAAATTATCACAGACCCAAGGGGATATTCCATAGACTACAATTTGCATGGATCCGTGTACACTTTCTTGGAAAATCAAGTGTTGTTAAATTTCAGTCGATAATTATTAAAACAGATACTTCGAAAGCAAGCATAGAGTTGTACGGTTTTCTATATACTGTAGTTGTTATTAAACGTTCAGCGGACGCCCATGGCTTCCGTATAGGATAAGCGGTCAACCTAGTTCAGGGACGTGCTTAACACACAAGTTCGCTATACACCTTTATACAAAGCAAAACCAGGCAACCAGCGAAAAATCTGTTCTCGAAGCCTTGTTGTCAGTAAATTTCATAGAACATATATAGACTTACTTCAGTTTCATGAAAATTGGCTCGGTTGGGCGAGGACAAAAACTAACAAAGTGGCCAAAAAATGCTGTCCATTTTTTTTTGCGACGATGCTATACCAACTACCGCCTTTCCCCACTATAATCATTCACGAAAAACTTAGCTGATATAAGGTGTTACTTGTAATTAGTTTTCGTTTTGAAAGCAACGGGTCAAATCGATATATAAATGAATATTTATCCAAGACCATTGCAGAATCTCACCATGGAAGACATAAGTTTCCATTTTAGTTGGCACTAAGAAATATTGTAAACATCAGTCATCATGCACAAACAAAAGGTGCTACATGGACATGTTTAGCAAAAAAATACCAATTAATCACATAATAGATATACATTGCTATTCTTAATAGGCCTAGTCCTTAAGCGGAATAGAAACTACAAGTCATGCAAATTATTAGCAGGAGCGATCATTGGATGATGTAGGCCAACTCTTAACCATAATTACTTGCAAATTTTGATTTAATTGGGGCTCTGATATCAAACTTTTTGTTGTAATATGCAGGGTCCGACACAGATACTTTCCGCTTAACATGATTCGTTCTGGCCTCGTTCTCACGATCGATTTCTCACGCACCAAGCCAGCCACTTCCTCTATTCGTTTTTGTTGGACACATTGTTGTTTTGTTTCTAGAGTTCGCACTTTCCGTTTCGTCAACTCACCGAGAGTTTAATGAACCTCTAAAAATGCGTTCACATAAGGGACATCGATCTTTCAAAACTTAGTCAAGGTCTATGGGAGTTTCCAGGCGGTGTGCATTACTTTGTAACATTTTAATGTTTATTATTTTGGCGACGATATATGTTTTAAATTTTTTTGTACCTCCATGGAAATAGTTTTCGATGAAAAAAAGAAGCCATAGGCTAATGGAAGCCAGTGTTTCTGATAATGTAATTCTCTTTGCTTGGTAATAAAATATATGACTTATATTTTATTTTTCACTGGCACCGGACACAAATGAAGGGCCATTCGGAACCGTGGAAAACAGGTACTCAGCAAAAAGTTATGTTTAGCAATTTCCGAACACTTTCTTGCTATCACTTTGTAAATATGTTCAAATACTAAATAGTAACATGTTTTGAGTATTGATGGATTGGATGGTGTTTAGCAATAGACCGAAGACATGATGACGTCACGCTTTGTTCACATGTGCGCTTTCCTATGGGAGCCAGGTGGAGACGATTGGCTCTCCATATGGCTCTCATAGGAAAGCGCACATGTAAACAAAGCGTGACGTCATCATGTCTTCGGTCTATTGAACATTGATCTTTAGGAATTGGACGCGTAATGTTTAGCGTCTACAAAAATGATAGCAAGACTGTGTTTAATTGCTAAACACAATTTTTTGGAGTGTATAATTCACACTTCACCCCACACACCTTCACAGTGCATCAGCAGCAACGGTCACGACTGTTTCATGCACTGATATCTCATGTCAAATACGTGTATAACACATAAGTGAAACATGATTATTGGGGCGCTATATATTCAGCCCAATCAATAGCGCAGGAAATATCCGTCTGTTTGTATCGTTTTCTAATCGGAAGCTTCATTGAACCGCGAGGGGGCGCTATATCCGGGAGTTAAGAGGTTGCTCGTTTTCTCGGAGTTGAGGGACCTTTATAAGGAGATTTTGCAGTTTGAGCTTCTGGAATTTTTCTAGCGATGACCAACGCTGCATGGGAAATCGCCAAACAGTCACGACATTCCCCCTAGGAATTAAACAGAAAGTGATGGATGGAGCAGCCAGCCATGGTAACTTTTTATCGTAAAGTTGCAAACCCCGTTTTCGACAAGAAATGGATTAGGCCTATTTTTCCCCTAACGAAATTTTGAATTTACATGTTTTGTTTTAACGGAAAAACTACTTTATTCCGAATTTGGGCAGTTTTTACAATTGCTGCCTTTTTGTCTTGTAGCCAATAATTCGGGGGGGGGGGGGGGGAGGGGGTTTGAAGAAATAATTCAATAACCAAAATAGCACGGAAAATCCATGCTATAGCATCATTAAACATCTCAGAGATCTGGGTCTATCATTTGATGTTTTCTTTTACTTAATTTCCGTTATTTTGGGTTTGTAGGTCACTTTATCTACCAGTCTGCAACACTATAAGACCTTCAACTATTTATCACCCAGTGTACCTGTTGCTGCTCCAATCAGATTGTTGGTGCAATCGCCTGTCCGACATTCGCAATCTCCCGTCCACTGGTGACACACCAGACCGGCCGGGCATCTGCATTCGTCCCAGCACCGCGGACCGCACAGTCCCTCCGGACACCGGCCCACACACGAGTACCTGGGGAAAATAGTGAAAGTTTAAGAAATTTCACTTCCATCATTTTCATTGGGGTATTTCAGGGACGAAATTCAAAGAGATTTCACTTATGTCAAGTCACGATGATTCAAATTCCTGTGGTAGATAACATCGTTGCAGTATTTCAAAAAGAGTGACAAGTCGTTGGATTGGGTCGGAAACAGTCTCATGAAGAAACCAAACGAACGGCACGCTTCGGGGGATGAACTCTCACTACTATAAATAACTGGAGACTGGAGTTGTCATGATGACTTTCTCTTATTTCGTCGCTTTATGACAATGTTGCCACTTCCAATTGCGGCATAATGGGACAACATGACTGTGGAGTGCCGTGGTCCATTGGTCCTGGTTCAAACCCAGCCTGGTAACGTGATGCTTGTGTTCTTGAGCAAGATATTTTACTACAATTTCCTCTCTCCACCAAGGGGTACATTATAAATGGGTATATGTGAGAGTAGAAACCAGATTGTGCTGATCTCGAGCTGCTGCAGAAAAAAAAAGTGGTTTCGTCGCCTGATGAATAGGGCCAGGGGTAATACTTAAGAGTAAAGCAATATAATAATCGCCATAATATTACTTTTTTTTACTTCCCATATTACTCCACTCCTTAAAATTGTAGGGTCAATAGGCCTACACGTGCGGAGAGTTGCGCCCCTGATTTCCACAGGCTCCACCCCTCCCCTATACTTCAAACAATTCCACTTCATCAGTAATGCCATTGATCTGTTCTTACTTGTTTCCAGTCGTACATTCACACAGCCCGGTCGACCGGCTGCAAGTCGAGTTGTCTCCGCACTCACACTGAATCGAGCAGTCATCTCCGTAGTATCCCGACGGGCAAGGAACGTCGCAAAGACGGCCCGTCCAAGCGGCCGGGCACCGGCACGGCTTACCGTGAGATCGGCAGGTTCCGCCGTTCAAACAGCCGCAGCTCGACGGTGAGCCATCTATTCGCAGTGGACGAAATCGAAGAAAAAAAATTGTGCATTTGATCTTTGTTTTCCAAGAGATGAGAATCCATCTCATTCGGCATTTCTTTTTCCTTTTGCTTTTAAAGAAAATAAAGTCATGTTCTTCACTCTGATTTCCGTCCGATTTTGGACACAACAGCTAAGATATTTGATTGAGGATTTTTCTCTTTATGTCCTTCTTTTTCACAAATTTTTGCACCTTTTGCAGTTGGACTCCATCAGCCGCTTTGTTCCACACCAATGCCGAATTTTTCACTGCACTCACTGACTTTGCAATATTTCATTATTTTTTTACAGATTCTTGTTTGGATTTTCTTCGGAGAAGAATCAGAAATCGGAGAGATTATATTCTTAGGATTGATTAAAATCAATCCTAAGTCAGTAGTAATATCAATGCTGTTGAATGGACACGCTTCTCCCAATCCCTTTTTTTCGAGCATTAAACTCCTACACAGGTATTAACCCATCCACACCCTCCCACCAGGATCCGCCCACAAGTTGGAATCGGACATACCTGTCACGATACATGCCCCGGTCACTTGATCACACTCGCCCGTCTTCTTACATCGGCACTTTTGACGACATGTTGGACCATAACGATTTCTAGAGCAACGCGCTGTACAACTGCCACCGTCAAAAAAATATATATAGCAAAAAGTTATTCCTGTACGAAAACAGAACATCAGCGATTCGTTCAGTTATTTTTGCCTTCCGTGCGTATTGACTATTGATTGATATTGTTTTAAAACAGTTGATATAAATAAAACAGAAGATATCGATAAAGATAGGATAGATGCATGATATAAATAAATGAACCAATACATTACTATTTAAAGAAATAATTAAGAAAATGCGGGGGAAAGGTATCAGAAAACTATCGTAACTGATATTGTAACGAAGAATAAACAAATATTTCAATGACGGGCTGAACAAAACACACTCAGTGACTGAGCACCGCCCTCAAAGATGGCTGCCGTGCATAATGTCTATACTGGACGACAAATCACGTGACCACATTGGAACTCACTTTTCAGGATGGACGCATTCGCAGACGCCGGTTATCGGTTCGCACGTAGCGTCCGGACCACAGCGGCAGCTCCGCTTACAGCCCGGACCGTATGTGTGATTATCACTGTCCCGACATGACCTTTGACACTGGGGGCCGACCCATCCCGGTTTGCAGGCGCAGGTTCGGTTGTTCGGCGAGCATTCGGCCCCGTTTCGGCACGGACAAGCTGACGAAAAACGAGGAGTGAAAAATCACCCAAAAGAATTGGTCATTCAATTTCTGCAAATTTTTACCAGTAATTCGAATTATAACAGTTAGACTGGGGACAAAGTCCTCCTCGAGAATAGAAAAACATTTATTATGTATGCGTAATTTGAAACCACCTAAATTCTACGAAAAGAAAATCAATCAAGCGACCGAAGGACTGAGCAATAGGGTTGAAGAAACACAAATAAGACAGAAGAGAATTTGCCCTCATAAAAAGTTTTCAAAGAATCGGATGTTGTTGCTTCAAAAATGCATATTGTAAACTTTCATGAACATTACAATTTTAGCCAAAATACAAACTGAGGACACAAAGTACCAAGGTTGAGTTAACACGACAACTTCTTTAGATCAGACGCAGCTGTATTTACAACGACGTCACGATGACGCTGGCAATTCAAGTTCCCTATTTCCCCTCAAAAGCATAATGTAACATGTTTATTGCATTAAACCACGGGGTGTGGATTGTAATGCAGTTCGTTGATCGGGAAGTGACGGGTGCTTGCCGTGGCGAATTTCCACCGAGTCTTTTTCATGCTTCCACGAAGTTTTGAATTAAGAAACCTCACTGAAATTGTTTCATCCATACAAAGATCTCACACAATTTAAAATGCATCGGGGATCGGGATGGTGCTGACATCTTTGACTCATTCGGTTGAATCACCCGATTTGGGAATTCCTATTTTTCTATTTTAGCATCCATCATTCAATGCGGATATGCTTGGTTTGACCTCGCAGTAAACCACCCAGAGGACGGAACGGAACTTTATTTCTTGGGTTCAGCTCACTCAACAATGTCTTACTCTACAATCACAAAGGAGACGTGTTCAGCTCAGTTGGTTTAGATGTTTAGCCGGGGCCGGAGAAACTTTAATCGCTAGCTCATTGCACACTGGTCCACCCGCCATTGAATGAAACTACGCCATTTTTGGGTGTATACAAACACTATACAAAAATCCCAATCCTGTTTATTGAAGCAGTTAAGTACTTAATTTAAAATTAAGCCTACGTTTTAACTGTTGCAAAATGTGTTTATTCCTCACTAAATACCTTGGATTCACGTATGTTTATATCCCAAATGGCGTCATTTAAAGCGCCCTCTTACGCTCGACAATCAGGCCTATTTCATTTCACGTCTGTACTCTCTAAACTCCAAAGAGTGAAATTAGGGACTAGACGTTTTAGAGTGAAAATCACTCTCATTTTCGATTTAAATAGCCTGAAAAAGAACCACTTCGGACGAAGCTCGAGTGAAAACTCGATCTTTACGATTGAAGACATTTCACTCTTAAACGTCTAGTCCCTAGTTTTCGATTGTGGGAGTGAATCTTCACTCGACTGGAGTGAATTTTCACTCTTCTGAATTTAGAGAGTAGGACGTTATTATGGATATGCAGCAGAAGAGAACTTTTTTCGCTAGCTATTCACCCAGTACACATGAAAGGGAAATAACGCTTAATTTTAGATCTGGATGCATCATGATAAGGGGAGAACATTATCCATTAGCTCACCAATATGTCCGAATGTTAACTCACCTATGGGACATGTTTGGTTGGGATATAGCGCCTTGCAACAGGAAGTGAATGTGTCCCAGTCTTGCTTTAGATAGACCTCTGCATCACTGAAAAAAAAAACAGAAATAGGAACATTAAAATTTGAGTCTTGTTAATTTTACAGCTTTCTCCATACTCGTGCTGTTACCTGCATCCGTTTTTTTTACCACGATCCAACAATAATGATTGTTTCCGACACAAAATTCACCATTCTCGGCTCATTTAGCACCCAAATCTTATTACATGCTGTACGATTTTCTTTGAACCGATCGTGAAATCCATGGCCGCATAATAGAAAAAACAATTTAATATTCATTTCGCATCAGCATTTGATTATTTAGATGAGCTTATTTTCCCAGATTTGTATTTAATGTTTCTGAACTGGAGATTTTTCAGGTGCAATTCACTCGAGAAAAAAAATCGTCCGAGTCCAGTTTTTAAAACTTTTGATTGGAAGTTTAAGTTGAAACCCTTCCGATTTAGCATCCAGCTATCATTCTTCAAAGAAACTTAACAAAAAAATCCTGAAAAATTATATACAAACAAATCACAATAATCCGGCTTATCAATTATGTGTAGCACCTTTATAAGGGTCTAGGTGCTGCAGCGCATATTGTAACCATTGCCAGAAACACCAGGACAAACCCCTTCTCTTAGCGATCAGTGTTAATGGGTTCTTTAACGTGCATTACATGCACAGCATACGGGACCTACGGCTTGACGTCCCATCTGAAGGACGAAGCAATAATGGTAAAATGCCTTGCTCAAGAGCTCAAGCACCATATTCCCCGTCAGTATTCATTAACCCATGTACTAAGGCACACGAGTGGAACACCGTATTCCAACCATTGACCCACAGCACCCCACCACAGCACCCAACTTACCCCTCCCCCACACATACTCTAACTGACCCACATGCTGTCCCTTCACCTCGATCACGTTGAGTTCGCTTGTGATCCCCTTCCCCCAAAGCGCAGGAGGAAACCACAAAGACCGTCATCTTCCGGCAACCCTACATGTTGGAAGGCAACTTAAAGGTCGCGCGGGGGTTGGTAAAGTTCAACATGTTTAGGGTGAAGTTTAAACTCAAGTTTCGTTTTTAGACGTAAAAGGTTTATCCTTGGATGCAATTTGGCCATCTATCCACAAAAAGAAAAGGCAAAACCATTTGCCACACCATTTCAGTTGAATGCGGTTTTTTTTGGCAAACATATTTCATGTTGAGACGGGGTATTTGTTAATACATGTACAATTTTAAGATTACACCTAAAACCTTACACCAAAAACCTAGGAGAGTATGAAGCCCAACAGTTTGTTATGTAAAAATTGATTCTTGGTAATGACCAACGCAAGTCAGGCCCTACGTTCCTAATAAGCAGGTCTAGGCAGCCACATTTTGGACAGCAATTCATTTAAGTAGTAAAAACTTAAAGATTGTTCTGTTCTGCTGAGCAAAAACAAATATAATTTATGTCATGTCGTCATTGAAGGTGGCATTCTCTCTCAAGAAATGAGCCCTTCCCCCTCTTCCTGCAAATCATGAGACCCCAGTTACGCCAATTGAAATAAATATTCAACATATTGAACATGTCAACCAATACCGGTATCAATTGCCCCGCTTAGTTGATTTATTCCGAACCAAAACAATATTGAAGTTAACTTCAATAATTGGGTTTTGCTCTTTTTAAATAGATTTTAGTTTAGGTTTAAAAATACCATCATTATACAGCCATATGCTATTAAGACCACGTGAGGATCATTCAGCTCTGCGAACAAAGCGCCCATCCCACATAAAAAAAATATTATTGGTTATGAAAGCCATCATGAAACAGTCGTCTACTACACCAAGACCACGTGATGTACATTACACTCTTCGAACAAAGCGTCCCTCACACTATCTAATTGTCTACAGCGGATGCAGGTTGTTTAGCAACGTTCTCATTTACTAAACGAGGATTTCCCTTTCAGGTACATTTCGGTTTACCATTTCAACTTGTGAATGACAGATAAATAAACACAATATTCTGTAGGCCCCATGTCTTTGTTTTGACAAAATAACAGACTGTAAATGTGCGTCTCTTCCGTGAGTCTGGCTGTGTTTTCAATAAAAGCAATTAAGTGACTCCCTTTGTTTTGATAGATGGGAACATTATTTTTCTTTTTTCTTCGCGAAGTATTTTTCCCTATGCAGGCCTGACTGTTTCGGTGGCTACTGTTATTAGAATGTGTGTAAACATTGTGATCATGCAGAATGCATCAAGAAAGTGTGAATTTGGATGATTTTTAGACGCGCAACCCAGTGTTACACAATTTTACATGTCATGCCCGATTTTCACAGAAAATAGCAAAATTCATAAATCAGTAACTTTTTTCCTTATCATTGGATTGCTTGAAGTCTGGATATCATGTCTATTCGTTGTTACCGATAGACAGCTTTATCTCTCGCCCCCTTCACAATTTAAAAGCTATTAATTTGTTTTCCCTTGCGAATGACCAGATTTATGATTCAGACGATGTCATTTTGCTGATAAGGCGTTCGTTCTTACCCGTTACTATAGGGGATTTGGCTAAATATAAACCATCCCAACTCCCAATCCCCACCCTCTCTTGAGACCTGACAGATGTACTATATCTGCTATTTAACTCTCTTTTTTTTAACCGAACACATTTTTAATTTTATACTTTATTTTTTATTTTACGAAAAATGCTTTTTTTTTTACTTCTTTGGGTGTCAACCGTCTCAAAAAGCTTTTAAGTGGGGTTGCTTTTGCGACTCTTATGGTATACACAAAAGATACAACTGAATTAATTCGTTTGCAAATAATTTTAAATTTGTAAAAGTAAAATTATTTGCAAATTGTTCGATGTCTCTTATAAAGGTGAATAGGCCTAACTTTTGTATTGCTAGAAAAATACACAGCAACATGAACCAAATCTGGTCGGCCTATTACCGTTAATAATGGAACGTTATTCTCTACGCATTTTTGTATTTGAGATAATAATACACGACGTCTTTCTCGGGTGATCCTGTACGTTATTTCAAATGGAGTTGTCGAAAAACACATCCGTCGAGAAAATAATAGGGCGGATTCTCACGATCAATCTTAATTATTTAATAGAAAACGGAAATATTTTGAAACTTATCTTAAATTTTGTTATCTGAAGTGGGAAGTACCATGACCGACTTATCAAGACAAAACTCTTTCTCATATTGTTCTCCGATGAAAGCAACGACTTCAGAAGTTATCTCGTAATTGTTATCTTAATTGAAAAGAAGGAAATCCATCGCGATATCTGGATTTGGAATGAAATATTACGATGGCACTGCCAAAAACACTGGAATAGTGTACAGTGCCTTTACATGATTACCCCTGACCATTGGGCTAATTTCTTCATGGTGTGACCAGTGTGATGTGTCATTGGACTTATATGAAATGCACACTCGTTGATTATTGTGTTTGAATAGCAAAAGTCAGGCCCTTCCCTGCCTGACGAGCAGTTCTCGGCGCAGGCGCGAATCAAGGGGGGGGGGGGGGGGGGTGTTTGGGGGTCAACCCCCCCCCCCCCCCAGCTCTGTCAAAAAAAATCTTAGACATTCATTTAAAAAAAATAATGTGTCACGTGAGTGGGTTTGAGTCCATATAAGGTAAAAGAGACCAGATTTTATGGGAGTTCAAGTTTCATTATGACACCGCTTCGATGTGGACTTCCTGGGAAGCCTATATACATCAAAACAGGCTAAATGACAAACAAATTTTGCTAACTCACGAACAGAAGACAAGGAAGGAAATATCATTGCCTTCTAAGCCTTGAGAGGAAAACCCGGAGTTTCACCCGCTGGGTTGGAAAACAAAGTGATCAAATGACTGACAGACCAATCTTCTTTTGTTTCATGCAGTTCGATTATCATTCCGTGACAATTTGGAAAACTGAGTGATGTGGGCGTTACCATCTGAACCGATATCATCGTCTAGCTAGCGAGTGTTTAGCCATCTCATTGCCTATCAGTAACCCCCCCCCCACACGCCCCCCCCCCCCTCCCCGTCTGGGGACTAAGGAAATGAGAGGTTCTGGATGGAGCGCTGCCTCCTGACTGATAGTGTAAGTACAACGGGCAGAAGAGCGAATAGGTCGCATAATTAAGACAGAACCTTTGTTTTCATACAGTGGATCCTATAGGGGGCAATGTAAACAATTCTGTATTGTTTTCATTCATTTTCCCGTATTTTTTTTACTTTTTAAGGTATACAAAATGCTGTATTTTGACTCATTGTTAACACGCAGAGTGTAATTTTTTTCACAGTGTCGCGCATGTTTTCCAATGTATTTTATATTTCTTTGCCGATTCGGCTTTTCTTTCTTTTTTTAAAGTGAATTAAACAAATAATTTCATGAAAAATCTTATCATGGCCTGCAACATGTCGATTTTATTGCAGATTTTAATTTACATTTTCCTATTTTATTAACTAATCATGAATCATATCGGTTTCTGTACCAAAATATGGTAATGTGTTCCTACATCGCCTATATATTTGTATTGGTTTTTACGTTATTGTTACACATAAGAAAATTAAACAAAGTCTTCTGAGACAATTATTTTATGTATAAGAACATGCTTCTCATCGTCACAGTAAATATTTTTGTAAGAGGAATGGAAACGATTTTATCCAATTTTAAAGTTACATTTTGAATTCGGGGTTCAAGGCAAATGATGTTTTCGTCTCGAAGTCCTCGCCTGAATGTCATCAACCGGCAACATAAATCAGCGGATGTTCACCTCGAGTTGACTGATAAACATGATTGTTGGAAGTTGGCAATCTCAAAATATCCGGCATAGACGTCAACGTCATGGTGTTTGCTACACAAAACATGACATTACCTTAACGATGTTTCTAATAAATATATTGCGCTTGCAGACACTGTTATGGAGTTTCTATAACAATTACGTTTCCTCTTGTTTTGATTTGTTTAGACGGATCCAATAAAATTCTATTTATAGCTGTTTATGTGTGTAGAATCGTTTGTTTGTTGTTTTGTTTTTAGAATTTTCATTTTGTTTATTTTCATTTCATTTCTTATTTATTTAGGATATCTCTACTTCTATTCTATTTTATTTTATTTATATATTTCCTTAAGGACTAGACAAATATTTCAAAGTTTTAAATTCAATACATTTTTTTATTTCTTGCGCATGATACCAATCAACCTAAGTCAATGCCATTAGTGGGTTTGGGGCTTTTTTGGGCTAAAAACGTATACAAGTGTCAAATAATACACATTTGTATTTAATTTATAATTCCTGTCAACAGATGATATTGATATTGTACCCAAACTGACGATCAAATCAAAGTTGTTAATTACGATATAAAATCGAAATGGGTTGATCTTTTTTTTTGAAAACTAAAGATTTCTTTTCCTTCCAGCAGTTCCGAAACGAAATACTCACTTTAACGATCGTTACCAAGCAGTTTCTGGGTTTAATTGGTGTTATTAGGAACTTCCAACCGGGGAAGAAAATGTTACGTCAGTGGAGAACATTCCTACCTGCAACCAACGGCTGTACTCTGAGACGAAGTAGGACTACTTGGTTCCAGCGATCCCCGCACGCAACACGTCCAAGTAGACGACACGAACAGTAAAAGTATCCAATTGAATCCCGCCATTTCTTGTGACAATCCACCAATCTTCTCAACTTAGCACATTTTCCCATCAATTGCAAAGCGCAAGAGAATCCCAGTCGCTGTCTATATCGGTATTCGTTGACAGTGAGCAAACTTCCTTAGAACTCAAAATTCTGTCGAAGCGTCCGTCTTCATAACTTGAACTGACCGCCAGTGTTGCGAGTGTGTTGAAAAATATTTGAAGTACGTCATGTTCTGGTTCACGTCAGAACCCACAACCACCTTCCGCGATCCGCTGCGGTCACTTCCTCGTACTAAACTGGTACCAACTCAAGGATGTTTGATAAAAGAAAACAACATGAATTGGTTTTAAATGATGGATCACGTCGTGGTTAAATTCCGTGTAAATTCTGAAGTTGTCCACCGCGCGTGCCGGCGAAACAATATCGCACTGAAAAGATCTAACTTTTGCATTCAGGACGACCAACTACTGCTCGGTCAATGTCAACGGCTATTTCATGTCATCGGCTAATCGATGCTTTGAGTCATTGAGCCAAGGGAAGAGGTGCTATTTTCCCTTCAAACGGTTTTTAAATGCGTCTGTGAAGTTTTAAATATAGAGTCTTGCTTTTTCTGGGTCGTCCCAAAGGGAACATAGACTGTGAATCATATGTCATGCTTCGCGTCAAGGTGGGAAAGACACTGAATGTCAACCGCGTGGTGTTAAAAAAAAATGCACGTGTAGCTCCGATCTCTATATGGAAATCGATGGTTAGTTGACATTGGTGTGAATCATAACCGATTGAGCGCATTAAAGGTAAACATCTTCTAGGCAAGTATACAAATTGCCTGTACACTTCATACCAAACATCAGTCAGTGTTAGTAAAAGGTTGCATTTGTAGGGAAGTTGATATGACCTTTATAATATAAGCTACGACATAACTATCTGCAAAAGTCTAGATTTTCCTTATTAAAAGTCTTAGGACGAAATTCCCAAGTTTAGTACAACCCAGCTCTGCATCATTTTGGTCAGCATAAATGTTGGTCTAGGTGAAAATATTGACAATTTTGTTGAGGAGCAGTTTTCGATTTCGAGTCTGGGGATTCCTGATACTTAAATGTTTATTTTTGGAGAATTTTTTTTTTGATTAAAACAAAATGGTTGATAAATGAAACACAAATCCCTCCCCCACCTTCACTCTAATATACCTAAACCCAAGGACGCCGCTAACGACAACTCTCTTTCACACATTAAAGGAAACGCAAAGCATTGCGGGTATTATCTTCCACCATGATTGATGCATTACATGCAGACCCGTCGAGTGTTGACCCCAGGTCACGGGTTGAGCAAGATCTGACCAATGAGATGTCGAATATTTTTTGCAGACACCATAACGCCCTCAGCACAGCGCCCTCACTCGCCCAGAGTCAACCTAATAAGTCAGTAACGGCGCATCAGCTCTGAGAAATCTTCATTTCCGACAATTTGATCCACTCTATCAAATCAGGCTTTAGAACATTTCCGCTGATTGCTAAAAATTCAAGAAAGAGCGTCGTGTGAAGTCCACATGGCTGGGGGCTCACAACTCAAAACCCCTCTCCCGACAGACAATTAATCTTGAACTTGAGTTTTATCTTGAGTTCCTCTGAGCGATTTGCTGCCAAGGCTACTGGTCCAAAGATAGGACGGCCCCTTGTGTGCAACGCGAATTCGAGATTGATGGACCAATATAGGGATTGCTTGCAAGAAGATAGTGGCTTATTAGATTGGAAGTGTATCCGGGGGACTTGTGTTCTTAGTGTTTTGTCAACATGAAGCAGACGACGTCTTCACATTTGTTTCCTGTCGAGATTACAAGGTTAAGAAAAAGTCTCGTCTGCCGCGAGTGTGCAAATTGGTTGGGCCATGGTTGGGCCAACGGTATATGGTGGACCACATTGGGCTATATGGACTTCAAGTTTTATTGCAACGTACAACAAGCTTATTTTGAGAAGTTTTGGAACTTGTTATTCTACCGGCATTTAGCACGATATTACCTTAACTGATTAAATTGTAATTATACCAATTTTTGAAGATTTTTTGGGGGTGAAGATTAAATTTTGAAAAGTTTTAGCAACCTTGTCCCAATTTTTCTCGGGTAACTGACGACTTGATTTTTCAGCCGCAGAACAATGTTCTGATGGGCCAGAGATACTGACACCTGGGTCAAGACGAGCAGTGGTAGGGGGGCACGGGCCTAGCACCTCCCCGCCGAAATGTAGACATGGTTTTTTTTTTCTCCGGACAGTTAGCCTCCGTAAAATCAAAAAGCGGGGGAAGGGGGGGGGGGGCTGGTATTCATCTTCCAAGTGCGAGCACTCTTCAAAACTGACCATTATTATGCATACTATTATGCATGGGGACTGGACGCCATCTTCCCATGGGGGCGCTGTTCAAAACGTATATCATGCGTACATCGCATAGGTTCTTTATGTCTATGGTACATCGACAATTATTACCGCTTTTCGCTTTCCAAGGGACGTTACAAAAAAACGAGTTTTGGTGACAAATACGCACAAAATCACGGGGAAAAGGGACATTATGTTTTTCCAGCTAATTATGGTAACTCATATAGCTGTGCTTTTCTCTGAATGCCAAATTTTCAGTGGGAAGCGACTAGGGGCGAACTTTTTACGGGGGACATGCGCCCCTTTTTAAGGGGAACATGCGCCATGCAGGACATAAAACTTTATGTCCTGCATGGGAGTAATGGGAGTAAATCATTCTTTTTTGACCGGACTAGATTTTTTGTTTCCTTTGAAAATCCTATGGAAGCAGCTTTTATAAGATGCCTACACATTTCCAGATAAAAGCAGAAAAAAATTATGGGTAAATTGTGTGATTCTCGAGTAAAAAAAAAAAATAATATTTTGCCCCTGTAATTTATCTGTCGTCTGTCAAAAATCAATTGTTTTATGTGGAACATTACTAAGAATACTAAGCAGTGGGAAGCCTATTGTATCCATTTGGGGAGGATGCGCAACTCTACGACTTCTCCTAATATGTGCCCTGCAATGGCGCCCTCTCTGTATCAAACTTTTACTGCAAAATACAACTGGCGCGTGGCACACAGCGCCCTCTCGATCTCAGTGACAAATTATCGATCGCACTGGATGTACAGGACAAACCTTTATCATATCATTGTCATATAATCAACGTAATCTGTATATATATAAATCCCTATATGTGTAAACACATTATATGCCTTCTTTAAAATAACCAGTGTTTGGGGGTCCACTGTCATTTTTTTAATGTAATAATTTTAGTTTTGCCGCCCGTTAAAAAGCATCTAGCTTTTTCTTGTTGGATAAGCTGAAACGACTACGACGGACGGACGCTGATGATCACAGACGAGGTTTTCCGCCATCCAGGGACTCAGAAATTAAGTACTCGGCACTATTCGTCAGCTAGACACTTTCCAGGAATCCAGCTGAATGATGTAATGCGAGACATGCAAAAAGGGTAAAATACATCATAACACCTGCCGACGCCCAGTATTGAGCTGTTAACGCTGTCGTTTTTATTTGACAGTTGCAATAAATGACCTAAATGACTGAAGGTCGATATTGATATGAAGGGTGTGGTAGTGGTGGAGTGGATCTAGAGCAAGCAATGTCATGAGCAATATTTAGATTCTTTGACGATGAAATAACTGCTATTAAAGTGCTAGATTATTGACCGCCTATTCGTAAAATTTGTCGAATTCATCATATGCCATGGGCGTGGGCCTTATAAAGGGCAACACAAATAGTGGTATGAATTAGACAGAAATATAAATTACATGCATGTGTACATATATACTTATATTCCCTTTTGCAATTCATGATGAAGCCGCTAGTGGACACCTAATCACGCCCCAACTCACGGCATTCATGATATGTAAAGAGAAAAGCTTTGTGATGTGAGAAACAACGAGCAAGCTGAGCAATAGATTAATCTATCAATGTCAAGCAAGCAGGCGGACGAAGAAGCAGACAAAAGCCTGCCCGATGAATAATAAGGCTAAAAACTGGCCTACCTCTCAAAAATTAAATTGATCGTCTTTTGAAATTATTTTGTTGTACGAGTATCTTGATTTAGGCCCGGAGAGGCATTGGGGGATCCGGTTTTTTTTCAGAAATAAATTTCTCTGGTCCTCGAAATTTTAATACATTAATTAAACATTCATATTGGCAAATATCTTTTTGGTTTTTTGTTTTATTCCTTTGTAAGAAATCGGGTAAGAGTTAGTTATCGCGGTATTGTTTCCTTTTAATATCCATTCCCAATATTATTTGTGCCTATCCACTCGAAAAACCGCGACCTTAAAACAAGAGGAAGAAAAATATAGAATTTCGGTTTAGTGGTCGGAAACATTTTGTTTTTGACATCATTGGTGACGCTCAGGAAGTTTTAGGGAAGCATTTGCGTACGTGCTTTCTGGCATGGTGGCAGTAATGGGCCTCCAAACTTTTTGCCCTAATAATTTTAGAGCGTTAAACATGTATGTATTTTGGAAATATCGTTGGTAATCGGCCACATTCCCGTGGTATCACTTTCCGACAATTTACACAGCGTGAATTTGTGCGGGTGCCAGGGGTTTCACTGGAAGAGCTCGCTTTGTGTAATGATAGTCTTTGCTCAAAACGTTCACTTCAATATCATTATCCGGATGCACGCACGTACGTACGCCGGATGTTACGACTAGCGTCTTGAGTCAAGACTATGAAGATGATTCATTTTCTAGATCATTGCGTTTGGATGATCATTGGTGCGTAAAGAAAACAAGACCGCGAAGATCCTGCATCGCGAATCGCACGAGTGATTTATTTCAGAGGTGACGTTGGTCTTGCCCGAGAAGAGAATATCATTCACTGATTCAGAGTTTCTCAGTGTTAAGTCTTTAGTGTTTTTAGAGCATAACCTGTTCGATTTAATGTTGTCAGCAAAGAGGGAGTACACCTTCATAACCTTGGAATTCAACTCCTGTACCGTATTGAACATGGTGTAGGCTTCTGGTGTAGCACCCGTTGATACACACGACAGCGTGCGCCATGGGGAATGCCTACCGTGTGATGCTGCTGGTGTACGGCGTGGGTCTCATGGCGGTGACCGCTAGTAAGGGTGGTGCTGGCCCTCCGAGACCCGTGGCACCGCTCAACGACCAGCACGATTATATCTGCTCATTGTGAGTTTCAGAGGAAAGAATGTAGTATCCAGACGCCACTTATAATGGTTGTTTACAAAGTCTATGTAGAGTCAAGAACATTAAAAAGTACTATTCCTATCAAAATTGGGGTAATCCTTACTTTTAGGACACCTCTATTTTTTACGAGTTCTGTTCAAAACTGACTTTTGCAGATGTCTGTCCAGTACCAAAGTGACTTTTGCAGGCTAAAGCAGTCTTTAGAAGTCAAGAAGGTGTCATTGCAAATTGTTCAGATGTGCCACGAAGTATCAGAATGTCAATTTTGAGTGTCATTTGGTCAACTGTTTTGGTGAGTCTTTCCCTTCCTATATAGGAACGGGGTCCTAAAAGTAAGGATTACCAAAATGGGAAATGTTTCTCAGTCCCAGACATGCCAGATTCATGTTTCTTTTCAACATTTTTGCAATGACTGACCTTCATTCAGATGATAGGGAGTGATAGGGGTTTCACATGCACAGATGTGTGTAACCTCTGCTCTGTGCGTGTAAAATTGTCTGTTTATCAGCCCATTTTCAAGGAAAATTTCAGTTGTACATGTTACTTTTATTTTCTAAATCGACCCCTGAAACATGAAGGTCTAGGGGCCTACATGTATATGAAGAAAATTGACGTCAACATTATTTTGCGTATAAGAAAGGACTTCCCAACCCAGTTCTTCATGTGAAATGAATTTATATATTTGGAAATTGATTTTTTGCTTATTCATCTGTTTGATTTTAATTTTATTGGTGCTGTTGTGAACTGGAACTGTTTTTCATGTTGTTTTAAATAGTCAAGCATCTTGTTGCAATGAACATTGTTATGCTACATATAAAGATCATGTTCCCGATTTCTTAACCATGTCAACTAGTGGCATAACATTTTTTCTAATTTGAATGTCGACAGAGTTAATTAAAATGTTTGTAATTCAAGCTGCACAAACAGTTGAAATCTGACGTCAAATACTACAGGAAGTCACTAAGTGGAAAAGAAAACATGTTAGGGTGCTATTTGATGGTAGTAACAAGTGGGTTATTATCAGTAGTAATAAATATCATACACAATTTGGATTATTTGTTATTTTGTTTTAATGGGTATTACAGGATATAATTATTACAATGTTAGCACTTGCCATGACTTTAAATGGTAAATTGGAAAGTCTGAAGACTTCCAAAAATGTTTTGATTTAGTTTTTCTCTTAAAATTACGTACGTGTTGTTCAAGTGAATCTTTGATTTTAAAAGCAACTTCACGACAAGTCTTTGACACAAAATTGAAGATATTGACCCGATGCTGTCAGATTCTGAAACATTTATATAGAAAATGAATTTCTGAACTTAATAGTATCCTTCTATAGTAAACTGATATTTGCCGCAAGAATGAAAAAAAAAAATGGACGAACTTAATATTAAAAAAAATCATCACTTCATAAATAACTTGTTATTTGATACAGTTTACATATATTGTGTTAAAATAATAAAATATGCAGAAACACCAGATATAAAATTAAAACAAAACACACCTTAAAATTAAAGAGGATCATATGAAAAACAAATATCTAATTTTTAAATCTGAATTTGCAACCCCTAGAATGTCAACAGAAGACTGTATTGTGTTGAGTGACTTAATCACATCTACACATCTCTTTCCAGTATTTCAACTCAATTTCTTGCGTGCACATGCCTTATCACTCAAGACAAATTCCAACGCCAAGTCGACTCCTGAAGCAAATTGATGAAATTTACAAGATGCTTTTGCATGCCCTAGACTAGTCTCAAAAGTTGGGACTCTCAATACTGTCCCCAGACAGTCACAAAAACATGAGAGCTATCGCACTTGTCATGATGCAGTCACAGAGTCCACACTGACTAACTCTTAGTATTCTCAAGACTTCAAGTCTCATCTTCATTCCGGGAACATTCTGGAGATCTGTTGACTTTAGTTCCTTGGGGGTTTATAATTAATAACCGTGACCAGGGTTCTCCCCAGGATTTTTTCAAACCTGTGGGGGAAGTTTTGTTGTGATTCACCAACCTGCGAAGCCATGGCGTGGGGTTCGGGGCCCGCTTAAGGGCCCCGAAAACTTCTGAACTTTAGAGGCTCTCTGGTGCATTTTAGAGCAAATCTGGGGAGTCTTTGAGGAAGATTTTCCCTTAAAATTTAGAGGAGATCATGTGATATTTTTTGTAATTAAAGAAAAAAATATATCAAAATTTTTAACTTAAAAAAAAAAATCAACATTTCAAAACCTGTGTTAAAACTTCCTGATCTAGAAAGTATGAATTATATTAACAAGCAAGTTTCAAATTAAGAAATTAAGGTGAAGAAAAATATCACTTTTGCTTCCGATTAGATGCCTTTCAAAATAGCGTCGGTAAGTCGGAAAAATTATTTCGCCAATTTTTTGGGCTGCTGATTGAATCATGGAGGAATAAAACACTTGATTGAATGGAGCATATTGAACAAGGAATCATGTAGTTTTGTGCCTGGATTATTTTCCTTTGCACCACGAAAATTATCAAGACTGACCATCAAAAGTGATTAAAACTTGCCTCACCTAATTAAAAATATATTTGAGGTAGTTGATTCCACAATATGTTTAACGTACATCATGGCCCCTGGCGCCGTCAACATTCAGTCTGGCCGGCTGTACATCGCGCTGTGCTCACCGACACGGCGCAGCATCAGTGTGCATTACTGAACTGTGTACGGCCCATCCCATGTGGCTGAAAATTTTGCACCACTGCTTCTAAGAAGCATGCTACGCATACGATGTTTCGCCATACGTTCGAGCTTTGCAATCTCGTCATTTTAATGGAAAATACATACACAGAAAATAGAGATCACGTTCTGTGAATTAATTTGCAGAAATTCTCTTTCTTCATCGATGTTTGTTTGGTGTTTTTACGATCCACCTTCGGCCGAAATCATCATGTATGCACGTACAAGGCAGTAGTCACTGGTTCCGGTCCTTCATCATAGCAGTGATACTGTTAGCACGCGAAGGGAACCAGTGTACCATGCTGAATGCGCTAATATATCTGGGTGCTGGCGGTCGTCGCGAAAGACCCGTCATCGTGTGCATTTTGATCACACATGCAGCATCAGAAATACGGGATTTTTGTCAAGATTTTGAATGTCAAGATGAAATAATGGCGTATGAAACGATAATGTTGTGCATTTTAATGGCTTGTGTAATAAATTATATTGTGCGTATCGGGGGCTGAAAAATGTGATCGGCATTTTTGTCGGCGTATCGGGCCACAATTCCAGCGTATCGGGCCGATACGCACGTTTGTACGTGGGGAGAACCCTGCCCGTGACTATCCAAGCCTGCTGAAGTATCTGTATCATCAAAACACAGCTTTCATGATGCTGTCACCGCATGTTTGAACATTTTGAAACGATAAATTTCATGACTAAGGCTTACAAATTTCCAAGACTCATGTTGTTGATCAATGCCAAATTCTAGAGATGCACTTCGGTTTCTGGTAAGGCAGAGTCCTTACAGTTAAAAGAGCAACATACCGCAATGTAATTCATGTGCCGCGAGAGGACTGTACCAGTACCTCCATCTAAACACATCTTTTTTTCATGATGTGGTCATACATGAACCTGAAGTCCTTTTAAAATGTCAACTTTCCTGACTAATTTTGACAATGCTCGGGATGCCTTACGGCAAAAATTCTGGAAATGCTCTCGGCTGGCAAGAAGGGGGATTGACCATTAACCGACATTTGGAAATGGTGACAGAGGGATCAGTCATGATTTACGAGGCTCTTACCGTGAAGCCCTAAGATTAACTTGCAAACTTGCACAGAATGCAGAGAGGGGTTGATTCTATGGAAACATTGGTCTTTGCAGGAGATTTTTTGTCCCTTGATTCCGAGTGACAAATCCAAAGACATTTATGTTGAAAGCCATCAATGTGTGAATGTCAATCGTTATGAGTATGTAAGTTAATACCGTAGAGAGGGAAAGTGTAGCGCCGGGGAAACCTTTGTTGTAGATGATATTTACTTTTTTTCATTAATGATGGGTGATAAATTCAAGTTAATTCATGCGGAAAGCCATCCATGTGGGAATTTCATTTGTACATTGTAGGAAAAAAATATATATTTATACACTAGCACGTATTATCACATGGACTCCCTAGACTGTTTTAACTGTTAATGGCAATTTCTACACGACAGATGTGCCGTGTTTGTGAACCCTTTTAAAAAATTTAAAGGTGATGAATGACACGTACATACATACATAAATTACCGTATTCTATTCCCTCAATAGATTGGAAAGAAAATAAAAAGATTTGGCTTTATGGAATATTCATGGACTTTGGAACAAGAGTGTATGATTGGGGGGGTTTGTGAAATGCAATAGACAGTATAATGAGCAATTTGGTACAGTGTATGTGTTCACAAGTGAATGTATTATTGACTGAGTGTCGTGTAGTCTGTCATTCATTAATAATCACACATTCACTAATCGCATATTAATCACAAAACACTGTTTTGAAAACCTTTGGTTTTAATAGGAAACGACAGGATTTATTTACTGTCAAAGAGTATAAAGGGTAATGGACACTTGACATTTTCTGACTGTCATATTGTCTGAGCAAAAATGACATACATGTACCAAGTGCTCAAACTGTCAAAAATGTTTTTGTCTATATGGTAGCGGCTGCGGCCACTTCTCATAGACTAGTGTGTAATTTCAAGCCGTATCCAAGTAATTCGGACACAGCCGAAGTTAGTGAAGCAGTTTCAAACCCTGCATGTGATAGCTAAAAATTAGTTCATTTTTTTGGTACAAGCATGGAGGAATAAAAACATATTCCTCCATGGTACAAGTTATTTTGTCATCTTTTTCCATGCAGGTTTTTGGTAAAAGTTTGGCCACTGCAAGATAGTACCGGTAGAATGCAGGTTAAAAAAAACCTGTTGACCCTATTGTGTTCATTTTAATGTTGTTCTGTCAAAGGCTCTTTTAAGTTTTAGACA